TTAAGATTTTCTTAACTAAAGAATGAGTTTTAGATTAAATTTAGTGGTTCAAGCTTCTGTTGACCTTAATCTAGTCAACCACCTGAGAACACTTTTTCACAAATGACCTAAGTATATGTTTTTTACATTGTACATGTTTTGCATTACCTATGGTGTGATTAGATAGTTATCAAATTTTAGACTTGTGTGTAAATCATTAGATAAAGTTTTTAATCTCTTGGTATGACTTTTCATTAAATATCCAAAGAACCCAACACAAGTGGTTGGTCAAGTGTGTTGGTTTAATGAGCACTCAAAGTGTGTGAATAAGAGCAACTTGATTTGTTAAACATTTGTTTCTCCTCATAAGCATTGTTAATATACATTTAATCTCTGAAGCGATCAGTGAAAAATTCAGTTAAATGCAAACCTCTGTATAAAAGTTTCAAAAAGTTAAATGGACCTTACCAATATAGTTAGTAAACTATATGGGTTTTTTGCATTGTAGAAATTTGTCATGCTTGGTTATGCCGAGACCTAACCTGTCTTGCCTTAACTAAGCACTGTGGGAGGTTGGGCTGCTTGTTGGGTAACCTGATCTGTCGTCTGTCACAGCGATGTGCAGAGGTGCCACTACGATAGCTGCAAAAAATGTAATATTGACCTGTCAATCAAGGGGTTTGGGCTCATGTAGGCGAGTGTAGGTGTAGTATGGCGTAACTGGTGAATTACAAACTTAGGTGGGTCTGTGATTCTGGTTAATCGGCTTTTAGAATGTTTGGTTTTTAATAATAAACAAGTTATAAAAATAATTTATTATTGGTAAAAAAAAATGGCTGGAAATTAAGTACACACTACAATTATATTTTTTAGTACTCGCTCTTTCGGTGTTAGCAATACTTTCTAGATCTGTACTGTACTAGGGCTAATCCTAATTTTATTTTATTATTTATTTTGTTTTTTGTGTTTAAAAAAGCTACTTGTTGCTATTGGTTACTGCTCTAAAGTAGCAAGAAATGTATGGGAAAATTTGGGTAATAGTTACAGTACATTACAGTAAAATTTGATAGATTTCCTTCACTAGAGCTTAATCAAGGGTTTTCTAACAACACAGAATTTTAACCAATTAATTTCTCTAAACAATTTAACTTTGAACCTACCAATAAGTAAAACTCAGTTTATTTGCCTCTTTTTAAATAATTTCATCAGCTGATGTAGTAGATCTATAGAGCCATGCATAAACATTGTTCAACTTGGCAACAAATAGCTATAAATTAACCAATCACGTAAATCAAGTAAAACCCATAAATATACATAGTTATCGCAACTAGTGAAGATAAATTAATTAAACATTTAAATAAAGCGAGCGTGGATGTCGTGTGGTTTAAAAAGGCTTGGAAATAGTGAAGTAGTAGAGGTGGGCAGACACTTCACCTTGACTTTGGGGGCTTGGAACTTGTCCAGGATACAGGCCCTCTCTGGTGAAATCTGACTCTGGAGCGTTTTAGATCTTTCAATTGGTTGTTTGATGAAATTGGGCTAAAAGTCTTAAAAATAAATTATTGTAAAAAAGTCTGAGCAACTGGGAAAATTACTTTTTTACGTTAAATCACTTTTGAAAGACTCTTTTCTGTCCCTTGAATAATTGTCTCCTGGATTGAAAAGTTTTAAAAACGATTTGTAATGAAAACTTTTTTACCAATGTCAATTCTTAATATTGATTATTTAAAGACCAATATACAACAGATAAATTCCACCTTTTTTCGTACATGTAAAATCTTTCATGCAGTTCTTTGCATCAGGAAGTCATAAAAATTGTGTTTCGCAAAGTGCTGATACAAAACAGTAAATTTCTCCTCTCTCCGTGACTGTTGACTCGGGAAGTGATCTTCACAAATTTACGACCGTCAAAGTTCAGCTTAAATGAATCCTTTATCTGAACTATCGGCTTAATTGAATAGTTATCAACAAGAGATGCAGCTTGCTGTGTCTAAGGTTTCATAATATCGATCATGATTTGTGGCTCTTCGGTTGTCAGTATATTTTAGTGATAATTTGTTATGCTTGAAATTACTTCAGTATAACCAAAATAAAGGATTATTTATCTAGTTGCTTATCTATAATATAGGTATCAATACCAGAAAAAGGTTTGGATAAAGTTTCTCAGGGGTTTTCTCAGATATATCGCAAAATAGTTAAAATCAGTTTCATACATATTTTTTTGAACTTTATCAAATCATTGAAAATTTCCCAATCCATTATGATTTTTGGACTTCAGAAATGTCTTGGTAATAAAAAACAAAACTGCCACAGTATCCTATTTAAATATATAAAAGTTTTTAATTTTAAAAGGTGAACTATTTAAACAATCATTTATATGAAACCCTTTAATAAAAACAGGTTTTTTACTAGAATGGTCCATAGGAATTATTTACAATAGGACCTCATTGAAAATGTTGCAGAGAAGTAAAGTTGAAGTATTTATATGAAAAATTAAAAGTTCTAAAATTTGTTACCAACTTAGTAGTTTACGAATGTAATTTCACAAATTGACAAAAGTCTTATTCAAGTGCAAAAGTGGTAATAGTTAGGTGAGAAAATAATTTACAAAGGAATGCAGGTTGTATGGGTGGCATTGATCTACTGACAATAATAGGATCAACTTGACTGGGGAGATACTAGTGTTGCATTCACTTGTGGCACGGGGGAAACATCTGTCCACTTGCTGCCATTACATGTCAACTACCTGTCAAATATTTGATAATCTAATGAGTGATACAGTACATGATAAAACTGCGTCTTTTGAGTACACAAAACCAGTTGTAGATTATTTGGTAGTAAAAATATCTTGGGTAGATTGTGTTAAATATTTCAAGATAGCAAAAGTGTGTTTGGATATAAGGGATTGTGGACTTAAGAGCAAACTATCTTAGTCTACAAGTGCAAATTAAATCTTATCTCACCATTCTTACCTAGAATCAACACTTATCCTACTAATATTATAAATGAGAAAGTTTGGATGTATGGATGTATGTATGTTTGTGACAAGTAAACGCGATAAATACTGGTCGGATTGGGCTAAAATTTGGTGTGATGATAGCTCACATTCCCAATTAACATATAGACGCACTCTTATCGCAAAAGTCCTTTCGGGCTCCGCCCCAGTGGCTCTGGAGTTTCCCATGTTAACCTTATGAGTAATCATATTTAAAAGGAAAAAAATAGTTTCGTCAGCTGTTTCAAGTACACAAGTTGTTTCTATGGTATTAAATAGGTATTTACTCAGGGGAGGTATAGAAGAGGCTACGATGACTGCTGAGGGCTTCTTATTAGCTGAGGGAACGCCATTACCGTAACAAAACGAACGCTAGCCATCGGCTTCGGTGGTCTAATGGTTAGCGTGCCGGGCTGATATACTATAGTTCCCGGGTTCGAATCCCGCCGGTGGCATTAACTTTTTGTCCAAGATTTTTTTTATTTTCTGCAAGTTTGGTTGGTTTGGTTTGGTTATTACGGTTTAATTTTATTATTAAGTCATTATAAAATTTTAATTGATCAATTTCTAGTTTTATTTTATAAAGAGAATTATTTTTCCGCTTACTATAAACTTTTGTTATATTATTTCTTTATCAGCAAGTTTGGTTAGTTCGGTTAGGTTATGATAGTTTAATTTTATAATTAAAAATTAATAAAATTGAATTTTAGGCATTTATAATTTTATTTTATGAACAGAACTATTTTTGCGATTAGTAAACCTTCATTGCCAAAGTGCTTTTTACTACAGCGCTGTTCACGGAGGAATTTTGAACTAAATGCCTCATTTGTACCTCCCCTAAGTCAGACCCTATTAAATAGCATTAACAAGTTATAAGGTTTACCAACAGGGTGTAACTATTTTATACAGTACAACAAATGTAAAGACCAAAAATTTTCTATTTGGTGTCCCCTTCCCGTTGCAAAGCACGGGTACAACAGCTAGTTTTAAATAAATCTGCACTTATACCCTAGTAATTTAAAATTTAAAATAATTTCAACAGCGTTGTACTAGCAGATGTTTAACGTATCAAATATTTAGGATATAAATGTGACAGAAGTTTGATGCACCTGGAACGGATTACTCAACTAATTATTACTGTAAATGCTTAACGTAACCAAACTGTCTGCCGAGTTACTATCTGACTGATGTATTGTGCAACACCCCATAAGTTTACCGAGTCGTAATTACCGGAGGAACTGTGACGGAATGTTGATTGGGGTCAATTCCTCAGTTGTCCTCCGTCGGAATCTTTTACGGGCGTGATTGAATTGGATCACCAACACTGAGTTGTCACGCCAGATGGCCGAGCGAGGCAAGCTTCGTATGTTTATAGACATTGGATCGGTTATTCACTTATTATGAGTCTTGTTCTAGTTTGCTGAGTCAGTTTTTCAAGTTACTTTATTTGTTGAATCTTAAAGTATAACAGTCATATTTTACACCTAAATGCTCTTTATTTAGTGAATATTTGGAATAAAAGTCTGCAATGTCAAAACCATAGTTTGGCCTTCCACTAAGGAAAACAATTAAATTCTTGGGTTGAAATGTAATCAAGCGGGCGCCTTTGTCGGAACTTTGTGGTACCAGCAGAGGTTATCTGCGGAGATGATAGCCACACATGGTTGCCTACTACCGCCTTTTTTTTATATCGTTTCTTGGAAAAGGTAAAACTCACGACTGAAAATCACTTTATTACACAATGTCTTGCTGATTAATAATCAAAACAAAATGCTCTGTTTTTTCATACTTCTACATTGTGATGTATACAGTAGTATTGTTTATGTACTTATTATTTGCATTTATGTCACTGCTATTTATACACTGGCCAGTTTATTAGTAAATTTTCTTAAATTTTAATTTCACACCACACATACTTAATAATGAAATAATCTGTTCATAGAACAGGTTTTTTGGGTTAAGAACTTAGATAACTAGTGTAGTTTAATTTCAATTTTTGTACCATAACGGAGTTTTATTTTATCAGATGTCTTCCGAAAGCTCCTGGGATAATGTAAGTAAGCGGGTATAACGCAAGCGTGTTTGTCCGTGTTGACTTTTGTTTTTGTCAAAATCGTCCATCTGCCATGTTTGCTCATGTTTTTTGTTATTTATTTTTAATTTCTCCATTATGTTTGTGATTTTTTAATGTTTTTATTTTAGGAAGAAATTAGTTTTCATCTAACATATTTTTTTTAGCATGGTTATTATAATTTGACTGTTCTAACTCATTTTCAATGAGTTAACAATGAGTTAAAATGTGTTTTTCAAAATGTTTGATTTTGTTAATTGTTTTTATTATCATTTCATTAGGCATGTATTGTTCATGTTAGCTGATGTGTTAAACTAAAATTACACACAGTAAATTATATAAATTAACATTATTTGAATAAACAAAAGAAATATTGTATTTGCATCTTTTGCAAAATAAAGAAAGCAAAATATTGCTATGGGATAAGTTTAGGAACATATTTCAAGATTACATGTTGTATTTTTCTCATGTATTGTTGACAACGCAGTCTTGTCTGTCTGTGTATTATATAGTTATTGTGAACGAGGTTTTGTGTAAGTGTTAATTATTTCCAACACTGAATGTTAAATGTTTGCACTGACTAGCTGTATGTTTGCACTGTTAGTCATATTAAGCTTGATAGCAACATTTGTAGTTCTCAAAAAATCCCCATAAATTTCAAAACTGGTCCAAGAATTTTTTGACTCTTTACAATTTAATACAAGGCTATTTTCAATCTTCTAAAAGTTTAATTGTAATGGAATTGTTTGTTTTTTTTAACGAAAATTTTAAATTCTTTGATTTGCTAAACACAATTTAAAAATCCCTTGTTAAAAGATCTTTGTTTCATTTGGTAGTTTTATTTGCTACAAGTGTGCTGGGAGTTTAAAAATTTTGAGATATGAAATTCTAGTCCTTAAGTAAAGGAGGTACTCTTCTCATGTGTTGTAGCCTTTTCTAGAACAGAAAAACACTTGGTTGAATGCAGCAAGTAATTGAATAAACTAATGTAAAATAGAATGTTATTTTTATAGACAAATTTTTAATCTTTTTTGATGGTAACTTATTGAAAACTGAAATGACAATGCATCATTATAGTCCAGGCAAATTAGATCAAATATAGGGTGTGCTCCCCAAAAAATCGTCTAAAGCTGGAAAGTGTTTTAATACCTTTTGGGGGTCCCAAACAAGACTCCTGTGAGTTTGCGACGGATTCTGACGTCTGCTTAAGTTTTGGGAGTCGGAAAACTATGAAAATTTTGCACTTTTTTCAGTTTTTCGCTTATAACTCCTAAATAACGAATCCTTAGGAAAATGTTGTTCAAAGGTGTCTTTGAGTGCATTAAATTCCGCGTCGATTGAAGTTAAATACGTCAAAATCGGCCGAGCCGGTTATTCGCTGTAGCTTTTCAAAGTTGGGATATTTTCATCAACATGGCCAAAAGGTTGATTATTTGACCAGTTTTCGGCTTAAAACTCTTAAACGACGCAAAAAAAAAAATGCACCTGTAGTTTGTTTGGAAAACACAAAATTCTGCGTATAATGTTTTTTTATTAATCAATAACGGCAATTGATTGTTACCTACTTTGTATGGACGCCATTTCATTGAAAAAAAGTGTTAAAGTTGGGAAATTTTAATAAAATTGGTAACAACATAGATCCTGTCCTTAATTGGATTATGAATTATTAGATAGTGGTTTATTCCATTATGGTCATCTAGAGGTTTATCTAATAAGGTGTGATGAGAGTAAGACACCCTATGTAATTTTAAGTCTAATATTGTTGTCTGAGGTTCCCAAAATTCTAGGATTCATCCCAACCACCCATTATATACGATCTATCCCTGTATTCATCTTTCAGTTTTTGGCTTACATCTTCTAACGCATGCTATAGAAAAAATGTTCCTGTAGTTAGTTTGAAGAGCATAAACGTCTGCGTAGAATGTTTTCCAATTCATTAAGATTATTGGCTTCACCATTTAACCGCTATTGATTGTTAACACTAGATCAGATGCTTGTCAAGTTTAAAATCTTACCATTGAAATCTGGCAAACAACCAGCCTAATTACCAAAAACATAGGGGATATGGCAGTGAATCTATCTACTAGTGTGACGTCATGGAACGTGCAGCATGGCCTATGAACAAGTAAGTGCTCATGAGAGCAACATCTTACTGTGGAGAGCTTTTTCCGAGATAGGGGAATCAATGATGTGGACCTAGTCCGATGGTTCGCTGGCGGGCCCATCGCAGTGAATGCTACCCATCAAGTTAATATATATATACTAGCTGACCCGGCGAACTTCGTATCACCTAAGTTATAGGTTTCCCCTAAGACAGACCGATGGAAAGAAAGTACCGTTACGTTTAATTTTCAAGATGATCTCGTTCGCATCGCTCAATCACGTCCTGGTTGAAGTTCGTTCGCTACGCTCACTCACCTTTGGGTTGGAGCTCGTTCGCTACGCTCACTCACCTTTAGGTTGGAGCTCGTTCGCTGCGCTCACTTGCCTTCAGGTTAGCTAGTTCGCTACGCTCACTCGCCTCCAGGTTGAAGTTCGTTCGCTACGCTCACTCACCTTTTGGTTGCAAATTAGCTGTTGTAATAAATGTAAAAGAAATAATAGTGCTGCACCCTGTTGGTAATCCTTGTAACTTTAATGCTATTGAACATCATAGAACAGAACCAACTTGTTTAATTGAAACAGCTGTTAAGATTCATTAATTCCATTTCTCATAAGGTTAACATGGGAAACTCCAGAGCCACTGGGGCGGAGCCCTTTTAAGAATTTCGAAACGGGAAATAGTTTACGTCCGATTTGCATACCTACAGAATTTACACACCAAATTTCATAACGATCGTTGAAGTCGTTCCGGAGGAGTTTGCAGACAAACACTGTGACACGAGAATTTTATATATTAGATATATTTGTTAATAGGTATATTGTGGGATCACCTCTTCAACATATTATCAGCAAGTTGACAATATAAACTCCAAGGATACGGTGGGATCAAAAAGAAATTCATCAAATGGTTCCAGTGTCACGACCCATTTACTGCAAATAGTTCGCTCATGTCAATCAGCTCAGCAGTTATCCCATATGATAGCATCAACGCGAGCTATGTATAAAGCATAATAGAAAGGCACAGCTTGCAAGAAAATCGTAAATAGGCAAGCCTATAATGACCATAAACTGTGCAGAATAAAAGGAAGTGGTGACATTAATCGCGAGCTGTGATGGCAACAGCTAAGGTTAAAGAAGAATCTGCCCCCTCAGTCAACACCTGATATTCCACATTAAATCCAAGCCTCAATTTGAATCATACTTTGGATTAAAAATAGGTCCGTACCCACTAGCGCAGTTTGATGAAGAAAGCGTGATGTAGAAGGGTCGAAAATCTAACTACTGTATTCATGTAGCCTAAAACTACTCATGCTGTTTACTTCAATCAATGTGGATCTCACTGTGTTCTTACGGGTTACAACGCTTGGCGAAGTTGCAGAAGCAGGTTGGCCCTATACATGGTTGGGAGCAGAAAATATCCAAATCAAGTGAGGGTTGGTCTCTCCCAGAGGACACTTTCAACTAATTTCGACTTTGATTCTAACAAAAAGGGCTGCTCATCCACCAATCCTTAAGAGCTCATTTAAAATTGTACTTCATTCAGAGAGATAGGTATGGAAAATTAACGTGAATTGGTTAACTCCCATCAATACGGCTAATCCACCGGTTCGACAAGAACTTCTCAACTCCGTCTACCTATCTCGACCATCGTGTACATGTTAAAAAGGTTTACATTTTCTCGCTCCATATGAAATGCAGGGATATAATACACTACTGTCTGAAAGACTTGCAAGGGGCACGATTATCTCAATTCTATATCTGACAAAAAAGATGGTACCGAATGTCACCATTTGTGGCAAGACAAATAAGAGCAAAGGATGAATCCTTATTCTTAAGATTCCAATGATGAGAAGTAGAAAAGTTATATGGTAAAATCTACGAAAAATCCCAATCGTTTTTTTAAATAGGCTAAATACATAGTAAAACTATGTACATCCGTCCCATTATCATCTTTCGTTTATTAAGCTAAAGAATAACATTTTTGCTATGTTTAATAAAATCTTTCTCGTTGTAATATCTTATTATATATTAGAATCGCTTAACATCATTCCGGAGAGTCCAGTGATGGGATCGTATAAATGGGAGGTTAGGACGAATCCTAGAATTATTGTAACCCCCTCAACAGTATTAGATTTAAAATTGCATAGGGGGTTTTGCTACCCTTCCCTTCACACATTCTTGGATAAACCTCTGGATGATAACCATGAAATAAACCACTATATAGTCATTCATAATCATAATTCTACGCAAAATTTTGTGTTTTCCAAACTAACTACAGGCGCATTTTTGTATAGCATGCGTCGTTTAGGAGTTGTAAGTCGAAAACTGGTCAAATAATCAACCTTTTGGCCACGTTGATGAAAATATCCCAACTTTGAAAAGATACAGCGGATAAACGGCTCGGCCGATTTTGACGTATTTAACATCAATCGACGCGGAATTTATTGCACTAAAAGACACCTTTGAACAACATTTTCCTTAGGATTCGTTATTTAGGAGTTATAAGCGAAAAACTGAAAAAAGTGCAAAATTTTCATAGTTTTCCGACTCCCAAAACTTAAGCAGACGTCAGAATCCGTCGCAAACTCACAGGAGTATTATTTGGGACCCCCAAAAGGTATTAAAACACTTTCCAGCTTTAGACGATTTTTTGGGGAGCATATGTCTAATTTGCCTGGGCTATTAGTAGCTATAACTTTGTTTTCTTTGAGAAAAAAAACTAGCCTTGGCTGGTTTATTAGATGAGATTTTTGCCTCAGTATCCAAAGTCAATGAATTTAGAAGTTAGACTAGTGATCCAGCACAGGGTGGTGGATATTGATAGCATAGAACGAGTCACACATTCAGTTGGCAGGGATACAATCTAGTTCAGATTTAATTGGCATTCGATGCAAATTTATGTTTTACTAACTTGTATTTGTCTGGTATAAGGATGGTACTACCAGTGCTCCTGCAGTTTGCCAACTGAATGTGTAACTATTAGTGATGTAGCCTTGTAGTGATAGTCTTAGTGGCCTGCCTGCTGATCAACTTTTGGATCTAGTATTTTGTGCGAAACTTTAAATCTTTAAATTTTTGTAGACTAAGTTGTATTTAAAAGAATTTTATAGGCAAATAGTGTTTTAACTTAGATTTTGGGTTCTAAATGTTGCTGAGGTCTTGAAAATGTGTAATTTATTACAGTTTTGATGATATAATGAACAATTATACATTTTCTATCAATGATAATTTATGTCAGGTTGTGTTACAAAGTAGCTTTAGATTTTCCATTGTTTCACAATTTAAACGTTATGGCAAGTTATAAATATTTTTTTTCTGTACTGTATCATTAACTTGAATTCTAAATGAAAGCTTTTAAATTTGAAGCTCAGCTATGTTAAGCCAGGTCGATAACCGATCAGCAGGCAGTCTCAAATTGTATGATTTCTGATGCATTTTGTTTCCATCTCTGCCTCTTTCTTCTCTGCTGCATGTGGTGAACCTCAGGGACCAAGTCCAGCTCTTATTGTCGTAAGTACAAACACTTTTGGTCAACCTAACCTAACAAAGTATCCTAACATGGTTGTCTTGACGTTAACACAAATCACTGACTAACTCGTAAAAAATAATAAGGTAATTTGATTCTGTGTTGTGAGGTAACAAAATTCACCCTAAATATTCTCATGCGTATATTAACATACTTATTAACCAATTTAAATTCATACACAAACCTAAAAACTTGTACCTATCAAATTTAGCTTACTAAATAAATGTTCACTGTATCGAAGCTTGTTGCATTCATTGCTTAACGTAAAATATCCTACTCAACAGACAAATAGTAATATAAAGTCTATATAAATATTGCGTTTATAGTAAAATTTTCCTAATTAGGTACTATAAGTATAGTATTCATTTTTACAGTATCTTAACCCCCACACTTTAACTTCTTAAAACCTTAGAAGTTCAAAATATTACACTATTTCAAAGACATAAGTTACATCGTTAAATCGCTAACATTTTACTAATTGGTGAACTGGAAAAATAAAATTTTAAAAAAGTACTGCCTTACTCATCTGTGTTACAGTAACTGCCTACTGTATCACTAACAAAAGTGAGGCTTATACAGTTTTTGAAGGTTTATAACAAATCGTCTGCTATCTGTATAAATTAGTTTAACAAATCATTTAACATGTGAGTCAATTGATAAGAATTCAAATGAGTATGTTAAACGTAAGAATAACTATTGTAAAGTGCCTAGTTACATAAATTAACAATACAAAAGATAAATTACCGGTATTTAGTAGACATTAAGTCTAGTCAAATGTAAACCTTTTATTGAAAGAGGAGCAGAATAAATTAATTTTGTAATATGTCATTTTAAATTTAATCCTGCTTTGAAATATTTGAATAATATATTTTTATCTGAGCAATAATAGGAATGTTACCTATTTTATTGAGGGATTAAATTCAACCGTATAACAAGACGTAAAATAATTAAACTTTTGAAGGTAAGACCCAGTAATTAGTGTACAAGTTAAGCTGTGTAGATTATTCCTGTTAATTTAATCACAATCCTTTCACTGGACAGCCCTGGGTCAGTTACCTTATATGTAGAGGCGATTAAACCACCATATGTTGTCTGATAAACGTAAACGTAATCCAATTATTGTAGCCAACTTGAGAAAAACAAAAACGGGTTGTGCAGGAATGTTATAATTTCATTGGGAGAAATCATTTTGTTGCATTGATTGAAAATCAGACTTTGTAGCTTTTTGGTTATTTGATGTAGGGGTTAAACTGTAAAAATTTAAGGATAAAAGGTTTCATATAAAACGGGTTAGTTCTAGTAAAATTTAAAGGTAAATTACTAATGTTTTGACGTAGTGGTAATTAATTTATGACATCCTAAAGAGTTAGGTTTCCCAAAAGTTCGTGACTGATTGCTTCTTTTCTACAAATACTGTCATCAAATCTAACAATTTTCAATAATAAAACTAAATAAATTTTTGAAAAACGTAAAAAAACCATTTTAATATAGGCTACATGTCTACTAGAGGTTAGTTGCCAGATTAGACTACTAAGTCCTAAGTTGACCTCAATAAAGAAGAATTATAGTATTTTTTTTTTTTTTTTGCTACAACTCAAATTTTATTATTCTAGTTTGATTGATTCAAATTGTAAATTAGGTTTTTTTTTACTCTTTGAGATTCAATGTGTTGAAAATAGTTAAATTCGCAAAATGGCTTCAAATCGCCTCGTAAATAAACATTTTCCCTCATTGTAAAACCAATTATATCAACACAAAAGATTAGAGTAGGCAATAAAAGTTACACTCTGCACGTTACGTCTCAATTTCTCTTTTTTAGTAAGATTGGCAACCCCATTGTACTTTTTCAGAGGTTGGCAACGTCATCACTTACCAAATGTTTTGTTTCATGCTTGCCCTAACAACAGCCCCCTACTTTTGCGGTAGGTATAACATGGTAACTGCACCCCAGCATGTGTAGTAATGTTGAACCTCTTAGCATTGTTTCTGGCTTTGACCACTAGGAGTACCACTAGTCTGAGGTACTAGGTGGCAACTTACGTAGTAGAAACTGCTTGGTGAAGTTCTCTTACACTTTCTGTTCCTATGGAGTTTTGAGCCTGATTTAGTTCATTCGTTCACTATATCCCAAGAATTTCAAATTCCCAAGAATAATTATTATTTGTGTGTAAAAAATATATTAGCTTTTCCCTCAAGGAATCATATTTTAGGATTATACAGATTTATTTATTTTATTTTATTTAGACTTATTATATCTTTCAGATAGTCTAGACATTTTCCATGATTTTAGTATTTTCATTTTAATTCTTTTCCACCCACATAAGGTACTTTTTGCAGTACACAATGCATGCGTTTGGTGATAGACTGCACCATTCAGTAGTTTTGCATGATTTTTTTTTATTTCAAGTGTTCATCTTGTGTAACTTTATTATATGTAAAAACGATAACAAACGTGTGATAAACCATCTGACAGTTTTTGTCCCCGTATTACAGGGTGAATTGGAGCAACAACTGCTGCAAGCCAACCCTATCCTTGAGGCATTCGGTAACGCAAAGACTGTGAAGAACGACAACTCTTCTCGATTTGTAAGTTTGATATCATCTATTTCAATTTTATTTTTGAGCATCAATAATAAAGAATTTTGTAAACAAATTTGTAGATCAGTCAAGTATTAAGGTACAAAATATAAAATGCAATTAATGAGTATAATGTTTGTCAAAGAAACTGACTCAGTTTAGTGAGTTGTGCGACATAACCTGAGAGTAATTAGTTATTTCTAGGTGTAATTTTATCAAATACCTGTCATGTGAGATATTCTGTAAAATTATGTAACTCTCATTGTTTTGTAAATTTTTGACACTATTTAACAACTAAACAAATAACGTACTTTTTTATAAATTAAACTAATGGTTAAGTTATGTTAAATATTTTCACTTTTGGACGTAACACTGATTTTGTGTATGATATTACTTGTCAGACAATATAAAATAGGTTACGTACCTTACGTCGTCAATCCTAGGTTAGTCTTTTTAGCAACTAGTTTCGAAACTGACGTTTCATTTTCAAGCCTTGTCAAACTGTCACTTGTCACTGTTACTTGTCAGATTTCTCACCTCATCTATTTACTAATAAAAATGTTACATAGCCCGTAAAAAATAAGTCCACTGATTTAGTTGTTATAGAAAATCCCCCAAAGTGAATTCAAAGGTTTCAGAACATATTTAGGGTCTACTGGCAAAGTTTCTGGTGCATCTGTAATGTTGACTCCGAGCCTCTTATTCAGATCATGCTTGTTGCAGGGTAAGTTTATCCGAATCAACTTTGACGCTAGCGGCTACATAGCTGGCGCCAACATTGAGACATACCTGTTGGAAAAGTCTCGTGCCATCCGTCAAGCCAAGGATGAGAGGACGTTCCACATTTTCTACCAGCTGCTGGCCGGCGCCACCCCGGCACAGAAGAGTGAGTGTAGCTGTCAGGTCTAGTTAATCTTCTGTAGTTGCCTTCTGGCTGAGTGAGAGGTCTTAGTAGATTTCTAATCAGAGTTTGACTGTTTGATCCTTAGTAAAGTATCAAAAAATTTAACAAAAAATATGCTAAAAAAAATTTAAAAAAATTAATTTTTTTTTTAAATATGCAAAAAAACATGCACCAGACCCACCTCTGTTAAAAGACTATTAGAACTTTGATCAATCATTCTGATCATTCATGATGCTATTCCCTTATTATTCCCTTATTCCCCAAGTCATAGTATCCTTGCAGATTATTATGACTTCTTCAGTTTAGAATATAGTATAATAACTCCATGGTAGTATTATCAGTTTGGCATATCATTTTTGTTGTTTAAATGAATTGATTTGACTTAAATTGGGTTTTCTGTATCCATGCGGTTTGAATACCTCTAGATTTGTATTTGTATAATAAGGGTAGACATATTTTTTGCTTAGGATGGTAAAATTATTACAATTTTTTATTAATAATTATTTACCACAGTAATTATTAAGGAATTTGACAGGCAAGCAGGCTTACCTTTAAATAAGTCCATAGAGACACATAAAACATCACAAAAGTAAAAGTATAAATTTTCACTGGAGATTGGAGGGGAAATTTTTTTCTCCAATCTCAAGTGGTTGAAAAAGTGGTCAGTGACCACAAAAATTCTACTTTTACTTTTGTGATGTTTTATGTGTCTCTATGGACTTATTTAAAGGTAAGCCTGCTTTTCTGTCAATTTCCTTAATAATTCCTGGCAAATGCTCTATCTTTTTATCAGATATTTACTACAGTAATTTTCTCCATAATCAGCGTGTTGATAAAACTTGTTAAACAACTTTTGACTTTACTAGAAAGACACAATATATTTAGCGATTGATAAGGGATTGTTGGATCAGAACGGTAACTTGGCATTTTGTAAATTATGTACATATAATGAAACACAGAATATCACTAATTAGAGTGTTCATAAACAGACTGATTGGTTTTGTTGCAGAGGAGTTTATCCTAGAGGATCCCAAGAGCTATGTGTTCCTCAGCAGCAAGTGGCAGCCAATCCCTGGAGTGGACGATGCTGCTGAGTTCCAGTCAACCGTGAACGCTATGAGCATCATGGGCATGACCAATGAGGACTACTCCGGTCAGTAGCCATAGTGTCACCAAACACTTCTGTTTCTACTTACTCAATACCATTTGAGAAGAAACCTAAATTATAAGACAGGAAGTGTAGGACAAAGCTTCGACAATTAAATCCAACCAAAATATGTCAAAAACCCTTTTTGCCTCAAGGCTTTTGGTCACTGGTAAACTGTTGGTTACCAGGTTTTAGTTTATTGTCAGTTTTAATTCATATAGAGTTCAGAGTTTGGCCTTTTAATCTTATCATTTCCTGTGTGTTTTGTTGTAATATGTCAATATTTTAGTATGCTTTACTGTGATATTGACAAGATGTCACCAAATGTTTCATTGTAGGATAAATATTTTATAATTCACATTAATATAACATAAAAAAAAAATTCTTACTGGCTATGCTTGTCGAAAGTGTCTGAACTTTGATTGGAAAATGCTTTAGACTCCCTTCAAATATGACGGAATTCTTGATATATTTTTAATTAACTTAGATGTAATCTGTAACTCACCTTAAAGGGCGCAAGTTAGTTAAACTGTAGGTTTATCATATTTCAACACTGCCATAACAGCTGTTTGTTCCACAGCCATTTTCCGTATCGTCTCAGCAGTGATGCTGTTTGGCTCGATGCAGTTCAAGCAGGAGCGCAACAACGACCAGGCGACTCTCCCAGACAACACTGTGGCCCAGAAGGTAGCACACCTGCTGGGACTCAGCGTCACTGAGATGACTAAGGCCTTCCTCAAGCCTAGGATCAAGGTCGGACGAGACTTTGTCACCAAGGCCCAGACCAAGGAGCAGGTCAGTCCAAGTGGATAAGCATGTGTACCTTTAAAGCCCATCCATTCTTTAAGGCAAACACACTACACCACTATGAAGCGCCACCACAAAAGTAATGTAGTGTACAGCAATACATTGGGTCACTTTGGTGGCTTGGTTGTGCTCCTTGTAAGCATGGCTAAAATTACAGTGGCCAGAGCTTGCTTGCCACCACGGAGGCGCCAACAGCCGAAAAATAATTGAATCATATAGAGGTCTGCACACTACTGTGAATCTGTGGTGACGAAAGATTTTTTTTCTGTGTAGTTTGTGATTGTGACAATGCTTGACGTGGAACGTTTTGTGACATGAGTAATGTCATGACAGAGAGAAGTGTACTCATAGGACAGAGATTTGAAGCGTTGGTACCAACAGGCATTCTTGGATAGCCTATATGTAAAACTTGTCCGGGTTGTTTCTGAGGTCAACATTGTGACTTATGAGTAAAAAACACTCCTCTTGAACTGTGATCTTTTAAGAAAAAATCCAGTATTTTTCCTCATATTCTGCAAATAAAGAATCATAAAAGCGAATTCACAAGCATCTTACATATCTATCACGATCAATAGAAATCAATGAGCTGAGCAAGTGTGGTGGCTCACCACTCATGGTTACTCGCCACCAAACATGCTTCCAAAGTGGCGCATCCGCCATCATGGATGCTATTGTGCAAAGGCTCTTTGTCGAGGTAGGCTACCTGGCCAGAGGGTACATCAGGGCAATGGTAAGACCGACAGAGTTATTCCCATCAGAGTCAAAGTTGGCCAATTTACATGGCACAAACATGGAGATATCCATTTTGTAATAACTGAGTTTTTTACCCTCAAAAGATTTTAATTTAACTGAAACCTGCAAAGTACACAGGCAAATCAATATGTTTTGTCACAAAATCTTCTAAAAATCTTTTTACATTTTTAAGTGCTTTTTAAAATTGTGCTATCATTATAAATGATCAAATATGGTGTATATCATGTTCTTTCTCCAGCTAATGTTGGCAACGCTGTTGGCAGGTGGAGTTTGCCGTGGAGGCCATCTCAAAGGCTTGTTACGAGAGGATGTTCCGATGGCTAGTCAACCGCATCAACAGATCTCTGGACCGCACCAAGCGACAGGGCGCCTCCTTCATTGGTATCCTCGATATGGCTGGATTTGAGATCTTTGAGGTGAGTCATTATCAATCTTGGGAAAAAATTTGTTTGATTTAATATTTTTAATGTAAACAATTTTTTGTCAACCTATTGCAAGGATTATGTTAGCAATGTTGTACAGTATTAATTACTTTTTGCCAAAAGTAGTTGCCTCAAATTGGTTGTATTAGCTTACAGTTCATATTTTTTCTCTTATATATTAATAAACTAATACAGTAGAATCCTCCTTATTCGATCTTTGAATAACTGTGCTGCATGTCTCAGCATTGGAAACATCACTGCAGCGTCCCTTAACTGCTCTTTTTGCCTCTGAGGTCTGGTATGATGATTCCGCCTGTACCCTGCCTAAAATACAGTTGACCGTTATCAACGCCAAAAAAGTTTGCATATATGACTGTGAATAAACCGTGAATTTCATTTTCGACTCTCAGTGTGGACTCTGATTATGGTCTTTCATTATCTGACCTCGTCTTCCTATAACGAGGTAGTCCCCCATCAATAAATGTGAGGAGTTCCACTTAACCTAACCATCTCACTGACCAATATTCCAAAGATGAGCTGTCTAATTAGTTTACTAGCTAATGACTAAATCGCTGTTTATGTCCGCAGCTCAACTCGTTTGAACAGCTGTGTATCAACTACACAAACGAGAAGCTGCAGCAGCTGTTCAACCACACCATGTTCATCCTGGAGCAGGAGGAGTACCAGAGGGAAGGCATTGAGTGGAAGTTCATCGACTTTGGCCTAGACTTGCAACCCACCATCGATCTAATCGATAAGGTACAGATCAACAATCTTTAAATAATGTAATTGTTGTTTTAAATGCTCTTTAAAACGCATTCACTCAAAGAATCTTAAAAACAAACGTGTTTTTAAGACATTGCCTACTAATAAAATCATTGTAATCTTAATCTTGTAGGGCCTATGTATCCTTACATTGAAAAGTTGCCATTAGGTAATTATGATTACTCTAAGCGATCAAACATTGTAATGCTTTTATTGCTTTGTCTAGGTATTTTCCACTCCATTCAGCTCTTTGAAATGGATTCTCCCTCAAAAACAATGGAGCAGAGTGTGATATTTAAAATCTAAAAATGATAAAATATTGTTTTCTCTCAATATCTGTAAACACCCTTACATCAGCAAGTAACCAATAAATAATGATGATAGCTTAACTCTGTAATGCCCTTGCTATTAAACCTTTGAACTTTATCAATATTGTACATCAAATTTACTTTAAATCCTTTAAAATGTTTTCAAGTTTGTCAATGTCTCAACAATATCTTAGCTATCCCTAACCTGCTTAGGAAACCTTCAGGGCCTTAAGGTCACCTAGCCTTGAATTTTGATTTAAGAGGGCCAGGTGTGATTAATACAACTCTTGAAGTATTTGGGACCGCTTAGTTGTTTTTTCCAAATAGTAATGCTATTGCCTTACTGCTAGTGCCTCCTAAGATGTAGGAAGCTTTTATTGTAAACCAAATCAGTGGAACATTTAGAACAGAAGAAACACAGAAATTGTGCTTTTAACACAGTCATCGACATTTCTCTCTCACCTTCAGCATTTTCAACCCAGGGAATATCTTGTATTTTATTTGTTGAATAACTCTGGTGTTGCTTGTCACAGCCTATGGGAGTGATGGCGCTGCTGGATGAGGAGTGTTGGTTCCCCAAGGCCACAGACAAGTCTTTCGTAGAGAAGCTGGTCAGCTCTCACAATGAACACCCCAAGTTCATGAAGACAGACTTCCGTGGCATTGCTGACTTTGCCATCATCCACTACGCCGGCAAGGTAAGTTCCTGACGTCATTACTCTTTTTGCTATGCTTCATGATAAGTCAACTACTCTTAATTAGACACAGTTTATGAAATTGTGAAAAATTCTTGCACACAAATTTTGCAGTGTACAAAGGTATTGTATACCTGGTTTTGCGGAGTTAATTTTAATGCTACACATTTACATTCGCTAGTTGTTGTCAAAAACAACTTCAGGAAATTCAAATTAGTTGTCAGTTATTTTAACATTTGTGGTATACTTAACACACTTGCGAAAAGCAAACGGCAGAATGAATGGTATTTATTCGTTTTAATCATGACTGACACTGTTTCATACATTAAAACAAAATGTTCACTGATTAAATGGGTATAAAGAGGATAACTCCATATAATTGATGAGTTGTGTGTGTTTAGGTGGACTACTCGGCCACCAAGTGGCTGATGAAGAACATGGACCCTCTGAACGAGAACGTCGTGTCATTGCTGCAGACTTCTCAGGACCCGTTTGTCTGTCACATCTGGAAGGACGCGGAGATTGTGGGGATGGCTCAGCAAGCCATGAGTGACACTCAGTTTGGGGCCAGGACCAGGTCAGTGATGAAACATAACAGTTACCAAACACTTGTGTCTATTGGAACAGAAATAATAAGACATAAGACATGTTTATTTCCAGTAGCCATATTACAAATGTATTGGAAGAGTCAAACATTTTTCATGCAGAGCAGTTGTCAAATTAAGAAGTAAGTTACAAAGTGTACTTTGAAGTCTACGAAAAAAGAAAATTGCATTTTAAGTTATTTAATTGGTCTTATACTAATATCACAGAGTTTATCACTATTGAGAAGTAAAATACAACCATTTGAAAGTTAGCAAAACATTACAAAATTAGACAGGTACCTATACCTGTCCCATGTCTTGGAACAGAAACAAGCTTAATTTATTAAGGAATGTACATTGATTTGTTTTACATACTGTATCCTGCACTATTTTTTAAATGAGATAATAGTACAATAGTCGATGTTAATAAATTGATTAGATTGAAAAAAACAGTGTAATTATGCTTATGTAGGTTAGGTATAAAAATTCATTTTTAGTTTAAAACCGTCCTTGAAACCACTGAAAGACTTCTGTTTGAAAATTAAAGTAGAAATTAATTACTGAAAATATAAAAAACCTTACATGAACCGTACTAAATGCTGTAACTTCATTTACGAAATGCTTGAATTCATAATGCCATGAAAGAGTTTAATGTAATAGTTCTATTCTATTCTATCTTATAAAATCCAGTGATATAAAAAACAAACAAGGCCTGACAATTAAATTGTTTATCTTGTTAGTATCCCTACCTTACTGCGAAGAAAAATTTAAACCCTGTGGTTCTCACAGATTCCAACAATATACTACCCTTGCTAACTTGTCATATTCACAAACCATTTAGTAAAATTATTATTTGTATAGTAGGCAGGGCTTAAAAGGTTATTTTGTGCTGCAGGAAGGGAATGTTCCGCACCGTGTCACAGCTGTACAAGGAACAGTTGGCCAAACTGATGATCACATTGCGCAACACCAACCCCAACTTTGTCCGATGCATCATCCCCAACCATGAGAAGCGTGCAGGCAAGATAGACGCTCCGTTGGTGCTGGACCAGCTCAGGTGCAATGGAGTGTTGGAGGGCATCAGGATCTGTCGACAGGGCTTCCCCAACAGGATACCCTTCCAGGTATGGTCTCGCTTGTTAATGAATAGCGGAAACCACAAAATTAAGTTAGTTGACTAGCTGTTTTTGCAGAATATGTTTATGATCTACCATCTTTCTTCTGTTCCTAAACGTTTTTTTTTTCTTATTAATGTTATCTGCCAAGAATTTACTTTAAAAAAACCCAAGAACAACACCTTGTAATGAAAGGTGATAGAGTTTACCTAGCCATTACCTGAGAAAATTATAATTCAGGGGCTATTAGGCACACAATTAAATATTACAAAACTTATCACTTATGATTTGCCCATATAATGCCTTCTTCTTTTGTCTTCAACCTACTCACTGAAGAATGCTTATATTAAATTCTGTTATGCTTTGTGACTTTAAACTCTATGAGGTGGGTTTAATAACGCTTCATCCGCCACTAGGCATCCCTTCAAATTATGAGCAAGTTAATCAAAAGCAACAACTGACAATGTAAAAACAAAAACTGTAAACAGGTAATATTTTGTTTGCAATCTTATTTCCGTTTTCTTAATGAAGTCTATGTTTCGCAGGAGTTCCGTCAGCGTTACGAGCTGCTCACACCCAACGTGATCCCCAAGGGCTTCATGGACGGCAAGAAGGCTTGTGAGAAGATGATTGACGCGCTCGAACTCGACCCCAACCTCTACCGTGTCGGACAGTCCAAGATATTCTTCAGAGCGGGAGTGTTGGCGCATCTAGAGGAGGAGCGGGACTACAAGATCACCGACCTCATTGTCAACTTCCAGGTGGGTTGGCAGCACTGAGTCTAATATCTATTGAAGTTCTACTACACCTGTTCCTCTTCAGCGTTCTAGTTTTCTCTCAAGTCTATCCCTTCGATTAAACTATTTGAGAATCAAGACTTTATATTAAAAGTCACGGAAATAAACAAAAAAAAACTACTCTGTACATATGAGAAGAGATATACAGACTAGTTTTGTCAATCTGTTGTGCTTTTTAATATAATCAATGCCTGATGCTTGAACTTTTTATCCACAGGGACAGTTGTACACTATTGCTTGTCCTTTAAAATTCTCATCACCTCACATGCGTCTCTGACCTTATTATTCATAAATGAGATCATAATATTTAGGCCTAAATAACGTTTTTTTTGAGGATCGGTTTGGTACGTTATTTTAAACAAGAACGTGTTGTGTAGGCGTTCTGCCGAGGCTACCTGGCGAGACGCAACTACCAGAAGCGGCTGCAACAGTTAAACGCAATCAGGATCATACAACGCAACTGTTCTGCCTACCTCAAACTGCGCAACTGGCAATGGTGGAGGCTGTACACTAAGGTAAGCGAACTGTTACACTTACCACTACACACTCTAGTGATGTGTCCAAACCAAATTATTGTCAAATCTCAAAACCACTGAATTGAATTCTGAACTGCGACAGGTATACCAACTACTAACACAACAATGACATATGTGCAATTTGGTTTCATATCAGTACTTATGGCTATCAAATGATTATTTACCACTAAATGTTTGAATTGATCTCATATTTATGGTATTTTTCATTCTCAAGAGTTTATTTTACTGTTTGTTGTTCATAAGAATTGTTTTATTAGGTTTAAAGTGTATTAGTCACATATTCAAGTTATTATGTCAGGGTCAGGAGTCAAATCCTTATACAGTTTTGATTGCATAATAATTAATAACATACATTGTACTATTACCAGGTGTGTGTTTTTTTTATCTAGATCAGGCAAGTAGGCCTAATCAAGTATGCCTTTAGGTTTCAAGATTCAGGATTCAATTGTTTAAGTTTGGCTTCGGTTTTAATATTTAAAATTTCTGGTTTCAACCATCACTAGCACACTGCTAAGTATGACAAAGAATTATATTAAGTTATAGTGTCTTTAATACACATTAATTTTTTTTATAAGAAGATCAGTAAAATACTAAATTTCAGTATATATCTAAACCACTTAGCCTAAAATTATGTTAAATGTCTAAAGAAACTACGTCTAAATAAATTTAATTTAAATAATAGAACTGGGTTTTATGTAACCAATCAAGTTCAAAATAATTTATCAAACTTGCTATAAAGCATAATATGCATTGTAATTACAGGTATCTACCGTCATAGTGTGTAATATATCATATAACAGTTTTCCTAACTACTACAGATGGATTAATGTACAAGTAGTATCGTTGGTGTTATGAGTACTTTGTGTGAGGTTACATTAAGTAAACTCATTGACTCATTATTCAAATTTAGGCTACTTGTTAAACTTGCAACACAACAAAATGTTTCGCTAATGTGCATCCTGTCCACGACTCATGCCAGAGATAGCCAAATCAGCTGATAAGTGGAACTGAATCAGATAATATCAGCTGATTGGTGCATAAAGATCCCCACCAGCTGATTTAAAATTAGCTAATTATCTTGTTTGAACAACAATTATATGTTAAATTGCCAATATACATCACTTGCAGTGTGTCAGTTAGGTTTTACAGTGTACAGTGAAATCATGATGAGTGCTACTGGGAATAAAGTATTATATTTACATTCGCCCCATTTGTGGAACAAAAAGGAGGTACTTTTTTTTAATTTTAGTTCTGTTAACATAATTCATTTAAGATCTTTTTAATTTGCTATTCTACTGGAAATTAAATTTGATATTTTTGATCCAATGAAACTAAATTAACCTAGATAATGCAATTTACCTTTTTGGTATTAAACATAATATGAGTTAAATAAAGTTCAAATTGCCCAAAAAAAGTTGTACCAACTTTTGTATTTCATTTCTCGTGCTCATTTATATTTTGGTAATTTTTTTATCTAAAATAAACCAAACCTAGTAAAAAGAAAATTGTTTCTCTAAATCTAGGGTAATTATGAGTTCCTGTTACATTTTTGTTAGAAATATTTGACTATTTAAAATAAGTAGCCTGAATTAGATTGTACTGGGCTGTGTATACAACTTCTTGATTTATTTAATTATTCACTGTTGAAAGTTATAAAAATGAAGTATTTTTGATGGGGATTGTTTACATTTTTAGTTCTGTTGTTAAGTCTAGTTATACATGTTTTATTATTTGGTTTTTATAGTCATTTGGATCAGGCCTTATCAAATTCGATAAATACTGAAAAATTGTTTTAAGTAACTGAACTAAGTTAACCTACTTAAAAACCATGATCTAGTCTAACATAGATTTCGATTTGCTAAATAAAAGGATTGAAGGAAGCTTACTTGAGTGAAAGTACAAATAGGCGATAAAACACAGAAGACACAAAAAATATTTTTAATTTTACCGGTGTATTTTAAATTTACAAGATATTGTATTGGAAAGGTGGCTGAAGCCATCACACTAGCGTAACTCTCATTGTGTAAACTTACAGATGATGAAGTATTATGTAGTTTCTGTAATCTCGTAACTCCTTGTGTAAATCCTGATCTCCTTTCCTCGACCAAACCTACTAAAATTTAAATCACTTACAATAAACTAAAAGATTATTAGATTAGGAAATAAAAATAAACCACAATGACTGAAATACAACTATCTGCTACTTGGCGTTTGAGGGTGGTTGTTTGTGTTCAGGTGAAGCCACTGCTGGAGGTGACCAAGCAGGAGGAGAAGTTGACGCAGAAGGAAGACGAGCTGAAGCAGATCAGAGAGAAGCTGGACACTCAGTTGAGAAGCAGTGAAGAGTATGAGAGGAGGCTACAGGCTGCTATAGAGGAGAAGACCATGCTGCAGGAGCAACTACAGGCCGAGGTGGAACTGTGTGCTGAGGCGGAAGAGATGAGGGCAAGGTGAGGGACATCACAATCTTATGTTTTAGCTATTAGAACTCCATCCCAGGTTGCCACCTCAAGGGGGAAAACCAGTAAAAAAATTAAGTTCAAGTTTTTTTGAGTTGCGATAATCCCTTACATTCCTGATTAACTTTTGTGTCCAAAGGCTACATTTTTTAGTAAGGCAACATTTTGTATAAAATTCCGAATGAGATCGTATATTAAATCTCAATTGAAAATTTTCCTCCACTGTCGGTTATTGGTATTCGCATTGGTTCTTGACAGTAGATTTTCAATACCGATATTAATATCTAAGAATCGGTGGTATTGAGAATCTACACATCCCAGATCAAATGTCATAGTACCAACAACTAAAGGAGAAAAGAATTTTGGAGAAAAGAGTGGCCCATTCAACCATGGTTCAAAAACCGGTCCATACAGATGTAATGTATATTTCAGTATCAAAGGGACTGTTGTTGCTATTTTACTTTTGCAAGTTGGCTGTGGTGGTGTCTCAAAACTAGCCTGAATATTTAATTTACAAAATATTAGAATTTTTTTGATCAGCTGGATTTTACAGTTAAATCTGATCTTTTTTACACTCTTAGCTTCCACAACCTGTACTTTAGTTTAAGACATTATACATAATCTTTGATGTTTTTTGTAATTGTGGTAGATGACCATGATGTTGATATCGCTAGAAGATGTTTTGAGGTGTATGTCAAAAACTTCTCAATAGACAAAGTATTAGCTGTAGATTTGAAATGTAAATCCTAAATTTATAAACAAATGATCTCTAATTAATTTTATTGTATTAGATTGGCAGCAAGGAAACAAGAATTGGAAGAAATTTTGCATGATCTTGAGGCCAGAATTGAAGAAGAAGAGGAACGGTCAAACAATCTGTCAAATGAAAAGAAGAAACTTCAACTTAACATTCAGGTACTGTTTTGGTGTACAATTAGTTACGTGAGAAACATCCTGTCTCGATTATTTTTGAGTAACGTAGTTTTTGAATAATGCACTTTTTACAACATTTTTATCCTCCGTTAAATGCATATGTTTTTTAACTAATGTGGTAATTTAGTAGATTCTTAAAGATTGTTGTAAGTTGTTTAAGATTATCGTATTTACATAGGACTTGGAAGAACAACTAGAAGAAGAAGAAGCTGCGAGGCAAAAGCTTCAACTAGAGAAAGTACAGTGCGATGCGAGACTAAAGAAACTGGAAGAGGATTGTGCCCTTGCTGAAGACACCAACTCGAAACTTGTCAAGGAAAAGAAGGTTGGTATCTTACAATTGTTAATTGTTTTTTACGTAAAGCGTTTAAAAATAGGTTGGTATCTTAGAATTGTTAATTGTTCTTTACGTAAAGCGTTTAAAAATAGTTTATTGAATGAATTTGTGGACAAAATTATCAAAGAGAACTTTATTTTTTGCTCACCATCAGTTTCTTATCCGATAGGTACTTGAGGAGAGAGCGGCAGACCTTGCACAAACATTAGCGGAGGAAGAAGAAAAAGCAAAACACCTGGCAAAACTGAAAGCGAAACACGAGAGTACGATTGCCGAGCTAGAAGAGCGACTTTTGAAGGACCATCAACAGCGACAAGAGATGGACAGGAACAAGAGGAAGGTGGAAACTGAGGTAGGTCAAGTCTGTGGTAAACAACACATTGGTGAATCACTCTCCTGTTGCCAATCTATCATCTCTGCCGGTTAAGTAAACTCTCAATTATTTATGCTCTCTTAGCGTTCAGCCCGACTAAAGAAAACATTATTGTTGAATATGTTCCAAAATGTTATTAAAGCTGTATGTTTAACAGTAGTTTACGTGGTTGGTGCCTGATAATTTAAGGGTGGTTCATTATCTGAGTATTATCTATTTGAGTATTTGAGTATTCATAGTCATATTTTTTCATTCAATTAGATTCAATTTACTTATTCAATACCAACACAATGACAAAGGGCATTATAACAAGCAACATAAGCCTCATAAAAGGCTTGTCCGTAGCATTTATTGATTTAACTTAATTGTCTTTTTAATGCACGTTGAGCCATAATTCATCAAGCAATTTTCTCAAAGTTAGATTCTATGTTCTATTACTGCAGAGTTTTGCAGTTGATGTCCTAATTACTTTGATAAGTTATTCTAAATACAAAATTTACAATGTTGCTTTAAGTATTGCAGCTAGTTTACTAATTTTACTCCAGCAATTTTTTTCAACTTGTTATGCGAGTTTTACTCTAGAGTCGAGAATTTAAAGCAAAAATAACATTAATATTAGTATTTAAAAGAACTAAATTTTCAGTGTATGCTTGCAGTGAGTCTTGTAACTGGTTAAACAGTTTTGAAATCTACTATTCTGGCACTCATTGACCTTGCATTTTAAGATTTCAAGTCCTCAAATGAACTTTATCCTCAACACCTAGCCTTCAAATTTCCTATGTTGCAGTTGTGTTGAGGTCACTTGTACTAAATGTAGTGTCTTATCGCACAGGTCAATGACCTGAAGGAGCAGTTGAATGAGAGGAAGCAACAGGTGGAGGAGTTACAACTACAGCTGGGCAAGAGAGAAGAGGAGCTGGCTCAGAGTCTTATGAGGATTGATGAGGAGGGAGCAGGTATGAGGACTGTAGTAGTGGTGAATGAGGGGAATGATGTGAAATTGAGGGTTGTCTTAAACATTCAAGTGGTGGCCACCCGTCCCGATTCTGTCGGGAAATCGGGACAGTCCCGATTTTGGTATCTTATGCCCATATTTAAGCCTATGTTAATCCGGGGGGAGGGGGCCATGTCCCGATTTTTTCCTAGCCTAAGGTGCAACCCTGGGTGAGACCGCTCCGAGTGTTGACCTCTATGGTAAGCTAGGACATTTGCACTAAAGCGCTAAGTGATAAGATGAGGTTTTGGGATATAGATTTAAGTTGTTTTTTTATGGATACAAGGGTTTTTACGGTTCCTAACATTGTTCAACCCCCAAAAAACTTAAACCTAGTTGGAATGAACATTTATGGGGAGGGTTCCTTAAGGCAAAAACTCTCTTAGACTTCCAAAATTTTACCATAACCAACTGTCCAACTCCAACAATAAAACCCTCTAAACATCTATTATGATTTTGAGATTTAAAAAAAGCTCTCAACACCAATTTTTCAAAGGAAGTAGTCAGATTGATTTGACAACTAGTTGTGTTGCAGGCAAGGCGACCATACAGAAGGCCATGAGAGAACTGGAGTCTCAGCTGGCTGAGCTGCAGGAGGACCTTGAGGCAGAGAAGATAGCAAGAGCAAAGGCTGAGAAACAGAAGAGGGATCTCAACGAGGAACTGGAGGCTCTGAAGAACGAACTGCTCGACTCCCTGGACACTACGGCGGCACAGCAGGAACTGAGGACCAAGAGAGAACAGGTACAGTCGGGGAGGCAACTTGAACTTGTTACTTGTAGTCAGTCGAGGTATACAAATAATCATTTCGTGAAACTTTTCATAGGAATATTGTAGGATAATTTTTCACAAAAGTCTTGAGGATTTCAAGATGAGCAAGATGATTTGCAAAATTGGATGGGATATCAGTAAAATCTTATTTTTTCCCTGGATTTCCATGTATTTTTCTGTAATTTAACTAGAATGTCGATAAATAAACATTTTGTCTCTTAAGTGCCAAAGTTATTTTTCTGAAGCCCTAACTGATGGAAATTGGTAACTTGTAACGCACAGGCATCGCTTATATGGAAAACCATTTACGTATTCCATAGAGTTAATGATAAATATGTGATTTTATTGTAATTTTTTAAATAAACTATTTAGGATTTTATTTACTGTATGATTGATTTTCTGTAAGGTAATTCTTCCATTTTATCAATTGTATGATTGAAGTGTAATTTAATTGTATACACCAGGAATAACACCATGGGACATTTTCTGTTTTGCAGGAGTTGGCAACACTGAAGAAGACCCTAGAGGAGGAGGCACAAGTACACGAGGCTCAGATGACAGATATGAGACACAAACACACACAAGAGTTGACCAGTGTCAATGAACAACTGGAGCAACTCAAGAAGGTAACAGTCAGCTGAACAATAAGAATAGGAAATTCAATTATTGTTCATAGTATTGTAACAATTAATACACATGCATGTGAACTAGTATAAGGTTTCACTCACTAGCATCACCCCAAGGCTAACATCCACTACAACATAACAAGCACTAGCTTGGTTAGTGATGTAGTCTTGAACTTGTTTTAATAAACAGTTCGTCCTCTGCTTATTTTACCTTAACCATCTTATGATGTGTAACATTTTTTCAGTGGCACAAAATACAGTTTTGTTGTTGTGAGAATGACACATTACACTCTAGTTTTGAATTTCCTATATGTTTTTAACTCATCAAGATTAGTATTTTCATGTTATAGTTTTAGAACTTTGGTTGGTCAATTTAGATTACTCGTGTTTAAACGCTGGTTTGTTGTGTAGGCCAAGGCAGCGCTGGAGAAGACCAAGGCACAGCTAGAGGCTGAGGCTGCAGACCTGGCTACTGAGGTGAGGTCAGCGTCAGGCACCAGGGCTGAGCTGGAGCGGCGCAGGAAACAGGCTGAGGCGGCACAGAGTGAAGCTCTGGCAAGACTAGCTGAGGTAACAGAGCAAGTCACATCAACCGTCAGCAAATAAGTCTAAGGCAAACAGTAACGGTAGCACACTCAGTGAGTTGAGTAGAGCGTTCAAGTCAATCATTGCAGAATTTCTTGAATGTTAAGTGATATTTTTTCTGTGTTGATTTAGTCTTGTTGAACTACTCATTTTTAACATCAAACACTTGTTAAATACCATTAATTTTCGTATTTTGCAGTAATTATTATGATAGTTTGGTCAAAACTTTTACAAAATACCTCTTGCGCTAGGTTGAAAGAGCGAAGAGCGAGCTGGCAGACAGAGTCAACAAGCTGACAGCTGAGTCCGAGTCTATCACTGCCCAGCTGGAGGAGGCAGAGTTGAGGGCGTCTGCTGCTATCAAGTCAGCTGCTACCATGGAGTCTCAGCTGAGCGAAGCTCAGGCACAGCTGGAGGAGGAGACAAGGTGAGCCAGTGTTGACAACTGTCTATGTTTGAATTTCCCAATCCTTATGTTATCTATGTAACAGTCTGTGTTGTCAAATTTTTTACTTATTCTAGTGGACATTTTTGCCTAAGAAAGTATTTGGCCTTGCCTTACCAACCTGTTGTGGTTGTATTCAATTTAATTATTAATCACCAGTGGTGTCCAAACTTAAATTAAATACTTTTTAATTTTTTTGTGTGCTTGTAATCTCAAATGAAGATTAGAAATGGAAATAAACTGTTATCGTGACAAAATCGCTTTCAACTGATACCCTGATACCAATATATAAAGCCTCTTTGTCATTCTAATGTTACATAAATGTTGTTGCAGACAAAAGTTGGCTCTCAGCAGTCGACTGAGGCAGGTAGAGAGTGAGAAGGAAGCTCTAAGAGAACAGTTAGATGAAGAGGAAGAAGCCAAGAAGAATCTGGAAAAACAGGTGGGCAAACACAACAGTGTTAAATATACCATGAGCTTGTGAAAACTTTGAATTTAACCTGTATTTATGTAAAGCCAGGGATTAAACTATGATCAGAGTAAAGCCAGAGATTAGAATTGTGCTGCCCATGATATTGATTTAATAGTAGGAATTCTTTTTATGTAAAAAAAAAAAAAAAATAGTTGCACATTGGAGGATTTCTTAAGGAGAATAAATTAGTAAACTCAATCAATTTACCTTGGGGCTTTTCCTTCTTCAAGAGAAGTACTGTTAATATTTTTTTTTCAATTTTGATATTCTGTTTGATTATGCAGCCTACAAAAATGTTTGTTTGACTGCAAAAATCAAACAGTACAAAATGGCTCATAACTAATCAAAAATTTATAGCTGTTTGAAAAGTAATCAGGGATAGAGTGACTTTTCCCTTTAAAGTGGTTCGATTGTGATACAATACTCAATCTCCTACATCTATGATCACACCTGAGTGGTTAGTGAACTCAGTGATTTTTACTATAGTTTATTAAGAATATTAAGAAAAGTGGGCTGCTTTGAATTATTTGCTTCTTTCCTCTATAATGTCAATCCACCTTAAAAAATAGTTTACATGTTTCACAGGTTGTTGCACTCAGTTTGCAAGCCACGGAAGCCAAGAAGAAGGCTGAGGAAGAAGCAGAGAACGCTGCCCAGTTGGAAGAAAGCAGAAAGAAATTGCTCAAGGTCAGTGACACTTGTACATGCATTATGAATATTAACTTATTTATAGTGTAATATTATGAACTTTTACAGTAATCCAGAAAGGGGAAAAGTAAAATTGAACCTTCAAAAATTGAGCTGTTATTGTGTCTTGCTGCTGAATACACTTAACAATTAGGAGAACAACAGTACTGGCCAAAAACATTTTTTAGTCAGCAACTTTGAAACTTAAACAATTTTCAAGCTGGTGGGATGGAGCAGTTATGATGGCTGCGGAGCTGATAGGCAGAGGGTGTGCTTCACCAGAACTAGCTGCACGAGCGACAGCCCACTAATCAATGGATGAAAATTGTGGATTTTCAGTCTATTCTGATATTTGTTTTCTCAGTCGGCTTAATGTGGTTCTATCCAGTTGAATTGTTATCTACAGAAGCTTGTGTTGTCTGACAGGACCTGGAGGTGCTGCAGAGACAGGTAGAGGAGCTACAGGCAGCCAATGACAAGCTAGACAAGAGCAAGCGCAAGCTACAAGCCGAGCTGGAGGACTCCAACATTGACCTGGAGACACAGAGAGCCAAGGTGTTGGAGCTGGAGAAGAAACAACGCAACTTCGACAAAGTCCTGTCCGAGGAGAAGGTGAGTGTAGAAAAATTAATTGATCCATTTTCCTCCTGTGTTTCTAAGATGTAAAATTAGTAATAGTATTTACAGTATTTGCTAGAAGCTAAATACTTTTTTTATTTTTTGTGATGTAAGTAAAGTGAATATTTTAATAGATGTTCAAAAGATATTTTATGATTGATTTTCATATAATTTAGGTTTAACAACGTAGCAAAATTTTCAGATCTCTCTTCAACAACATAAATTCTAGAGTTTTTCTCCGGAGTGGAGTATCAAAAAACAAAATGTGTTTTTTTTTCAATGAAGGGTTGGAAAACTTTTTGTTATTTTCCAATCTGTGGTGGCACGTCAGTTATTTTCTTTATTAAAACTTACCATCCCGGTTGCTGTTGACTGTTGAGTTTTTAGAATTATATTTGAGTTAACAATAGGTTGGAGGAAATAGTGTCAAACTGTAAAACATATACTGTAAAACACACAAAATACAACTGACTTGTTTTTTCAACTCTAATAAGACCTTTATATTTATTCCTTTCTTATGATCAAATTAGGAATAAAATGACAATCTGATATTAATACGTAGCTCTTTGTGTATATAGTGCACTTATTTGTAGTATTGTATGTTAAATTTATCTTACTTGATCAATGTCAAGTAGTGTGTTTCTTTCCTCTTCATACAAATCTGTTTACAATACTCTTTCTTGCAGGCTGTGTCCGAGCAGATCGCTCAGGAGAGAGATGCGGCCGAGAGAGAGGCAAGGGAGAAGGAGACTCGAGTGTTGTCTCTGACAAGGGAACTCGACGACATGATGGACAAGATGGAGGAACTCGAGCGGTCCAAGAGACAACTGCAGGCGGAACTCGACGAGCTGGCCAACAACCAGGGTACAGCAGACAAGAATGTGAGTAGAACTTTTAGGGGTTGTAGAGTGGAGGTCAGAGTTGTTGGAGAATTTTTATGTTGAATCTAGGATGTTAGATCTATGTTTAATGTTCAATGTAAAAGGAAAACAATACCATGAGGGAAGGGGTGAGCTGTTGTAAAATGTACTAATATTAATCCTTCCTCGAGCTTTAAGTTTCTTACTTCAGTTCAGTCAAAACAAGTCTAGGCAAAGTTTGAATAGGCTAAATAATACCAGTAAAGAGCTAGTAAAGGGCTCAAGGCCAAAATATGTTTTGGAGTAGGAAGAGCAGGCGGGATACATGAGTGGGTGGGGTTTCTTAAAAGGAAACACAACTTCAATGGTCATAGACCACTTTGTCACACAGAAGAGGATTACGGGTAATGTTGTGATTGGTAAAGTGGTCTATAACTAGGGGTCTGCGGGTCCCCGATTTTTTCGGGTCGGGTTGGGCCAGCGGAAGGCCCGAGAGACCGGGTCGGGTCAGAGATTTGTTCGGGCCAAGATCGGGTCGGGCCAAAAAAAATAATTATTAGGCTATTTTTAAAGTTGTAATAAGTAATTTTCAAAGAAACACTCTTATATACATTATTACAGAGGAATTAACATGTTAAAATTAGAATTAAATATTAAGTTTGCTCACGTTTAAGAACAAAGACACAACAGAGCAATTATTGCCTGTCACTAGCCAGAGCCAGTCGTCTACTGACAAAACAAAAGCCGTGACGCAACAGTGCAAAGAAAACGAAGTCAAAAGAAAGACTATTTATCCAGAGGTACCAGTTTAATTATTTATTGTTTACTCCATACCTAGTTTAAATTATATTTTAGTATTTTATTTACATAATAAATTATAAACAAAAGAAATATCTGATATAGTGTACAGATCTGTATCTTGTTCTTTTATTTTCCTTTTGTCCTTTTTGTCATTCAGTAACAAAACAAAACAACACTTCTGATCGTCTGGTTCGGCATTTTATGGTCACCATTTAATTTTTTTTTTTTAGTATCAAGTATCAACAAGTCTACAAAGAGGTTAGGCCTAAATATTTTATAATTTTATGAAAGTTTTCATCAGTAAAATTATTTTTTTCTTAAGTTAGATTGAGTTTCAAAAAATATATTTCTAAGATCCAATACAATATTTACAAGACACAAACTACCATGAATTAATTTCTTTGGAAATTATCTGTAACAGTTTTATATTTTTGAATAAAGAAAATATATCTTTTTGTCTCTACTTCCTTGTTTTGTTACTTGTATTTTGTCAGCAATTGGAACAACCGGGTGGTGTAATAGGGGCGGGGGAGGGGGAGGGTCTATGACCTTGAGTGTCCCCGGGCCTGGCTCGGGTTGTGTAAGATGGGAGGGGAGGGGAGGGGGAGGGTCTGTAACCTTGAGTGTCCCCGGGCCCGGCTGTGAGAGTGATTCATGGTTTTTTGTTTACATTCTACTACCCTTCCTTCCGAGAAAAAGACCCTACTGTTTCAAAAACATTGACTTACAGTATAAAAACATTGAGTTGTGTTGCTAATTAGGGCACTATAATGTCTCTGCTGTCTGCTTATGTTGCCAAATTAGCATTTAACTTTCTTTTATCTTGATTTAATATAATTTTCTATATATTAAGAGTTCCTTTTCGGGTACCTAATAATTGTGATATTGTTTGACTTGAGTTTATGGATTTTTAATTCTTTTCATTTATTAGCTAAAATCAGTTTTTTTAGGATTTTAATCTCTTGCAATACCTATTACTGTGCCTATAACTGTGTATCTATGACTGTGTATCACATGATATGCAATTTTTACAGTCTTTACTATAACTATACCATAAACAATGTATGTGTGTTATTTATTGTTTTAGAGTTTTATAGTAAATAAGTTTACACAATATCTTTTCTTCAATGAGTTCTCCACTTGTCATGTTGCTTAGTCTATTACTATTTTAGGCCCTATAAAAAATAATTCCTATGTAAAGCTGTAGGCATACTAATGCCAATAATAGATAATTCTTTATTTATGATGATGTAACTAATAATGCTATTGTAAGTGTGAGAGGAGGTTAGGAGGCAGGGAATGAATGATTCATATTGCATGGTGGAAACATAGAATTTTTATTTTCTTCTTGCTTGCAGTCTTGAAGCCACAGGCCCTAAACTTGTGATAAGGTTAATTGATTTGTTTATGATCCATTTATATTAAGTTCCATTACAAACTTGTTGTAATATAGCTGTTTAGATATTTCAACAGTTATGAAAATGGGAAAGAATGGCTTGATAAAAAAAATTATTTTCTTCTTTCTTGCAGTTGAGGCAACTCCTAAGCTGTAAATAAGTTATGAACATGAAATAATATACATAAATACAATCTTTTTCCATATGTTATTTTCAAGTAATATTATAAACACAGATAGGAGTTAAAAAAAGAAAAAAAAATCCGGTAATTAATAATTTTTGGCCCGACCCGATTTTGGCCCGAAACCCGAGGACCAAAATTTATGGCCCGACCCGACCCGACCCGAACCAAAAAAGTCTGACCCGCAGACCCCTATCTATAACCATGGAACATTTCAATCTTATGTGTGTTTATGTGTTAAATGTTGAGAAGACTCACCTACTGTGCGGGTAAGTCCGCCTAAAAGCCATTTTCACTGAAAACTTGAAAACTAGTAAAGATTATTTCAATACCTACTAATTAATAGATTATAAATTTTTCAATTTGTATTATTTTACAAAGAATGGCAAACTCTTTATTCTTTCACTGCCAATAACGTTTGCTGTGGCCCACCAATGGGCAGGCGTAGCTCCGGGGCGGCGCAGCGTCGAGCGAGCCCGTTTGGCTTTCAAATATTTCGGTCTGACTAATAGCAAATGACATGCAGTGATGTGCTGCGTTACGACGAGAGTTGAACACTCACAGACAGCAGCACTGTCTGGAACTAGCCGGTCCCATTGTTTTGCCCCGAAATGGAGACAATTAGAAAGAAGGGACAATTAGATGTTTTCTAAGCTTGCTAGAAGGGGATTTTGCGGGTAAAATTACTACCCACTATAAAGCACCCATTCCTAGCTATACACAGACATAAAAATAACCGTTCCTCCTGGTGTGCGGGGGTCGCCGGAATTTTACCCCCCTGGAATTTTACCCCCTGGGCAAAGCTGACGTCACTATGACGTAGTAACCTGAGTGGCCAAAAGTTTGTTCGCGGCCGGAATTTTACCCCCGCGGATTTCAAAATCTAATGAAAATAGTCAGAGCGTGATTAATTCAATTAGCGATAAAAACCGGAATTTTACCCCCTGTCCATATAACTAGTGTTTAGACAACTGAAATGTACGGGCCGGATTTTTCCCCCCCGGAATTTTAACCCCCGGAATTTTACCCCCCAGAATTTTACCCCCGGAATTTACCCCCGGAATTTTACCCCCCGGAATTTTACCCCCTGGCCGATTTTAGAAATTGAATGATTGGTTTTCTTATTTCTCTTTTTAATTAATTGTAAACATTTCATTATTTAGTGGCCTATCTTTATTTATTTATTTTGTAATCTCAACTAAGTCAAACGAATTCGCTGTTTAATTTTGATGTTTGGGATTTGCCTTTGGGGCAAACTGTTGGTTAATAAGTATGTAAATAAGTAATAGGCCATGTTAATAAGTATGAAAAACAATGTATTTAGTTTCAGTTGTACAACAACCTTCTTGTTTCTTCAGGCACAAACCATGTGCTATTTATAGTTTGTAATGATAAAGATAACCTATATTAAGATAGGCTACTTAATAACATGTTTACTATTAAATTAAAACAGAATGAAGATAATTAATCATTCTCACTAATTTTTATAGCCAGGGGGTAAAAATCCGGGGGGTAAAATTCCAGGGGTAAAATTCCGGGGGTAAAAATCCGGGGGGTAAAATTCCGGGGGTAAAATTCCGGGGGGTAAAAATCCGGGCCGTACACTCTAGGTTTTTATAATTTGATGTGTTCTGATTAAATTCACAACCGTGAAAATATATGTTTAATTCCGCGTTTAATCCATCGAGCTGATGTCGCGAAACTCAAAAGTTCGCGGCCGGAATTTTACCCCCTGGTTTGTGACGTCACGTTTGCCCAGGGGGTAAAATTCCAGGGGGATAAAAATCCCCTACCCCGTGTGCGGTTGCGCAGAAATTGAGTGGAATGTAGGCAATTCCGGCACTCACCGGGGAGCGTTCAGAGTGGCAGAAATGAACTCGAGCACTCACCGGTGAGTGGCCCGCAGGGAACGTGTTAACAATCTCAGCCAACAAGCTTGTAGAATTAAAACTAAAAATTGTTATTCGATTGTGCATTGCTTTTCTTTAAAATAATTTTTGGACATAATCAAGATTTTTAATGTTATTAGTTGATATTTTGCTTTCACATGTTCATTATTGTTATAGTTATTTCACTTCGTTCATTTATCTTACAATGGACAAATACCCAATAGATTCCCTTCACTGTAGATCTGGTATTGACCTCATAGTTGTATATAGCGTAGACGTAGAGGCAGAACACCAAGATGAATGTAAAGTGTTAGTGACACACTCAATAACCTTGTTTCTCTGTTGCATGCGTTTTACCCTTTAGGCACAGGTAAGGTTACTCTCGCATGTCCTCTTGTGTTCTAATTGTTTTCTATCCTTTTCTGTAAAAGAAATATTAATTGTTATTAAATTCCATTAGTTCAGATTTTATTTTAAAATGCCAGTTTAAACTAGTTTAACTAATTGTTAAAATTGAGACTTTCAAGACATATTACAATGAGAAGTCAAAGATTTAACTTTTTTTAGATTACTAAATAAAAACCATATAATCTTTTATAATACATTACCTATCAAAAATGTTTTAATTTTTTAACAAGCTAAAGTTTTTTAACTGAGATATAAAAAAATTTAATAAAAATAAATAAATCCATTTGTTTCTCTGATAACACGTTATAACGATTGTTTGCAATTCCTGATGACCTTTTATACAATCACGCTCTATGCTTTGTTGCATGCTTGTACACAATTAGGCCCAGGTAAGCGCTTGCCACTTTTCACTGATGTTATTTTTCAATCAAAACTATTAACTGTTCACCTACTTGGTGTTTTATCCTAGTTCATCCTAGGTCATCTATCTTGTAAGTGTTGTGACCTTTCAATTTGGACCATTTTGGTTTTCTATTTGGTGTTTTTTATGATTTTTTGTTAAGTAATTAATCCACTTATTACAAGTTAACTTTTTCTTATTTATATTACAGGTATGGCTTGTCATGATAATTCTTCTTTTAGTAGATAAGTTTTGTATGTTGATTCTATAATTTTCCCCTAAACTGGACCCTAGTTTTTTGTATAATTAACCATTTTTGCATGATTTTTTGTTGAGTTTTGTATTTTTATACTTAGGTCCATCTCTTCTTTAATTGTGTTGTATACTTGTTCTTTTTTTGTTACCTCTTAACCATCAACACCATAAATTGGGGTTTTTGTAAGGAAGGTGAAGTAGCTCTTACTTCTTAAAAATGATCTATTGCACATTCACTTTAAAAAGAGAATTTTAAGTAGAACTGCACATATCTGTCAGGTGTAAAAATGTGCTATTGATGAATTTAAAGATTTATAGAATAATCAAAAGGGCTTTTTAATGTTCCAACGTATTTTTAGAACCTATACGTTTACGTCTGTTCAAAAGCATTTGAACTGATTCACAGACAAGTAAGAAACAGGGGAAACATGCTTATGGAACAACCATGCGCTTTTAGCTCTGGAATGGTGGGGCGGAAATATACTAGTACCGAGCAAAGGAAGAGCCTGAACAGCTATTGTTTACATCAGCAGTTGTAGCGCATAGGCTCTTCCTACAGTGTGAGCGCTGTTGGTGCTCTCCTCTCCTACGGGGAGAGGAGAGCAGAAGGGGATGACCAATAGAATTTTTACCAGACACAAGCAACTGGTGCTAGACACGACTTGTACCATTGAATGTTTCCTCTGTATCTTACTTCTCTGTGACCGTCTCAGTAGTTTTCATTTAGTTCAACCTGCTTGTTTTTTATAACCATTTCTTGCCTCTCTTAGTTAATCTTACCTGACACCTTGTAGTATCGTACCCAAATATTTTTCAATTGCCAGGATTTGTTTTTGTGACAGTTTTCAGAAAAAACTACTGAGAAACACGTACGTTCACCTTGACATAGAGAGATTCCTAGATTTAAACCTGTTGCAGTTGTTATCTCCCTCAAACATTGGAGACCATGCTGTAATTATCCTTAACTTTCGATGGTTGTTAAACAGTCTAACTGTGGACGTGTTGTAGGTTCACGAGCTGGAGAAGGCCAAGCGAGTGTTGGAGTCACAGTTGGCTGAACAGAAGGCGCAGAATGAGGAGTTGGAAGACGAACTACAGATGACGGAAGATGCTAAGTTGAGGCTGGAGGTGAACATGCAAGCTCTGAGGACGCAACTGGAGCGCGACCTGCAGGTGAGTCATAGCTAGCAATGAGTGTACTTATATCTTCAATTGGTTAACTTTTTATACAAGCCCAACTGAAATAAAAACCTTATTGTAAACTATAGCAACTATCTAAGTAGAGTTTCATCAACTATGTTTTGTTATATAAAAATATCGGATACAGCTGGTTATGAATAGGTATGCCTATTTACGTTTCCAAAGTAAATTAATTATTCTATCCAAATTGAAGAAAAGTAAGTGTTAAATGATTTTAAATTGTTGTGTTCTGAATATTTGTTTAAAGAGAGTTGGATATCTATATGACAGTGAGTATTTCTTTGGTTTCTCAGTCTGTCTGAGCAACCAACATAGAAATAATAAAAAGTAGGCCTAATTGTAGAAAAATAATTTTTATTCCATACAAAGCAACTCTATATTTTAGAGATATTACACAAATAGCCTATAAAAATTTATGAATTCAATAATTATTTTACTAAGGCAGGTGTGAATTCAAAACTTTTGCTAATGTTCAAGTTGTTGACTGCATGTGTTGAAATTGTGAAAATTTCTTGTCCAGGCGAAGGAAGAGGCGTGTGAAGAGAAGCGACGTGGACTGCTAAAGCAGTTGCGAGACGTCGAGGCTGAGCTGGAAGATGAGCGCAAGCAGAGAGCGACAGCGTCGGCCGCAAAGAAGAAACTGGAGAGTGACCTGAAGGATCTGGAGCAGCAACTGGATATGCACAACAAGCTGAAGGACGATGCACTCAAACAGCTGAAGAAACTGCAGGTGAGTGGGGTTGGGTGTATACCCATGTTGTACGCATCCTAGGCCTTTCCATCCCCTACTACCTATTTCTCTATATTTCACTTTTCTACATCTACCATCTCACTTCTCTGTTCTTCTCTCCTTCTTTATTCTTCTATCCACCTCCTTCTGGATATTTTCCTTCCCTCTTTCCCCATCAACTACATTGTCCCAGGTATTCTCTATTTTCCATCTCTTCCATTCAAAACTCATTTTTGCTTTAAAATACGCACCCGAAGTGTCAGAGTTCAAAAATATATCTCTCTTCCCACTCTTGCTCTCTATCCTGTCAAATTCTCAACTGCTCATAAACACTTGCAGTGTCAAGTTAGGTACAATTTTTTATCTAGTTATGCATTCTCTGTAGACGCAACTGAAGGACACAACGAGAGACGCTGAAGAGGCGCGTGCCGCGCGGGACGAGATCGCAGCCACAATGAAGGAGACAGATCGTAGGCTAAAGTCTTTGGAGGCAGAATTGCTTCAACTGCAGGAGGAGCTGGCATCAAGTGAAAGGAATAGACGAGCGGCTGAGACTGAGCGGGACGAACTGCAAGAGGAGATCAACAGCAGTGCCAACAAGGGGTGAGTGGTATTCATCCTCAGTGGTTTAGGTTTGATGCTGGTTACAGAAAAAAATACATTTCATTTTACAGAGTTACTTTTATTTTGAGATTTGTTCAAAGGTTGGTGTTTTACAATATAGGTGAAATTTTAGCACATTGTACCTATAAAACACTGCAGCACAAACAGCTTAATTTTAACTAACTCAGTACAATTTCTCTCAGAGCAGTAAAAAAAAATCATATTTCAGGTAAACTACTTAAAAGATATGAATTATCTCATGAATGTGTGTTAACAGGACGCTGTTGGCTGATGAGAAGCGTCGTCTGGAGGCTCGCATCTCCACACTGGAGGAGGACCTGGACACAGAGCAGAGCAACACAGAGGCCCTCATGGACAGGATGAGGAAGACACAGTTGCAGCTGGAGCAGGTCACCACAGAGTTGGCTGGCGAGAGGTCACAGACACAGAAACTGGAGTCTACCAAGATGTTGCTGGAGAGGCAGAACAAGGAGTTAAAAGCCAAACTCTCTGAGCTGGAGACCAACCAACGCAGCAAGACCAAGGCCACCATCCTGGGACTGGAGTCCAAGATTACCAACCTGGACGAGCAGCTGGAGGCGGAGGCCAAGTGAGTAGAGTAGCACACCGAATCACAATATTGATATTTTGCCCCTTTGGGTCTGAGGCTTCTTAAAGCTGGGTTTTTCTAGGCACAGAAGCGGAGCGTGGAGAGCGGACTGCTCTTGTCTTAGGTAATTTAATGTTACTGTTTTCCTAGAAGCAGAGCGGAACGCTATGTTAATCGCTTTTCCGCTCTTCGCGCTCCTCTTTTGCGTCCAGGAAAACCCGGCTTAAGAAGGAAATAGAGAAAGGGAATTTTCAGAACAAAAAGAGGCTGTACCTTTTGCGATTAACTAAAACAGCTTTATGTTATATCCTTCTTTAAAAGATGTTTCTTCATTTTAACTTCTAAATACATTACTAGATAGTATATGATCTTACTAGGAATGAGTTAAAAGTTAAGTTATAGCATAGAAATTCTAATAGAGCTCCAAATTGACTAAGGAATCGATTATTTTATTTAAAGATGCTAACATAATGTGTTTGTGACAGGGAACGGTTAATGCAGCAGAAAGCAAACCGCAAACTGGACAAGAAACTGAAGGAGCTGATGATGCAACTTGAGGATGAGAGGAGACATGCAGACCAGTACAAGGACCAGGTGGAGAAGGTGAGTAATAGGGTTAAATATCAAGTAGCCTAGTAGAAGTTATGGTGAGGAAAATGAAGGAATACCACAGAAAAATGAAGCATGGTAAGAAAGGGGATTAACTCCATACCCACGGTGCTCATTTAAGCAGACACTCTGTTCACATTACACTTAGTCGACCAGTTGATGTGAATAGAGTGTCTGCTTGGATGAGCGCCGTGGGTACAGGGTTAATCCCCTTTCTTACAATAGTAATGGTGAAAGTTTCTACGAGGATTCTGATAAAGGTGGAAGAAGTTAGTATCAGTAACATTTTAGACGTGGTGCTGGAAAAAGTAGGAATTTTTAAAGAGTTATTTTTTTAAATTTTAGGTGCTTTAATCGGGACATTGTCGGACTAAGTAGTTAGGCCAAGTTGCGGGCAAAGTTCTGAATTAAGTAGATGCAAATAACTGAAATGATAAGGGTAATTGTGTTGGTAGTAAGGATTGTGCAAAGATTGCAAGCTGTGGAGATTAGGAAATAAGACAGGGTACAGGGAAACGTTAGGTGTTAGAATAAGTTTGCATCATATGTACCTGAAATAGTGATTTTTGGTGACATAAACAAGTCTATTCCCACTAGCAGATCATTTTCCCATCTTGCAATATTAAATTCCCCAATGATGACAATAAACAAATTATTACGTCAGAAAAATGTGCGCATAAAAAACTTAAGGCTCTGTAGTAAGCGAGAAATACAGAAATCCTGAAAAGAAATATATGTATTACAAATCAAACTTTGTATTTTTGAATTTATTTAATGCGTATGGTCTATATTGCAGATCAACGTGAGAGTGAAGGTGCTGAAGAGGCAGCTCGATGAAGCTGAGGAGGAGAATAGCAGAGAGAAGATCCAGAAGAGGAAAGTACAGAGAGACCTCGAGGACCTGCTAGAGTCCAATGATGTCCTGCAGAGGGAGAACAACAACCTCAAGAAGAAACTCAGGTGAGAAATCTAAACTTACTGACCACTTAAATTTCAGTTATACAAAATCTTCTATCTTATATATCAAGTTATTTTGTACTTCATTTTTTTATGTCAGTTTGAGACCTCTCTAATAAAGGATTTCTATCTAGAAAGCATGTCTTATAGGATATTTTTCCAATTAAAAAATACCCCAGGGTTGAATATTTGTTAGTCATAGTTAGGCCTACAACAAGCAAAATTCAAATAAATCACATCAAGCTGATTCATAACATTAACATTTATTCATTTTTATTGGCCACCAGAGCTTTTTGATATAATATAAATAAATACCAGAACTTCTATCAGAGTTCGGACTTGTTCTTTTTTAGTGAATGCCCATGTTTTGGCTTTTGTTAAGCCAGAGTCATATCCATCAGGGACTTATTCATCTCTCGATGTTGTCAATCATTTAACACAAACACATTCAATTCTAGCCCTAGTTGTCATCATGTCATGTTGTGTTCTAAGCGTGTTAACCGATTGACGTCATCAAGAGATGGACAAGTTTTAATCCCTGATAGATATGACTTATAGCTTAACAAAAGCCGAAACTCATGTCATCCACCATAAAGGACTATTCTGGTCAGAACTGTGACGGAAATGTTGGTAAAATGCTGGTACTGTATGTGTATCATCATAAAATTAACTCATTTACCCCTATTAAAATTTGTGTTTAGCCAATAATAATTGTAAGCAGTTGTATGATGTAGACCTGTTTATACGATAACAGGTATATTTTGCTTTATTACTGAATATTTTGGCAACACTGTCAGCAATCAGCAGATGTTGTAAACATGTGTTTTATCCAGTAATATCCCAGAAACACCTCCAGTTGTATCCAAAGAGCTGGTTCGTCAAACAGCCAACAAGCTGCGTAGAATTTCCTGCCCAGCAATTAGGTATTGGATGGTGATATGCGCCTGCGTGGACGTTTTCAACTAACAACTTTTATCTGAAATTATTTTACCAAGTAGTAGTTTTAGTGTTTTTGAATACATTTAGTGCAGGCGTCACATTTTGGTTGCCTTTGAAATCATCGATTAGATGAGCCATGAGTGTGAACATGAAATTTTACAACGCTTCAAGTTTGAATTTGAAAGTTTGTTAACTTAAGTGGTTTATTTATAACATCTAGCAGACATTCATGGGTTAGAACTGGTTTTGTTTCTATCAAAGGCAATTTAGCAAAGTTTTCCTGGTTCCAGGTTTTATCAAAAATCTGTATTTTCCACGGTGAAAGTAAAACTTGCTTTGAAAAGGTACTTTGGACTTTTGTCTGTTGCACACAAGTAACCATTCACCTCATGACGTCAGGACTATTTTCATCTTTTGGTTCACGACTAATTTTTGTTTTTTCGTAACATCGTTAGTTTTATCAAGTGGAAAATTATTAACCGAATAAATCCGAGCTAAACCAAGTTCAAAGCATGAATGTCTGCGGTATAAATTTGAGCATGGTTTCACTTATGTTTGGTTAAAGTAATTAGGTTTTTATGACATTGCTAGTGATTGGTTGATATTGAAATAATCCTGTTTTCATTTTGTAGTTACATGATTAATTCACCTAAATAAATATGCAACTTTTCACAACAACCTGATTCTTAAAATTTGAATGATGATTTAACTTTACAAAGTGCCTGCTAGGTTTAAGTAATATATATTTAGTTTACTTATTCAAAGAAATGATAGTTGCACTTATATGAAAAAGACATAAAAAACAGCTAGAGGGGGGAGCTATTGTTCACTATTGTGTAAAAAAATTCACTAAATAAATTTTGGTAGTACCATTTTTTTTGTTTACTTTCTTTTTGAGTTGAGTAAGTTTATCTAAATGGGTGGATACATATTCTTATGAGATTGAATAACAAATTTTAGCTCTTGTATTACCATGATTAAGAGAAAGCTCATAAAATCAACTGTTTTAAACTTACATAACGTTCAGAGTCAATTGTCCTAAGTAGTTTAACTAATTTTGATTTTGAAGACTTATAAATAAAAAAAAATCATAACTGATGCTTTGGACCAGGCAGATTCAAAATTTCTAACTGTTGGTTTGTATAACAGCTCAAACATTTCAGATCAATGATATGTGTATAATTGATTGATCGTGGTGTATTGTAGTTGTTGTTATTGACTAACTGTAGTGTTCACAGGGGTATCTCCGGAGTGGGGTTGTCGTCAAGGTTGACGTCGTCCAAGAGAGGCTCCGTACCTGCCGATGACTCCTCCTCCGTCAACAACACGGCGGAGGACTCCATAGATGAGGACGAGGTGCCTGCCTCGTAAAGTAAGTCTTTATGTTAGGCCATATTGTTTTCATCTTCATTTGCCTATGCCTATTGAGATTTGACAGTTGCTGTGAGTAAAAGTCACGTGGAATCGGATGAATAAGCGTAATTTAATTTGCTATGTCATAGTAAAGTCTCTGTACAGTTCTCCCTTGTAAGATTCTGTTCTATTCCTTTATTTTTGTAAAAATTTAGAAACTAAGATTTGTTCAGAGTTTTTTTTTGTACTCCATACTATTTAGAGTTTGACTTTTAAATTGGAGCTATGTCACAGTGGAATTTGTATTCTCTCCTAATTTGTAGGTGTGTTTAAATTTAAGTTTCTGAATGTTATTCTTACCAGATGTTTTCTTGACTGTTATATTCTCTGTTCCAGACGCCAGGCAGCTCACTACTGGTACATTCCAGCGGAGGCGGAACGTTTTTAATTTATACAAGTAACCATGAAATGCCTTGAACGTTGAAGCGTCGCTTCCTTCAACGCTTACGACGTTGCCAGTTACGTTATACACCTGTACAGACCTTTTTATCATGTAATCGTATTTCAATTTAGAATTGTGTCATAATATTTTATTTAATTTTACATGGCGCCGAGGTCGACCCTGCGGCATTGTACACTAACATTTTATAGCTTGTCCTCCAATTTGTGTGTTTGTATGTAAGTGCGCGTGTGTGAGTGTATAAAAGTTGCGATTTGTAAATAAGAGGACTAACATTTGGTAAGGGAATAGCCAGTCGTGATACTTATTATCTTTGTATTGGGCATAATTAAATGAGATGAATTTATTTAAAATTTGTTTTCTTTTTTCCCCATTGGTGTTTGATTTGGAAATTGTTTGGTTATATAAGTTATTTTATTTAAAAAGTTACCTTTCTCAATTTTAAACTTTTTTTAGTAAATATATCCTACATAACAAGATTGTCAAACTGTTTTGGCAAGAATTTAACAATATTGCTTATCCTCTAATGCCATATTTAGTTTTATAATTGTGGCCGAAGTAAAGCAGTATTGTTATAGTATTGTTAACGCAACAATCGCGTAAAGACTATTTACGCCAGTTAAATAATGTTTTTAAGGATAACAATGCTGTTGAGTGAATCTTTTCAATTCTTAGTACTGAACTAAAACGCCTAGTTTAAAAAAACGGCCGTAGGAAAATAACAGTTGGTATGTGTTTAACTAATGCTTAGCTAATTAAAAAAATTGTTAAGTTCTCATTCAGATTCTAAAATCTTAAGTGATTTGGTTACCTAATCCATTTGTAATTCCTCTAAATTCCTCTAAACTAAATTAAGAAACATACTGAAAAATAAAGTGGTTCAAAATAAAGGTATGCTAGAACGGATGCACTCTTGAGCTTAGCCTTAAAGCTGGATGAAGCACCAACTTTGATTGTTGGACACTTTTTGGACTAAGGGGGTGTCGAACTATCGTTGAAGTATATTTGGACATTTACACAAAGGTTGTATTTAAAATGTGAGATAAAGTAAACAAATTTAATTAATAGTATAAAACATTACAAAAATAAACTTACATCTCTACTGTGCATTCTTTGACTTCTTACTGTATTTTTACAGCTTTTCACCTCGGATTTTATAAAAAAAATGTAAATTAATGGAATTCTTAAAGCATTAAGTTGTTCGAAAACAAGAAGGCCTCTAGTTTTTTACCCCGGCGAACCAGTCATCACTGCCCATGTTGAACTATCGAGGTTCTACTGTAAGAGCAAACGTGGATTAATGGCTTAGTGCTGGCAAGCTTTTGGATTCCATAGATATTCACCAACTATTATTTCAGAATAGCCCAGGAAACCTTGAAATTTTTCTTGAATTTACAAACTTTATTAACAATCTAAAATTAATTCAATAATACTAAATGAATACAAAAGGCTGCGTAAATAGCCTGGATTACTCCTTAATACTCAATAAAAACTAATAATTTGGAAAAACAAAGTTCCAATTACAAATTTTGATAAACGAGGAAAAACACATAATCACACCCTGATTTTAAGAAGGTAATAAATTGAGTTCACCTGGAACCAAATTGCTAGAAAGAAAGTAACCTATGTGACAGACAGTACCTGCTGTTACACAGGCCATTCTTCAGACAATCAGGGGGGACTAATAACTTGATTACTTTAGCTTTGTTGTGATTACCGGTACTTGTATAATCACAACCTGTCAAGAATCAGAGTCCAATTAGTAGGCACTGAAGTCTTGCACAGTCAATTAAATTATCCTTTCAATGACAAAATTATGGAGACCAATGATTCTTTCCTGTTTCAGATTAAAATCCTATCCTATCCTTTGTCAGAAACCTTTCTACTTTTATGACTACAAATTGAAGGAAAAACTCCTAACCAAATCCGTGAGTCCTTCTGACCTGATGTTGTAAGATACAGTGTTAAGGTAAGGATGTTTGGATTATGTTCTTTTAGTACCGGTGATATATTGTTTTTTGAATACTTTAATTTGGGTGTAAAATGTCAGGTCAAAATCGAGTCTTTTTGGAAAGTATGAAAAATATTACTAATTGTTGTAGGCCTACTACAATTAGTTTATTAGATATTTTACATATTTCTTTTATGATATCAGGAATTTTCAACCACGCAAGCTTTTTAGATGCTCTGCCAATGTAATTCCGTATTTGTGATGTAGTGCTTGTTTTAGATTGGCCCGATTCAAGCCTATTCTTTGTTTTGAGACAGACATCTTGTCATCTCGTGTTCTGTTTTAGTAGGGCTCTACAGTTGTTGTTTTATTGAGTTAAATAATGTTCTAAGAAACTTATTTTAATAGTAGGATAAAATAAATATAAGGCAGCACTTAAAAACCATTTTACCTAACCCGCCATGTTAAACTTCCCTATTCCAAGCATGATGTATACAACTTCTTTACTTCACGAGTGAAGTAAAGTTTCAAAAACTCACTAGGTGATTACAGGGTGTCCACCGACCGGGATTTATGCGTGAATTTTTTGAACCGGAAAAAACCGGGAATTACGAGTGGATTTCATATTTTACCGGGAATTTTCAATTTGTCACGATTGCGCATGAAGATAACGTTTCCGTGACCGCGGGAGACGACGATGACGTTTTCGTTACCGCGGGTGACGACGATGACGTTTCCGTGACCGCAGGGAAAGACGATGACGTTTCCGTGACCGCGGGAGAAGACGATGACGTTTCCGTGACCGCGAGAGACGACGATGATATCCAAACGGCCGTGGGATTTGTTAGTGATTTTGACGAGATCGCGCGTGACAACGTTGACGTATCCGTGACCGCGGGAGAAGACAATGACGTTTCCATGACTGCGGGAGTCGACGATGACGTTTCCGTGACCGCGGGAGCAGACAATGACGTTTCCGTGACCTCGGGAGCAGACAATGACGTTTCCGTGACCTCGGGAGAAGACAATGACGTTTCCATGACTGCGGGAGTCGACGATGACGTTTCCGTGACCGCGGGAGCAGACGATGACGTTTCCGTGACCGCGGGAGCAGACGATGACGTTTCCGTGACCGCGGGAGCAGACCAATACGTTTCCGTAACCGCGGGAGACGACGATGACGTTTCCATAGAAGAGGGTTATAATGTTTCAGTTACATCTGAAATATTTTAGAAGTTTGTCACGACCATGAAAGACAGTGGTGATGTTTCTGTTACTGAGTGAGATATTCAGGATTTTTCTGTTATCGCAGAAAATGATGATGGTATCTCTACGACAGTGTTAGATGATCACGATAACCTTGAGTTTGGCTTGACCAACAATTTTAAAATGGCACACTTCTAGAAAGTTTTTTTTTTATAATTTGTAATATCATTTACTTTTAACGTGGTATTTATTTAATGTGTTTAGAAGGGTTTAAAATTTTAATTGGCTACGGGAATTTTTTTTAATTTTTGCTTTATTTTTAGATTGTGTCACTTGAGAAACAATCTATAACTCCAAAATTACATACTATAGAAAGTACATAAAGACAGGGGTTTGTGTAGAAATCATTACAGAAAATTTAGTAAAATTTAAATTATCAGTATTAAGCATCTATTTTTTAGGTGTCTGTACAGAGATTCAAAAAATTTTGGTATCAATATATCACTATTTTTTTTTTAAGTTATTGATCAATTGCAGGTTTAATGATTAGTTTTAATTTTTGGAGTTTTTAATCAGTAATATATAAAAATTTAATACTTGTGTCAGGCAAATAATATTACAGTAATCATAAATTTTATTTCTTTAACTGAGAATGCTCTTTCCTATAGCTAAAATAGCAAGCTGGTGTTAGCGCTAAAACAGCATTGCGAGAGTTGGCGCAAAACACGTTGGAAATTTTAGTATGAAAAGTACAAACCTGGATTTTTTTAAACTCATGAATTGCTCATGAATCAAGAAGCGCTAAAACAGCATTGCGAGAGTTGGCGCAAAACACGTTGGAAATTTTAGTATGAAAAGTACAAACCTGGATTTTTTTAAACTCATGAATTGCTCATGAATCAAGAGTGTGTTTACATCACGAAGGTGAATTACGCAACTCGCTTCCGCTCGTTGCACAACATTCACCTGCGTGGTGTAAAACGCTCTTACTACACTTGTAAGGTAAATAGCTATTACCTAACCCGCCATGTTAAACTTCCCTATCCTAAGCGTGATGTATACAACTTCCTTACTTCTCGAGTGATGTAAAGTACCAAAAAACTCACTCGGTGATGTAATGAAACCCATTTAAATAACATTGAGTGGATAACTTAAAAAATATAACTCTATGGAGCCAACGACGTTTAACGCTAGAAATCAGCTGTGTGCTTGAATTTTATTGTTATGTTTTGGAGAATTTTCCTAACCTAGCTTTTGTTTGTAAATGAACCTTACTGTTATAAGATGAGTGAAATGGGTAATGAAAAATATTGTTCGTAACCTCCTGTATATTGTCGGGTCAGGTAAAATCTTGTACGTTACACGTTACGCAAGAGCGTGTTTACATCACTTAGGTAAATTATGCAACTCGCTTCGCTCGTTGCACAACTTTCACCTGCGTGATGTAAAAACGCTCTTACTACACTTGTAATGTAAATAGCTATTAATTAACTGGTAGTAAGTTTACACAACTTAAACAAACATTGCAATAATCAGAATTACATACAGCTGTTACAGGTCTGAGTGAACCATTTTTTATCTCAACAAATAAACCGGTTGTGTGTAAATTCTGTTGAGAAAAAGTGTCTGTGCCCATGCCTATTGGCACAAGTGTCCTTTTAAACCAAAAAAGTGAAATGAAATGAGTGAGTTTGAAGTACCGTAACTGAAATGGTTTTATTCAACTTAAAAACAGAACTACATTTCCAAGAATAGATTTTCAGAACAATAAAAACAAATCATAACTTTAAATACTGAGAATGAATTAAACAGCCCTTAGCTCTTTAACACGTTCGCTGCGGGCCACTCAGTGGTGAGTGCTCTAGTTCCTTTCTGCCACGCTGAACGCTGACCCGTTCTGACATCGCCTACATTCCATTCAATTTCTGCGTAGCAGCACATTGGGAAGAACGGGGATTTTCATGTCGTTTAGCTAGGAATGGGTGCTTTTGTGGTGTAGGTTGCGGTTTTAAGGTTAACTAAAAACTCGTTAAAACGGACCGTTCAAATGCATACTGAATACAGTATTTGACTTAAATTTAGGAGAGCGTTGTATTTAGACTGTGACTGGTCTCAAATCTTTCCCATGCAAACAGTAGTTTCATTACTGCATACTTCCTGCCGATCTAGTCCGGTTAAAGGTGTTTGGATAAGGAGTCTACTGTAAGCATATTTATAAAATCCCTTATTTACACTTTGTTCTATTCACCATTTCTAACTAAGTGAAGGATAAAATAAAAAACGATAGGGAAATTGTATTGATAATTTATTTTACAAATTAAACTTATATGTTGGTAACAAATTGTACAAAACATCCAAAGTCACTTTCTAAATCTTCCTATAACATTTAACTTTCGAGATAAAATCATCTTGTGTAAAAATAGTTTAGTTTACAAATAAACCATAACAATTTATGTAATATTTGAGTGAATAATCCTAGTTTATAAATTAAAAATATACAAAACTACTGTAGACACAGCTGGGGCCAACTAAACCATGCATGTTGGTTTTCATATTAAATAATATACTTAAAATGTATCCCAGCTAAATGTATATATATATATATATATATATATATATATTTAAAAAAAAAAACTACTGCAAAATAAACCTGTATATTCACTCACACCTGAAAAACTTGCCATAGAATTACAAATAACTAAAATACAGTTTGTTATTGTAGTTGTATTTGTAGAATATTAAAAAAATTACTAATATGAAGTAGCCTTATTTAAGATTGAAAGGTCAGCTTAAACAATCCTGGCCTTTATGTACACTTTAAGGTAAGACTAAACCTAATTGTTACAAAAGACCTGTTGTACATTGTCCCTAAACAACTAAATACAGCTCATTTTAAAAAGTAAAATTCAACAACAGTTCAGTAATAAAAAATACTGACCTAAGTATAATATATTTATATAGAAAATAAATTAAGTAGACATTTAAAATGAATGGGTTAGAAAATTAAAAAAAAAATTAAAATTATGTTAGGCTATGGATAAGTAAGTATATACAGAAAGATTCTCGTCCAAAAACTCAGACCTGAAAACTTTCAACCACTAGTACTCCAACCTATTTTTGGTTGGTCTTCATTTAATTTTGTTCTATTTACAATATCACTAAGCTCTTAGAGTTACAAATGGAATAAATTTGTTAGCAAGTAATCAAAATAATATTTTTTGACAAGATATCAAATTGTAGATTTTTGTGATGGGTTATGTATGACTGGAAGTTCAGTCTCAGGAATACACACTGACAGGAGATGCAAATAAATTAGTACAAAAAACATAATAGCACCCTTCTCCAATCCTTGGTGGATTCTGCAAGCTTGCATTCGGCTACATACTTACTAAGTAATGCTAAGAACCAGTTTTACACATGCAAGAACTTAAGTGAACCAGTCCATACTGGCACAAGAAACACTGAAATTGTATTGCAAAGTAATGCTTAAGTTGCTGGTTATTAAATAAGTCTGAAGAATTCAGCTAGCTTACCTGAAAAAAATATCTGGTTACCTGAATCCAGGGGTTAACAGATACAAAGATCACACATAACATAACACTGATATTTCATTCTAGTAAGACTTCTTCATAGAGTAATTTTTCTCAGGTAACTAGCTAAACTATATCCCTTTTCAAAACAATCCCTAAAACCTCAGATTGTAAGTTTAAATTTTCTTGTGCCAGTTCAGCACATAACTTGTGCCTCTACATCTCGCCATGTATGGGTCCTATCTCTATGACCTGTACCTCCTCAGGCACCACTCGCTGTCTGTGTGTCTGCTGATGTGTCAGTAGACCTGACTTCCAGTTGAACGTCTTCTCACAGATGTCGCACTGGAAAGGCTTGTCGTCCGAGTGGCTGTACGAGTGGTTCAACAATCCACTCCGTGTGTGGAACCGCTTGTTGCAGATGTTGCACACAAATGGCATCTCTCCCGTGTGTACAATCAGGTGTGTCTTGAGGTTGCCCTTCTGGTGGAACCTACGCACAAATATACATTCAGGATTACAGATGTCTCTGATTTCCTGCAGACTATGCATTTCAATTGAGGGAAAGTCAGAAGTTTAGTTTGCAAAAGTAAAATGATTCAGCAATGCGATTTGAGAAATAACACGCTACTAAGAAATCTTAACCAAAACTTTGACATAGATTTAATCTCAGAAAATAGTCCAGAAAATTTGTGTGGTTTTTAGGCCTGGTTTCAACCAGCTCACCAAATTCATAAAATTCTACCAACCTGGATAATTTGATATGGAAAGACTTTTATATAAAATATATTGCTAATACCGTAGGTACTTCTAGAAATATCATAACTTCAGTGGTAATAATTATGTCTTCAATTTGATAGACTATTTAAAATAGCTAATGATTTTGAGTTCATTCATTAATAAAAAAAAAATAAAAAAATGAAGACAGGTTTAAAATGTAAAATATGAATATATCCGCTTTCTCCTCATAGTATATGAAAAACCAATCCTCACAGCATTGCCAATATGAAAAATGCATAATACACTATGTAAACTTAATAAGCTAAAACAGATGCAAGAGATATTTCAAAATTACAACAAACAATTAACACTGACAATTTGTTTTTTTATTTTTTGTTTATAAACATTAAGACCCAAAATGTGCGACTCACCTCTTGTCGCAAAGTGTGCAGGAGTAGGGTTTCTCTGAGTAGTGAGTGGCCTGGTGGGTCTTCAAGTTGCTCTTGTGTTTGAATTTCTTGTAGCAGATCTCACACTCAAACGGCTTCTCATCATAGTGAATGCTGCGGTGGCGCTTGAGGTCATGAACCATCTTAAACGGACGGTTGCACACCTGGAAACGACATTGTAGTGAGTTTTTATCATTTTATCACAACTGAGTGTTGTTATCCTTCCCACAGACAGGTTGATTTTCTAACCCTTTGCAATTAGTACAGTAAAACTTATGTTTAGGTTGTCTGTGTCTAATGGTCAAGTGTTTAGCTGTAGGCCTATATTGGTCTAAATAAAGGCATGTGGGAGGTATCAGGGCAAAAAGAATATTTTCTTTACACAAAAAGTTGTTTGCTATGATTCCTGCTTAGAGGTAGACCAAGTGATTTTAGCTAACTATGAAGCTACCACGATGGCTCAGAAAGGTAACTAATGATGATACCAGCAAAGATAGCTGATAGGAAAACAATAACTTACTCCACTGTTACGTAACAATGTGGCCAGTTAACTCACAATCTAGTGCAAAGTGCTATATTTTGATGGGTTAAGTAAATCTCTGACAGTATTTGAACACTTAAACTTAACACAAACATAGTGGTAGGAACACTGACACCAAATACTATAAAGGTCTAACATTTAAAATTCAACACTAATAAAGAGCCCAATGAATTACTCTTAATTCTGTTTAAACGGTTTTAGTTAAACATTTTTTTGTTAATATTTATTTACAAAAATGATCTTTGGAGATCCCAAAGGACTAGGAGATTGTTGAGTACAAACCTCGCAGCAGTATTTGAAATCTTCCGAGTGCATGAGCCGATGCCTGTTGGCCACCAAACGATCAGTAAATGTCTTCTGGCACACGTCACACTGGTACATTGTGTCTACCTCGGGGTGTGACCTGCGCTTGTGACGTAACAAGTCATATCTGCAACGTCAAAAACACTGTTTACAAACTTTCCCTCTACTTTGTGTTTTATCAGAGAAATCAAGTTACTTTAATACTCAACTTTAATGGAAATTACTTAGGAATAAATTAAATCATGAAGAAGGAATGGAAATATAACTAACTAACCTAAGAAATTAGTTTCAGACAGTTGGTAGCACACAAAAAGGTCACAAAACAAACAATTTCACACAATCGAGGAACTTTACTCCTTCTAAAGAAGCCACATAAGTGGTGAAATATCAACTAAATCGTCTGTGAACTTTTTTAAGTTCTCTACCAATAACAAAACCCATTTCAATGTGAATTTCAAAGTGCTCTTTCCTTCAACATTTACCCTAAAAATAAATTAGTAGCAAATCTGTCATAATAGGCCACAAGACTTGAAATCCCAATCATAATTCAAGAAAGTAGGCCTGACTGTGTCTAATCACCTCCTCTTGAAGGTCTTGCCGCAGAGTTCACAGTTGACAGGTTCAGACATCATGTGTGTCTGCTGGTGACTCAGCAAGTACTTGAGTTGTGTGAACTGTCTGTCGCAGATATTGCAGGTCAGATTGGCCAAGTCGTAGGGCTGCGGAGCCTCTGTCTCTAGCAGAAAGTGTCCCTCTGATGCCTAAACCATACATGAACCACATCACACTACAACTCAGGCAACATGTGACATTCCCACGGACAAGTTCATTTGACTATGGGTTGAATCAAAACCAGATTTTGAGGGATTTAATCTTAAATTTAAATTTTACCTTAAAACATTTATAGGATTCACAGGAAATGTGGGAGCGTTTCACGAACTCCAAAATTCACTGACTCAATTCCGGCTAGAAGTTGCTGCCAGGGGAATTTAGGTTAGGTTAGATTGAGTATTAAAAATCAGGAACCTGCAAGAAGTAGCTGCAATCTGACTGTGGCAACCCCTGCAGCATCTTCTGGCCCGGAATGTACTTTGGAGTAGGTGAATTTCGGAGTTTGTGAAACGCTCTGCTTATTTAAATTAATACCATTGGAGTTGGTGAAACAAAGTTTATTTAACATTTTATCCCGTTTAGGGCGGACGGTTTTATAACAATTGTTGATTTATGCTTTTATTTAGTGTTGTCAATGTTTTTGTTAAAAATCAAGCATGTTTTTCTTTTTCTTTAGGATAGGCTAATGTAAAAATTTGACTTTTGAAATTTCGTCTGGTCTCCATCAAGAGTTATATATTTTTTAGAGGATAGCTTGTATCATTCACTTATGGATACTGAAGTAGTTATTTAAAATTAGTAGGTTAGGAGGTAAAGCTTGTATCAATCTTACATCGTTGGGATTGACAATATGTATCTCGGAGCCATCCGTGGGGAGACAAGCGTCAATGTGATCTGACCTCCAGCCCTCTGTCTCCGGGTCCATCTCCCGCTGCAAACAACAAACATCATTGACTGATACATCAATGGCAATCAAACGTACAACTAAACAATTAGCAAACCTTCGTGAGGTTCTCCGATTAACAGTCACCATGTTTTGAAATAGCTGTTGTAAACCATTCGGTGGGCAGAAAAAGTAATCTAAAATCTTAGCCTATAATGATTTTGGACATCAATTTTTTTACAGGCTGATCTCAGAACTAGTTTTCTCTGCAGGAATCCTTAATTTTTCAGCCCCCAAGTTTACCTTCTTACATGGGATCTGTAGGTCCCCAAAATGTTCAGGTCAGGTCAGGTCGGTTGACTCGGATCAGTTCAGACTGAAAGTGAATATCGAGCCAAGCTCGGGTGGAGTAGATCCAAGCCGAGAGTATATTTCCACAGTCGCAGAAAGCATTTGTGAAGATGCGTGATAAAAATTTAGGTATTTTAGTAGTTTTGCCACAATTGTGGGAGACGGTAATGTAACCGCGACCACAGAAGATGTTCATGGTTTTGCTGTAACCTCAGAAGATTTTCACGGTTTCGATGTGATCGCAATGTTCAAAATATTTTAACAGTCAGGATTTTCACAAGCATTTATGCAAGCAAATTAGACCTAATGTCGCAGGGTGATAAACCCTTCTAAATTTGTCTTAAATCCATAGTACAACAAAATGGAACAAAAATCAGGTTTTCCCCTCTATAGACACTCTATTATATGTATAATCTATAATATTAAAACGAAACAGTGTTTTTTTATTTCACGATTCTGAATCAACCACTTGACGGATTTTCATGATTTTTGTGTTGAAAGAAAGATAATTTTGAGAACTAGGGAATGTCGAAGCCATAATTTTAGTTTAGGGTTTCAGTTTTTTAGAAATTAAGTTTTAATTTTTAAAAAGTCTAGCAGCCGACGCTAACAGTATTTTCAATTTCAATGCTGGTTTAACTAACAGCTGGTTTATAACTGTCATTGAAATGTTTATGTTACGAGTTGTTTGTTAACAAAAATATTGTTCGTTGGTGTTTGCCTACGTTCTATTTCACTTTAAAATGTAGGTAGTTTTCCTCTACCGTGAAGGATCTGCGTTATCAGGAAATGTGTTATTTTGAACTAAACATCTCAAACACTTGCGTTTAATCAAGTTTTGTCGTAAATACAATCTGTGTAAGTATTTAGTTTATGTATTGCAAATTTCAACTCATATTTGGGTAATATCTTTTCAACAGTTTATCGCTTAAATTGTTTAAGATATAAGTGGTTTACGTGTTGATACTTATTTTTCTGTATGTTTGAATGTGAGTATGTCGGCATACTAAAATTTTGGTTAGTAATGAAAGCGTCAATCGGTGTAGAGGTCTCTATAAAACTGTCAAATAAACTGCAGGGTGCAGCAGAAACCACAGAAAGTCGACTCATACGATACCAACTTTTCCCGTAGTGCTGATGATTCAGAAACTTGGGCACTGACCTAAGAACCGAAAAACCTTAATGCTGGGTTAGATAATTAAGTGCAGAGAAAAGATACAGACCAGTTCAAGATAACGGCCCGGAAGTCGAAATAAAAAAGAACAGAGAGCTAAGAGAAATGCGTTAACACCGAAATATAGGGATGCTTTCCAGAAGTAGGTAAAGCTTGGATGGACAGGCTGTGCATAAACTTTAAAAAAGTATATTCCAAGGAGTACCACACGATAGATGGGAAATATCAAATTATGAAATGCATCCTCAGACTGGGATCTAAATTTTGAAGAGGCAGGTGATAAAAAAAAGAGAATCCTCATAAAAGTTTCAGTGGTCACGGAGGTAAGATAAGGTACGGTAAGTACATAAGTAGTACAGTGTGCAATTGGAGGTGGCATGTAACTACTCTACTCAAAACCAGTGTGAATCGGTCGCCAATCTCACTTCAAGATTTTTTAAATCGACACAAATGCTGTTTTATGGTAAAATTATCGGATTTAAAATGCATACCGCCATATTTTAGGTCCATATTCGAATGGAATAAATAGGTGGTCACGTTACATTTGTTTATAAGGTGATCTTCCCCATTAAAACTGCCAGGATTTGTGTCCATGCGTGTAAATGCGTGTAAACTAGATGTTCTTAATTATTCCGTTTTAGTTGACAGCTCGATTCCCGTACGTAGGACGGGCCACCAGCTCGTTCTGTATTATTACAATACCGTACAGCTACTAGCCTAGGGTTGAGGTTTAGTGATTTAATTTCTCTCGTTATTCCACATACCTGACCCAACTGTACCCTGTCGCCAATCTGTAGTTTGTTGAGCTGCAGCTTGTCTCGTATCTGCACCTTGTCCCCGGCCAGACCTGTGATGTAGATAGTCACCTCCTTGTTAGAGGTTTCCTGCTTCACCTCATTGGCGATGGTGACCACCTTGTGACAGAACAACACTGTATAGTGGTTTCACAGTGTTTTGGAAAATTACAATTTGTCTTACAAAAGTCATCATGATTGGCCTACGTAAATATGGTCCTGGGTAAATGTAGGCAGCCTATGCTATTTTTAGGACTCTTAGGGAAGTTATGCTACTTAAGATATTTTTCAGGTCATTACAAGAAGTCTAGCTTTATTGGATCTTTTTGTATAGAGAAAAGAGCAGTTGAAAAAAAAAAATTGTAGGATATTACAGATAGGAAATACCGTTACTTTGCAATAATAGTCAGGAACATCCCTTACTTTTTGGTAGTAGGCAAAAAATAATAAGTTCCGGTACCATTATTTTTTTCACCCATTACTTTCTCGTAAATGACGTTACAACCGGTCACCGGACAGGTACTAACTGTCAGGATTGTGTTATTTCACTCACTCTGGACGTTTTTATTCGATCAGTCCAGACATGGTACATTATTTGATAATGATCCTAGTTAATAGAAATACAGGATCAGTGTTATTTCACTTGCTCGTTCTAAGGGTTCAGACAACATTATAAAAGTAATCATATTACAGTAGAACCCCTCATATCCGGCCTTGGTTTTACCGGTCCTCTGTTTATCCGGCCCCTTCCAGGAAGCCAATATCAAAATTTCTTTTCTCACATCTTACAGACGTTTCGATGCAAGCACTAGTCCTTGTGACTGCTCAAGTCATAAAATAAATTGTTCTCATTATTTATCTGTTTGTTTATACATTTATTTGCTGAGTTACTATACTCAGTTGAGCTAGTAGGCCTAACCTCTGATCAGTTGGTTGATTATTTCTAAAGTGGGTTTAGTACAGTACAATACGAGTACATTAATTTTTGTATTTCACAAAATGGTTAAGAATGTTGAGTAGAAATGCAAGTACCATTTAAGTCCTAATGATCTTTAAGTATAATTTATTGTCATTTTTACCTCCATTTAATATGTTTTGTTACCTGGAATCATAATATTTGTACTAACAACTTTGACCTACAAATATTTTTTTCCCTTTTTACAAACATGTTTATTTTTCTAAAAATGATCCCAGAACAGAATTAAATGATACTTTTGATTGCATATATTGACTACCTATTATTATTAGGTATGAATTGTCATTTTCATAGTAGGTTGGTTTATCCGGCCAAATCGTTATCCGGTCAGGGGTTTGGTCCCGTGGTGGCCGGATATGAGGGGTTCTACTGTACCAAGTTACCGGTCACTAAATTATTTAGTGATGCTCACTGTTAACAGGAAGACACTTCGATCAGAGGGATGGTTATTTCATTTGATGGTTACGTAACAGTTTAAATTACATTACTTAAGTAATAGAGTATTCTTCAGTAACCAGGATAACAGTTGACTTCAGTACTAGTATTATTTTTCCTATTAAGTTAAATAACTCCCTCCTCTCTATACCATCTGTTAGTAATGTGGACTCATTGATTGTCATAGCAGGTGAAACTAGCTAAAATAACAATTTTTCTTTCCAATATTGTTATTTACCTTTGCCGGGACGACTCTGTTGTTGACCACGTTTGCGTTCCCCAAGTTGCTGCTCGGAATCTTTACGACCTTGGTCTGCATCATCTTGCGGTCTCCGATCGGCACCAGCTTCCCAGTGGTCGTCAGTATCCTGTTCTCCCCACCACTCAACCTCACCACTTTGCCTGGGAGAAACCTCTTTTCAGTATTCCCGATAACCACCTTCCCGGGAACCAGCTTCTTTTCAGGACTCATACTGACAATCTTCCCAGGGATGAACTTGTTGTCTTTTGTCAACGTGACGAGCTGCATTTTCTTGTTGCCAATGTTTACAAAGCTCCCTTTCGGCATCAGCTTGATGTTGTTAAAATTGACAAACTTCTGTATCGGTTTGGTTGCTAGGCTCTTGACCCTAGTGATGACTGGAGATGACTGCACCTCCTCAATGGACTCTACGGCCGCGTCCACCTCAGTTTCAACCATCTCCTCGGGGACGGTGACAGTGTTATGTTCAACAGTCTCTGTCTGTGAATTATCCACTTCCTGCGCTGCCATTGACACATTTGGTTCTTCCTGCATAACAGTATCTTCTGCTGTCACCTCCTCCTCTATTGTCTAGAAAATAAATTTAAGTTTTCAGTTATTCATAACTAATAAAACACAACAAATACCTGTACACACATTATAAAAACATACGGTATAGGCTACTGATAATGAGAAAATATTACCAATCAGTCATAATTTTTACTTTATATCAAATCTGATAAGCAGCTCTTAAGTAAAGTAGTGCTGCAATTAATTGTATCGTCTGTGTTAGCCTATTTCCATATTTACCTGAGCTTCAACTTCTTCTTCCCATCCTGGTTCATTAGAATCATCAATGACCACTTCCTCCCTAAAAAAATGTTGAAATGAAGTCATTCAAAGACAAATTTCCACTATGTAAGTAAAAATATTGATTAGCTAGGCTATATTTTAACTATTTTATTGCATTTTTCTTGGTTTTTACCGTGACTTTAAATATGTATTATGGCCAATTAGTACTTTATTTAATTTACTTTCATGTTACAATAAGGAAGATCAAGAGTTTAACACAGATTTGACTTGAGCTTCTGACCCTTAATTGTTTATCCATAAAGATATTTTTCCACTCATAAAAAAACCTTTCAGGATTTGTGTCAAGATATTCCCTGAGTTTTAGCGAATTTCCCATATAGGGAATAAGCTATTACCGTATGTCTCATGGTAAGACACTTTTTCGTTTTAATGTCCCCAGAGGCCAAAAACACCATCCATTCAGATTCATAATCACTTTATATAATATATAATAAATGTGTTCATTAACACGATAAATTGAGCAAAAATTACCCGACTTTGATTAAACTTATTGGTACAAACGTGTAAACTATAATTGATTTATTTAAACAAGTTTGCGAACCAGCGTGCTCGGACGATGGGAATATGGTTTTATGTGGTAAAAATTGATTCTTCTCATTTTTTGACCCTTAAAACATTATATTTCCCAATCTCTCTCTAAACCATTTTTGAAGAGCTTAAAATCAAATGGAGTGTTTTTAGGCTATACAGTTATTGGTTAACTTATGGAGAAAATTAAAAAATTATAAATTTAAAATTCCCGTGTTATTCTTAGAGAGAATAAGTTAATAATTGTAGTTTGTTCGTTTATGGATATATATTTTGATGAAACTTTTGATTTATTTTATACTAAGCTATTACCTACTATTTTATAAAAAAAAACCCCTTTATTACCCTCCCTGTAGCAGCAAACCTAGGTACTCGTTTAACGTTATTGAAATGGATTTAATTAAAAATCAATTAAGGAAAATGGAAATTCGCTTATTCAGCAGGTTTACTGCAACAGGGGTATTTTTTATACTACAGTCTTGCAGATATGCCGAAACTAAAAACAGATGCAAAGGGATTTTGTCCAGGCATATGCATACAACTTCTTTAGTTTAAAAGGGGGTTGAACTAGTTTGGAGCATAAATAATTACATTAGGCCTACTTAACTGCAATTAACTTACTATATCAGAAATTACCTACCAGACATGATCACTTGCAAGCATTTGTTGCGCTAATCGTTCTGACTCTTCAGCTTCATATTTTATATGATCTTCCATTACTTTATCCATAATCAATGGAAACTGAAAAAAACAACACTTAATGAAAGGCTAGACACCACAGACAACTAGTTTAGTTTGTTTACAATTTATTGCTATCAGGGCCGTATTTAGCATTTGGGCGCCCCTAGGCTCAATAGGCCTAATTTTTCTACCCCCAAGTCTGGTAAAAATACTTTCCTAAATACCTTTATTAAAAATTATATCAGCAAGTTTCTTTAGCAATTTAATTGGATCTGGGTGTAACAAAATGCCATCGTTTGTGGGACTGAAACAAAACAACCCAAACCGCAGAGCATTCCCGCAACAAAGCAGCATGGCCATTGCTGCTGCCACAGCAGCTTCAAATTTCATGCCAACAAACATGAACTCCATACAGAATGGCATTTAAGCTAAGTTTACTTACTGCATCTAAATTATATTCGCAAAACAAAACAAAGCAATATTGGCCAACCATACCTATGCTCAGGCCTGAGGAAAGAATGACAGAGAGAATGGCACTACTGAGGGCATTAATTTTTCCAAAACCTATTGCAAACTCAGATTAATATTTTCGTCAATTTTAAAGATGGACTCATAGTTTTTTTTGGCACCCATCTAGTATGTTAACCCCGGCAATACGATGTGTACCGATCGACGACATCCTTAAACCCAATTCTCCCTTGTTTGAGATATAGGCTATGTTGTGATGAAGGTGAAATATTTTACTTAACTTTACCAACAATTATTTGTTCCAATGAACTTCAAAATCTTAATCAGTATAATAATTATTAATAATTAATTAATTGTATAATAATCTTTGTTGATATTTGATTTTTAAAATGCAATCAGACATGATTTTATAAATCCAAATAAACAAACATTCCAGATATATAACATCATAAACAACGCCTCAGACTCCTCTAGAGCGGCAATGCTCTATCTTGTTTACATCAGCTGGCCCAAGCACAAGGTTTCTACAAACTGTCCATAGACAGTAAAAATGTCGCTAGGAGCGCTCTATTTCTAGCCACTAACTACATGCCACACATTATATTAGGTAAATACCGTATATTATTATTTTCCTAATAATATTGGCAAAACTTCTCTTTTTTTCAGTTAGCCTAATTTTTTTTATTAAAGGTGAGTTTCAGCAAATTTCTCTATAGGGAAGTAGCTATTACCATAGGTGGCACGGGAAGGCCTAGGCTCGGGACCGATTTATTTTTTCATTTTCATTTACCCAGATGTCAAAAACACCATTTGTTCAAATTTGATCTATGTATGTGTATAGGCTATATACAGGGTGTTTCAGAATTCGTATCGGATATTTTAGGGTATTTATTGTCACGGCCTGAGGTACCTATACAATATAATCTTACACATAGATCGACTGTCACTTGGTTAACAGTACACGCAGACCACGGGCGAAAACCTGTTAAACAGTGATCATTTACTTGTTAAAATACGCTGCAATCGTGTTTAAAATAATATTTCTTGTTCTTTTTATATTTTTGATAACCATTTGTAATGTTGCATATTTGAGACGCCCAGTCTAAGTTATAGCGAAGATAATAGTGAAAATTGTTATACGGTAGGCTACCTATTTTATAATTATATTTAGGCCTATATACCGTATATATAAATATTATATTTATATTTTATAATTGTTATAACAATTAACCTAGAGTAAAAGTCTACAAATTCGGTAAAATTAATTGCCGACAGAGGGCACTGCAGGCAGCGCATTAATTCCTTCCCCAATGGGTTAGATAAAATTTTGCTTGCTAACTTATATGAAAGAAAACAGTTAACTTAAGTTACCTACTGTAAGTTAAGTTTAGGCCTAACTTAGGCAGTTAAATTTAAGTGACAAGTTTAGCCCTAGATCAATAGGCTAAAATGGGAAACACTGATAACTTAGTCTTAGTTCGGTTTTACGATGGAACCGTTAAGGTTTCGCCAGTTTTTCCCTGGGTTTTTTTACGGCAAGGTTTGACAGTGGAGGCATCACATGTCTTGGGCCTAATCAAGAGATACAGTAGACTCCCTTCAATCCGGACACCGGTTTAACTGGACTAACTTACACTCGGCAGAAATGACATCTAGCTTAGGCCTATTTAAGTTAACCGGACAATTTTTATCAGCACATTGGCTTAACCGGACTAGATCGGCAAGAAGTGGGCGTTAAGTTACTGAAACAACTGTTCTCGTAAGAAAGATTTGTGATCAGGTGTCTAAATACAATGCTCTCCTAAATTTAAGTAGGCTAACTTAACTTAAGTCAAACACTGTAGGCCTATAGGCCACATTATGCATTTTTAAACCGTCCATTATAACGAGTTTTTGGGGACGTCGGTTTAACCAGAAAAATTGGTAGCCTATCCGGACTGGCCTAGGTCCCGAGGAGTCCGGATTAGAGGGAGTCTACGGTAGGCTACTGTACTTGAGTTAAGTGTACCTATTACGCATGCCGTAAATTACGTCAAACGGCCAAGTTTTCTAAAGTAAAATTTCTGTAAATATTGTAGGACTAAGTTATATAACTTATTTTTATAAATCGTAACACTATCTGTCGGACTACATTAGATCTGTCAAACACTATCTGTCGGACTACATTAGATCTGTCAAAGATGTAAGTAGATTTCACTTTTTGCTTAACTTTAGTTAGTTTAACTTGTGTATGGGTTATAAAGATTCAGTAAGTTAACATAAAACTATTAACAAGGCCTAACCTGAAAAAATGAATTTAACTGAAAATAGGGGAGGTAACTTATAGAACTAGACTAGGACTAGTAACCTAAGTAGAGTCATAGTCTTAACTAGCTTAGGTCTTAAACATCTAAGTTTAAGTTAGGCCTAGGCTAGTTCTAGGTTTAAAACTTGCCTATTTTACAAGATGTCTCTAATAACTTAAATAGGCTACCTGATAAGTTAATATTGACAACGGGAATTGGCAGCATTATAAATAAGTGGTACATTAATAGGTATTTATTTATTTAGGACTACATTTGTTCCAAAGCTAAGTGTATGTGTCGTGTCGTCACGCATTACACACATAGAAACGCGGAATCCGAGATTCATTGTAATGAATTTGAATTATGTCTACTTGATAATTATTAAGAAAAAAAGTTAAGTTTATCAATACAACTACTGTTAAGTAATTTTTTTGGTTTCAACTTCTGTTTTTCATTTAGAACACAGCATCTTTTTGGGTCGCCTTTGTCAAAAAGGGCAAAATATTTATCTGTGTCTGAGGAAAATGGCGATTAATTTAGAAGACAAACCTGCTTCAAGCCGCCTTGGAAATTCTTGTAGAGAAAAAAACACTTGAATTTATGCTTAACTAAGTTGACGTAATAGCATATTATACGACAAAAATATCTATAAGCTACTTACAACGTTTGGAAAAAAGTCGATTTTACAATAGCTTTGCTACGAGAAAAAAATTACTGTTTTTACAAACAGACGACGATTTCAGTTCATTGGCATGGCATTTACTGCCCTAGCTGTGATTTCATTTGAGGGATTCTTGTCCCGGTATAGGGATATTGTATTCTCAACTGGGATAATCGGGATTAATTATAAAGTCCGGGATTTTTTAAATATTTCTTTGGAAATCATAAAACAAAAATTTGTTTAGAAATTAATCAGCTTATTGTGTTTGTCTAAGATCAAGCAGTGGCTTTCTCATAAAATACCCCCGTAACAGCAAACCTGCAGACTAAGCAAATTATTTGTGTAACATTGTATTTTTAATGAAATAATTCCTTATATCAGATTCTAGTCATTCCCAATATAAATATCATTTTAGGATTAACGAGTAATTTGGTTTGCTGCTACTGTAGGGAAAGACAACATGATTTAACTTTCTCCCACTGTCCCCTACTCAGTATTTTATGTACAATTTTTGGTTCAAAAAGTTTTGTAACTTTACGATATTTTCCCATTTAAAAACCCATAATAAGATAAAAACTGTGAAATTTTTAATAGAGCTTGACTGATTTTGATTAAAGTGTAGTACCGTATTTTATGTTTCTTATTATTCTAAACAGAATAGTACAACCCCTTATTGATGTAAAATTCACGGCTCGAGAGTTATATCCCTTGTGATTTTCAATTTTAGCCAAAAATACCATACTTTATTTATTTCTCCCACCGCTTACCGAAGATAAGGATTGTTGGCAAGCTAATGGGAGAAGTATGTGTCAAATTGCTGATACCGATTATGATAATTTTTATTTGTTTGTATAGTCGTGTCAAGTCAATGTCAATAGTTTGGTATGAAATAAATAAATTTGATCAAAATATGTCCACAAACAAGCAAACTACACGCTTTAACTGTTATCACAGAAAATAAAAAATGTTAGTTCGTTCTAAAAAATGTGCAACTTATTAAGATTTTCTCCCTAAACCTTTTATTGTACAACGATACTTATAAAAATGTCCGTTTTTAAGCTCTACACGATGGTTGTAATACAAATATTGAAAATTGTACATTTTTTGTTTTAGGTAACAATTTCCAAACACCATTTTTGAAAATACAGTATTTCAAATTCCTTTACACACCCTCTTTCCACAACCCGATCTTGCTAGTTTGTGAACTTATAACGTAATTAAATTCATCAACTCCTTCACATTCATCCTAAATAAAATATATACAGTGTTAACATAGCTTTTTGACCTCCAACATCCAAAATGAAAAAGTAAATTGGTCCCGGGTCTAGATAGGCTGTCTTGCCATGCCACCTACGATATTTTTTTTTCTTCCCTGTAGGAAAATCAACTAAAATTCGTTTAATTTAATTTTGTATTTTTTTTACTTAAGGAACAATTTACGACGATTACTTGATTTTAGATTAATGTTTTTAAGATCAAAAACATAATTATTGTATGATTTTTTGCTTACAAAAACTAAGCACAAAGCTTTATTAGAAAATCAATACACAAAATCATGCAAATTTAAAATATTTTTTGTTTATCATAAATAAGGGAAAGCATACATTTTAATATCATTTCAACCATCTTCAACGTAACATGACTTAAAACATGCAATATAGTATTCAATTAAATTTCCTTTTTAAATGTAAATGACGGTGCTGACCGTTAATGAATTCTGTAAATGAAATGGGATAAGTTGGGAAAAGAAGGGCTATTAGAAGGGATATTATATGATAACTCGGGAGTTAAGGGAAATTATGGGTAAATTTCGGCAGCTGCATCACTGCTGGGATGAAGAAGATGGTGTAACTGCGTCGATGCTTTTCGACCAATCACAGACAAGGAACGCTAACATTTTTTGTTTCACGTTTTTTATCACGAGAGTTCTTCTAATATCGAATCTGTTAAATTATCAATCAAATCTGAAAAGTGTGGTTTGCTATTTAAATCGTTATAATACTCCTGAAATATTTAACGAAACTATTAATTAATTAAGTTATATTGTTGCCTACTTTTGCTACTGTATTGGTAGACTATTGATTTCTAGAGACACAACACCCCTTCTTACATCGTACATCGCATATCTGTGTTGACTTTTGAATACAAAATTATAAAATACCACCCCGGTTCCAACAAAACCTACAAGATTCGTAATTCTCGTTTTGATTTGTTTTTATTTTTTAGTTTTTACGGTGTTAGTATAAAAGAATGTTTTATTTTTAGGTCTGATCCAGCAGCAAATCACCTAGTATTGACTCTGACTACTGATTAGGGTTGCTGTAATATAATAATGGTGTCAAAAACAACTTTGTTGGCAAATTTAGAAAATTAAATGAATAAATTTGTCAAATACAATCTTTTAGTTATTTTATGTAAATTTTGTATACATACCTACGCCTGTGTCATTTTTACGTTTTTTAGTGGTCGACCCAATCCTTGGGTTTGTTACCTTATTTGTTAAATATCTAGGTCCAGTTGTGATATAGCTAGATTGGAATCAAACCAATTAACTTGAGATTTGAAGGTGATTATTGTTGAAATGGAATGTTGGCCCCAGAATAAGTTATTTTATCCAATTAAATACCCAATTTCTAAAAAAAAAAAAAAAAAAAAAAAAAAAAACAGATGTACCACCAATAATTAGTTTGGATATATTATATTACCATAATCCAATTTGGAGAAAGTAGCATTACATTGTTTAGATTTTTTATTAAAAGATTCCTGCACTCATGATAATGTTTTTATTTATTGACTCCTAACGGTGAATCATCTAGACAAGATTCAAAATCAGAAGACAAAAAGTTTACAATTCAGAACAGATTACAAAATTTAAAGATTCAAAAGTACTCAGTATAGGTTTTGCCATTACCAGAAGTAAAATTTTACATTGTAAGTTATTATCTTATAAAAGACACTGTCCTTTAGAGTAGACTTTGGATCTTGTGAACCTAGTGAGGGTCAGAAGACCCTAAATATATGATGCAGTAGTTTCAGGGATCAGAAGATCCTAAAGTAGGAGTTATTGCGTCTTCTGATTGAAGGCGTTTGATTACACGCCAGCATCAGCCACGTTCCTTTACTATTTATTTTATTACGTGATGCAACTAATTTTTTAAATTCAAATACTATTTTATTGATCATTGGAGTTTGAAAATACCCTATTAAATTCTCTGCAATTCTTTGATCGATAGTATTCACGTAGCATACCATGTCTTGTTCATAGATACATGGTATTATTATATTTGTTTACGTTTAAGTTGTTGATTTTAACCATCATGACAATAATGATCAAATCGAATACCCCACATAGAAGAAGGGATTCTCTTCTTTGAAAACTGAAAAAAGAATATAATGCAATTATTTTTTTTATAAAAACCCAGAATAAACTATTATACAATAATAGGTTGTATATAGTTTTCTAAACTTTAACTCAAAGTTTCCTAAATAAAAACAGGAGGTAATAAAAATACTGTACATATTTTATTTGAATCGAGGACAACACATACTTTAGATAATACTTTTGAATATACAGTACACCACAATAATACCATAGATAAAACTCCTCAAACTCATACTCCTCAAGATAATACATTAATTAACGTTTTATCACTGAGCTATAACTCTAACTGGAGGTAGCACTGAATGTCAAAGATGCGTGTCGCCAGCCGCCATGTTTGCGTGGGGTGGGAGTTATAAGAAGCCATGTTATTGCTATGATAAGAAAACCCACTGCTATACCCACCAATCTAAAATCAGCGACACGCTTTTGACACACTTTTGCCATGGCAGTGCTACCTCCTGTTATAATTTTAACTCAGTGCGTTTTATCTATGATATAACCTCTTTCCTTCATAATACTTTTTATTTTTTCATGTTTTGTTGTGGTGTTTGCGGACCAAATATTTGACAATATAATAAAAGGTTAAAATACTTGTTGTCACCTTGTGGTCCAAGTTGTCCTACTGGATTATGCGTATTTCGGCAGGAACGCCTTTATACTTATTATTCTGGGTTCTCATGAAATTTAAGTCTTATCCGTCCTTCTTACAATAGGTGTTTATTTGTCATTTGTTATGAAGACTACAATGGGTCTACTTAACGGTAAATTTGGTCCTTTAAACATTTAGTATTAGTGTGTTCAATAATCATTGGACCTGAAAGCTTTTATAATCAGCGAGTCTGTCATTATGGGTGTTTTGTTTTGGTAGCATGTTAGCTGATGCACTGGTCAAGACGATAGAATCAGCTGATTCTTATTCAGCACAGCACAGACAGATGTAATAAATAATAGCAAATAGCAGAACAGAAAACAGAAAGGATTTTTGTGATTGTGATAGGATAGTAGTGAAGTGCTAAAAAAGTAGTATACAGTGTAATAGTTTAGCTATAATGGTTAAAAGTAAGAATAATCGTGAATCATTCAAGTTTGTTTTTGATGATTAATTCCATGTTGTGACAAAATCCTTTGTTTTGTGCATATTTACCAATGGTATGAAAACTTGTTTTGGTTATATTTTCGTGCTTGTTAATAAACGATAAGCGAACATGTTTAGAAGTCGTAGTTGGTTCGGTGGTGGTTTGTGGAAGCCCAAGAATCCTCATTCTTTGGAACACCTGAAGTAAGTAATGCAATGCAATTTAATTTGGGTTTGTACATTTATTTGAATTTTCAGTGCATCTGTCAGCCTATTGATTTGCCTAATTACTTAGTTTTCCTTCTGTACCCCTACTTTTTAACCAAGGTAGGGTTAAAGGCTATTTTATAACCTTGATTAGGAAAATTGACAAGGCCTTAATATTGGGAAATGTTTATTCTTTACTATCGTTTAGTGCTATGCCTAGTTTAATGATTTGTAGGTATGATCAGTTTGTAGGCTAAATCTTAACTTAAGTTAATTGGAAATAAGTTAGGTCTACCGGTAAGTCTATTCTAAATGGATACACTCATGCTTAAAATGTACAGGCCTATATCAGACCTAACTATTTTCATCGTAAGCTAGTACTCGCCTGCTTCTGCTGCAACCTAAGAAGGGAAAAATACAGCTCCAGTCTTAAAAAGTGGAAACAAATTGTCGAAGTGAATAGACCTAACTTAACCATCTTTGTTGGTGAAATGAGCTAAATTCTGAGACCTTGGGTACGATACGAGCGGCGAGCGGCACCTAAGGGGCGGTGGTGGCTACGATACAAGCGGCACATTTATAACGCTCATCAAATTTCCCCGGTTTTATGAGTCAGTTTAGTAGAAAATGGTCAACTATGCTTACCAGCAAGACGTATTGCAACTATTGTTGCTATCTGACAATTGTTTGCCATTAAAGAAAAACTTAGTTTTTAGAAAAACCTTAACCCTAGCTTGGTCCCATAATTTTCTGGTGACTGAAGTGTTTTAAAACTTCCGTGCTGGTCATTCCACAAACATTCCCTGGACTGCGCCTCACGTATCGACCCGTATCGCATGTTTGCTGCTTTTTCCCTGTAGTTTTAGGCCGAACTGAAGCATGACTCACCTGAGCGGCGTTTTGGCGAACCATGAGCGGTGCCGCTCGCCGCTCAGACGTATCGTAGCCACCCTCAACAAATTTACACGCAACTAAATGAGACCCGATGTTAGATCGGCGCCGCTCGTTCATTAAGTTATTCAAATCTAACAGCAAGGTTTTGTAATGTTCTCTTGTACTAGGGTTGGTCTCCCGCTTTGTAAGACATAGCTTGACCATCCATGCCTCTACTACCTATCTTGTCTTTTGTACAGCTGCTATTCGACTACCCTTCTTTGGCTTGGTCACCATACCATCTCAGCCATGGTCAGCATGTATGCTATACCTTATGGTATGGTATACCTTCTCGGCCATTTTCACCTTCTCCAGTTGGTGAAAAGACGTTTGATCAGGTTCCTGTTACTGTTATGTTGTACTGGACTTGGCTGGTTGTGACGTCTCAGTCAACAAGCTATCTGCTACCCACGGTCTTCAAAGTCTCTATTACAGGGGGCGAGTGGCTGATGTGGCATTTTCTATTCAAACTGCTCAATCACCAAATCAACTTCCCCTTCTTACTGGGAAAGAATTAACTTCCACATCCCTACCATACACTAGACATTAGCGCCTCTTAGAGCCCATGTTGGGACCAATTACTTAAGATCCAGTGCTATATCTAGTGCTAATTTTTCATTTAACGCAATCTATCCAGCTATGGCTGGGCAACGATGAAGAACCGGTAAAGGTAAAGGTATTCCCCCAAATCATGTGCTCCAGGAACGAGATTGGCACCTCCTTTTCACTGCCACCTTGGGAGCAGTTTGGTGTGCTGCGGCTGATGCAATCCTTGAGGTTTCTATGTAAAAGTAGCCTATACCTGAGTTAAGTTAATTTAGTATATGTAATTGTCTGATTTATTAGAAAAGATTCAGTATTTTGGATACCGGTAGGCTACTGCATTTTATAAACCAAACTCAAATCTTTCTACCTTGGCCTATCGTAATGCTTTACTGTTTGGTACCTGATAAACTTATCAGATTGCATAAGTGAATTATTAGCAATACAATTTAGCTGGGTCAAAGCTCAAAACGTTAGGCTATAAAGGTTTATCTCGTAATCTCGAGTCGAGAGTATTTAATTCTGAACCCTAACTTGAAACCCTTAAAAGGTGGGTCTGGGCAAGGCCCCACTAGAAAAAACAGGCCATGCTGCAGCACGGGCAGCTCGCAACACTGCGTCCCAGTGGTGGATATTTGTACTAAACCTAGGAGGATTAAACATTAAGATTGTTTATTTACCTAAAACATATGGGAATGGTGATGGCAATGAATTTATCAATGATATCTATCCACTAGTGTGACGTCATCGATCCTGCAGCATGGCCTGTTTTTCTAGTGGGGCCTTGGTCTGGGTCCCAAGCATTGAGTATATTAGTCAATGGTCTTAAGATATTTCCAAACGAAACGTAAATCATCCCAACAGTTTATCATGTGTATCCCAGTCACAGCAACTACATTATTCTATTAACAATGATCAACATTAATTTTGCAAGAAGATTCAATATTTTAATATTTGCTCATGTTAAATTAATTATTTTCAAATCAACCATCACTTAATTTGAAGACAATAATTAAATAAAAATTTATTCATTAACTTAGTTGATTTGGAATTAGGAATCACGTTTTTATTTCACAGTAAATATTCTCTAATGACCAAGTGATCTTATTAAACTAAAGTAAGTATACTTAATAACCTATTGCCAATTAAAAGAGTATGCCAGTTTGTTTGTTTTGATTTAAACTCAAAATTTGACACGTATGAACAAATGATTGCACTAAAAAGATTCATCTTCAAAGATATTCCACAGCTTAACCGCTTCTAGCTAAAAAAATCCAGTTGCACTGTACAGACTTCTCTATTTTTACCCCAAACTGTAAGTAAAACATGTGATTGGAATTCCTTACATTTGTTTTGATTTTATGTTTATAATTTGTTGTTATTTTGTCACCAGAATAGCAACCCATAATGCCCATGTTAATTTTGTTTTAGTTTTAAATTCATTTTTGTGCTTATTTTTGAGCATATTTTAATTTTTAAAGAGATTCTGCACATCTACAGGAAAATATCTTTCTAACAGTATGAGTAGATTTTCCCTGCGATGCACACGAGCTGACAAAAAAGGTTTTAAAGAAACATGCTTGCCTATTAATATATAGGTAGATAGATTTTTTTCTGGTACAAGTTTTGAAAAATAGAAACTAACTCATCCCTAAGCCTACTTTTAAAGTTTTATTTTTTTATGTGCTCTCCCACATCAGTTCTGATGGACCTTGTTCCGATTTACATAGCCTACGTGTTAAGTAGATTAAAAAAAATGTGTGTTTGTATGAACCACTCGTTGGGTTTCAATTTAAAAATGTATTGCTATTAGTCATTCCTTTAATTAACAACCACAATTTGTAGTCATTCTTCCTACTGCTATCAAGTACAGAAAACATAATTTTATAGTTAAAACACGATTGAAAACTTATAAGTTAGTTATCTAGTGGAAAACTTTCTATTCTTAATTTTTCTTCAAGGAATCAGCCACAGTAAGATGGCTTAAATTAGATTAGTTAGGATGTTAAAACAATGTAGTTTGTTGTCTTAATGTCAAACCGACAATTTCATGTGTGTCTACAATTTTGCATTAAGTTATATGAGTCATTCTGAAGTAAAATAAAGAGTTGAAGAACCTACGGGATAGGACTATTTGCACAATGATAAGATAACAGCTTGCAGCTACAACTCAATGCATCACAGTCTGAGAGGAACGATGGCTTTTCAGTGTTTTTATGTTGCTAAGTCACCAAAAACCGAGAGAGTGTTTTTGTATTCTCGTAAAATCAAGTAAGTTATGTGTTTGTGTGGAGGTTTTCAGACTATTTATTTAATCAGAACGCTCTGTACTAAATTTGTTTCTGCTTCGAGTTCAAAAATATTGTGAGAGTCATTCGCATGTAGTACCGGTAAAACTAAACTAATATTGTCGTGATTGCTTAAACAATCAAATTTTGTATATTTAAAGGTAATTCGAGACATGTCAAACATCCTTATCTCTATGCTAAGACAAATCTGGAGGTTGTCAGTAGTTATTAAGTTTTACACCATTCTTCTTGCAAGCATCATTCAATTATATAACCGGTGTATCGGGATTGCTCTTAATTGACTTTGTTTAGTGACTATTACTGAATCACTAAACTAATCGTGACGTTTTCAGTACAAGTGTTTGACCTTTATTCAGACAAATACACACTCATCATCACTTATGGACTTCCACAAACTTTATATTGAAAACTAGAACATCTGCCCAAATGCTGAAATAATCTGTTTCTTCGAGCAGTCCAGGGCCGTCCGAAGGGGGGGGCAACCGGGGCAAGTTGCTCCGGGCGCTGCGGCTGAGGGGGCGCCGCCCTATTTGTATTAACATATAGTATTAAAATATGTGAATGCGACTTTTACTGGGGGGAAGGGGGCGCAACGACCACATTTGCTCCGGGCGCCACAAACCCTAGGGACGGCCCTGGAGCAGTCCACAATAATTTTTACATTGAATAAAAAATTATAAAAAGTAAAATCGTAAGAGGTAAATGAAGATTTTTTCTATGACATTCTCTGTCTTACAGGATAACTTACCAAAATATTTAGCTAAGGTAACCTGAGCTAAGGTAGTTCAAGAATCTCACACACTGCATCTTTCCCATTGCATCTGCCTCGGCATAACACACAACAAACTAGGCCTATAAAGTTGTTTTCCAAACTACCTGTCCTCCTTGTTTGTCTCTTTATTGACTTTATGAAGACCTTTGACCTAGTTAACCATAATAACTTACTACTGTATTTAAGCTTAAAGGCAGCTGGTATCAGAGGTGTGGCACTCAATTGGTTCCGCAGTTTCCTGACTGGCAGGTGCAGGCTGGGAGTTTCCTCAGAAGACCACTACCCGTCACCGTCGCCGAAACACGACACGCGTCAAAGCGGCACGCTGGCCTCGGTTACTTTAGCTGTTTTATTCCCCGTTTTTAGCGAATTTCCCATATAGGGAATAAGCTATTACCGTAGTACTCATGGTAAGACCTGGACGCGGGACCGATTTTTTTTTCGTTTTGAGGTCCCTAGAGGCCAAAAACACCATCCGTTCAAATTCATATATATATATATATTTATATATTTATATATTTATATATATATATATATATGTGTCCGTTAGCACTATAACTCGAGCAAAAATGATCCGATTTTGATGAAATTTGGTACAAACGTGTAAACCTACGTTTATTCGAACGAGTTCGCGATCCAGCATGATCGGACCATGGGAACGGGGGTTTACGGGGGGTTTATGGGGTAAAAATAGGTTTTTCCAATTTTTTATCCAAAAAACATAAAATTTAGCAATTTCTTTTCAAACCATTTTGTAGAGCTTAAAAAAACAAATAATTTTGTATATTGAAGCGTTATTATGCGCCTAATGGTTATGGAGAAAATTCAAAAAAATTGTAAATTTAAAATTCCAATGTTATTCTTATGGAGAATAAGTAAACTGTTGTAGTTAATTTGCTTGTTTATTAACATATTTTGATCAAATTTGGAAAATATTTTTATTTCTTACTAACTATTAACATTTTACAAAAAAAGAACAGTTTTACCCTCCCTGATGCAGCAAACCTAAGTACTTGTTAAACTAATTCTATTTAAATAGGGAATAAATGTTAAATGTTATTTTTAAGTAGACATTTCAGTGTAAATCCAATCAGTCAAATGGAAATTCGCTTAGTCTGCAGGTTTGCTGCGGCGGGGGTATTTTTATTAGTTATATGCTTGTCTAGAATTTTATAGCAGATCAAATCAAAGCTTTTACCAATGATATGTGTATACCTTAATGCCTATTTTAAATATGTTTATATTTAATGTAGTAAAATTATTTTATCTTAAAATTGAAATAATGGAATTGATAACTTTTAGTTTTATGCTTGTCAAGAATTTTATAGCAGATCAAATCAAAGCTTTTACCAATGATATGTGTTTACCTTAATGCCTATTTAAATTATGTTTATATTTAATGTAATAAAATTATTTTATCTTAAAATTGAAATAATGGAATTGATAACTTTTAGTTTTATGCTTGTCAAGAATTTTATAGCAGATCAAATCAAAGTTTTTACCAATGATATGTGTTTACCTTAATACCTATTTCAAATATGTTTATATTTAATGTAGTAAAATTATTTGATCTTAAAATTGAAATAACGGAATTGATAACTTATATTAGAAAACTAGAAGTGTTTATAATTTATCTAATGCTACAGATAGCAGCAGGAGTGACAATTCCAGAAAGAGACTGATAACACTGAACTCTATATATTGATGCTGATAAGGATAAGTTCTTGTGTAGGCGTACTGATCAAAAGTACTAGATGGTCAGTTAATTTAGGAGCTGTTCTAGTTGTTGTTTAATGTTTGTTTTTGAGGAAATACATTTATTTATTCTTCTTCGTAAAGACAATCTTCCCCTTTCTATAAATATATGTTCGATGGTTTTGTCTGGCTTATGGTGAACCTAAGGGTGCATCAACTACGATTGTTTTTTGTTTTAGTTGTCTATCGTACTGAATTACAATATTAGTTTTAGTGAATCTCCCATAAAGGGAATAAGCTGTTACCGTATGTCCCATGGTAAGATCTGGACCCAGGACCGATTTACTTTTTTGTTTTGATGTCCCCAAAGGCCAAAAACACAATCCGTTTGAATTCATATATATATTATGCTATGTATAGGCCCATGTATAGGCCCTACAGGTTAAGCAAAAGGTCAAGTTGGCCTTATATTTAAAGCCTACCTATCAATTAAAGGTTTTTAATTTTCCTGTTTTCAACTAATGATAAAATGTTCTTACAACTTGCAGGTACCTGTACAATGTGTTGTCCAAGAACCAAACTGTCTCTGAGAACAACCGAGGCCTGTTGGTGGAGACTCTACGCTCCATCGCGGAAATACTCATCTGGGGAGATCAGAACGACAGCAGCGTTTTTGAGTGAGTTTCCAGCAATTTAATCAATGTTTGACTTTAATGACCTTTTTGGCTTATAAGCCTATGAGATGTCCAAACCTCTTCTTGTGTCATGTATTTGTTGTACATCCATTTTCATAATTTCTAACAAACAAACAAGGAACTTTAAAAACACCACGTAAATTTTCCTGTAGGGGCAAACAATAAAATTAAAAGTGTAATATTCTCTTATAAAAACTTACACTAGCAGAACTGGTTTGCAAGTTACATAACAATGTCTGATTCTTATCATTCAATTTTCCTCCTATAGTCATAGTTTTCTGAATATTATTTCTGAAAGACTATAAAAATGATCAATTTCATCCATGTTGTTTATTTTGCATTATCATAGTTGATAAATCAAATTTCAGGAATTGAAAATCATAGTGAAAGTAACCTCCTGAGATAAGTTGATAATTGCTATCCCCCCATTGGTAATTCAAAGTTGCCCTATAATTACCAGTTAAAACGTTGGTCAGTTTAAAGGAAGGAGAATTATAGGTAGACAACTAAATACAGGGTGTTTTATAAATGTGCAAACCAAATTAAAAGTACTGTGAGACACATTTTGGTGACAAAACAACCTTATATTTTGGCATCCCTATTTTCTCTACTTTATTGCTGATCAGCTGATATATGCGTTGTTGCATGGTTATCTATGAGACGGTTCAGTGTTGTTGGGAATTTATTGTAAATAAAAATAAGACTCAATTTGGCTTTCCGCCAATCTTGTAGGGTTAGAATAATACGTTGCAATGGTTTTATGCCAAGAAGTTTTAAAATTAAGTTTGCAGGTTAAATTTGTACATGGAAATAATAGTAAAAAATTAAGGTAACATAATCCATAGTTCCAAGAAAAAACACCACCGTCACAGCAAACCTGCTGAATAAGCCAATCTCCATTTGCTTGGTTTGATTTTCACTTAAATCTACAGATTTATGTTTTCCTTTAATTCGTATTCGGTTTCCTTAAATTTGTATATCATGTCAATAATAGTTTATTTATTAAATATTGGAATCACACCTGGAAACTTAATTTTAAACCTTTCTTGGCATAAAACCAATGATTTACTTTCAATGTATTATCCTAACTTTTCGAGATCGGGGAAACGCCAAGTTGTGTCTTTACAATAAATTACCAGCAACACTAAACGTCAGAGATAACTATGCAACAACCCATATCAGCTGATTGGCAATGAGGTAAAGAAAACAAGGGTACCAAAATCTACGGTTTTGTTAATAAAATGTGTCTCACAGTACCTTTAATTTGGGTTGCACGTTAAAAAATATCCTGTATATTATATTAATAATGTGCATTCCTTATTGTAACCAGTAAAAGGTGACAAAGTTTAATCTAAAATAACTTCCCCTAGTCATTCAACACAATGTTAAGTATCTTGCAGATTTTTATACCAAGCAGTACATCATCCATGTGTTTGCTTTCCAGTTTCTTCCTTGAGAAGAACATGCTCTCATTCTTCTTGAAGATCCTGAAACAGAAATGCGGCAGTTACGTCTGTGTCCAGCTGCTTCAAACGCTAAACATTCTGTTTGAAAACATCAGAAACGAAACGTCCTTGTGTGAGTAACCAACTGATATTTTACCCCAAAAGATTAACTAGGATTGCTTTCATAGCAGTGAAAGCCAGTTGAGCAGAACCTAGTTATTTAAAACTGCTGATTCAAGTAGTTGTTTTAATTCCCAATTACATAAGATAAATATTATTTGTTTAGATTTAGATCACACAAATTTAGATCACACAAATAAAATGTATAAAATAACGGTACTTGTTCGATCAGTGGTAGTTCCCAAATGGCGTGTAATACTTTTTCTGTATTATCCGAATGTTTATCCCTTGTACTGTGTTTAGGTCGTATATTGGCTTGATTTTAAACATATGCTATGATTCTTTGTTTTGTTTACATTTACGTCGTTATTTTGTAACCATCATGGCAACCCAAGGCCAAGGTTACAATGTAAAAACTTTGAGTTACTTTTAAATTATAGGTATTATCAAAAATTGAAATTGTTGTGTCCTAAACCTACCAAACATTTGTGGAAACAACCTTGGTAAGTTTTGCTAAAATATCGTCAGCCGTTATTGAGATAGTGTTTGGTTTGCATTGAAGTCGATCCCAAAGATCAAACTGCTTAATAAACATAGTTTGCTTTACGTTACTCATGACACTTATGTCGCACAGACTATCTGTTGAGCAACAACCACGTCAACTCCATCATCGTCCACAAGTTTGACTTCTCTGACGAGGAGGTGATGGCCTACTACATCTCCTTCCTCAAGACATTGTCTCTCAAGCTCAACGCTCACACTGTGCACTTCTTCTACAACGAGGTACTGGTATGATGCAAACGTTATTACTATATTGTCAGTTGAATCATTTGATAGCATTTACACTTGACAACTGAGTGCGTCAATTGATTGCTCGAGAGTGACTCAACAGATGTTGCTAGTATTTGTATCAGTATTTGTTAAGATGAGATAATTAGAGTACCTGAATTAAAATGTAATTTAATTTCATATATTCGTTTAAATGATTAATTAGTACATAGCTTTACTCAGTGAAAATAATTATAAACTCTGTGATCAGTCTTTGTTTAAAGTCATTTAACCAAATCTTCTTTATACATCTTTAATCTGTATAGAGTGTTTGAAATGTACTGATAAAAGTAGTGGCAGTGACCAGGCTACAGCACTAGTTAGGAGAAGAACTCATTATAGTACTTAATTTTTAAGGAGAACTGGCTGCACTGTAACTATAAGGGTGTTTCTTGGTGCCGAGATAGAACTAGCAATTATACAAACCTTACTCATATTATATAGGATTAAAATCTTATGACCTATTTACTATTTAGGGCTAGGTTACGGTTCGCCCGTGCACGGTTGCGCGGTCAGTGTCAACCTAACTAACACATTGTTTGTGCCACAGCACACGAATGACTTCCCACTGTACACGGAGGCCATCAAGTTCTTCAACCATGGAGAGAGCATGGTGCGCATCGCAGTGCGCACACTGACTCTCAACGTGTACCGTGTAGAGGACCGCAGCATGCTGACGTTCATACGAGACAAAACAGCGGCCCCGTACTTCAGCAACCTCGTCTGGTTCATCGGCAACCATGTGCTGGAGCTAGACACCTGCGTGAGGAACGATGCGGAGTGAGTCATGTTGAATTTGTAATAGATCATTTATGCTCACAAGTTAAATATTAGAGATAAATTAATATAAAATTTTAATTTTTTCTCTTATATTAATGTTAGGCTTTTCCATGTAAGGGGTTGATAGCAAATAATGTTTACAGATGTGACAAAGAGTCATGGTATTTAACGGTTTGTTTGAGCAAAACACTTTCTTGAATAAGGAAAGTTTAATCTATAAAAACACTAAAGGGGGGACCTATCAAAGCTTTTTATAGTGACAGGAGGGACGTTTCCCCATTTTAGGAAGCCTTGTAATTCTTGTAAGTGTCAGGGGGTTTACCTAGACCTACAATTAATCTAAAATATTAATTAAACAAACCTAACTTAACAATTATTTTATTTTCGTTTTAATAGGCTACTATGATTTCAGTCAATCAAATTTGGTTAGTTTAATCTCTGTGGTTTTTTTTAATGAATATTACTTGTTTTCATTTCACTGCCAAAAATTTTGGAATCACCAGCAATACATGAATTACAAAATTTAATTTCATTTTTATGTTCATTTTCACCCATTATACCCTCACAATTCAGTTTATTTCCATTGAAAACTCAACTTAAATCGTGTTCAACAGAAAATGGATGATCGCGATTCGCAAACTCGGAACTATGACACGTAAAGAATTTTTGTTGTAAGTATTACCCTTTGTATGAATTAAATTATGATTGGAAAAAAAGTACAATAGTAGTAGGCCACTTATGAAATAATCAAATAAATTCCTTTACTACTTCAATGATGTACATACCATACTTGATAAATAGACACTATACATTCTTATTTAAAAAAAAAAACATTTTCAATAGCCTTTAACACTTAAATTAATGGAATTAGTTTAGGTACATCCATATATGTTTCCAGGTAAACAATATAACAGTTTTTGTATAATAACTATTTATAAAAAAAAGAACTACTTTTATTGGTTGTAGATCCCTAAAAATCCTCCAGTTAATAAAATATCAAGCAATTGAGTAATATAGTATAGCCAAACTTCCAATTATAAACTATCTGGTGTCTATTAGATCATAACTCATAAGCTCGGGGGGAGCGAGCTGGTCTAGTGGTTAGAGCACGGAACTTAGAGCGGGGTTCAAATCCCGCCAAATCACCAATGGATTTTATCTGAGTGATAATGCTGCAACCCCTAGGTCTAGCCTAAAATAATGTGAAAAACAATTCCGGGCTCGTACCTAGCGTCCTAGGAAGAAGAAAAAAAAATTAGATCATAACTCAGCAAAAACGGCTGAAAGAATCACCTGATAATTCCAGCAGCCTGAGCAGTTTATGAGCATTTATGGTACAGTAGAATTATGATGTTTACATGACTTTGGGAAATATTAATCATTTTGCCGCGGTCACAAAAAATGATGACGATGTTTCCGTCACCACATGAGATGATGATGTCAACACGATCGCAAGAGAGGTTTTGTATTTTGTCTCGATCGTGACTTCTGCCTTTTAAATAACAATTCTTATTAGCCTACTGGGTTTTTAAGTAAACTAGGGTGGTCTGCCATTACACTTTAGACGCATAAATGAGCGAAGCATTATTTAAAGATAATCAATGGCTAATGCAGCTAACAACCTACAGTACAATATGTTCCCTTTCAATGTGTTCCGGTCGGCCACATTTTAGTCTCTGGACGTGATCCCTTTGACGAGATTGCGCAATCATAGGCACCGATGTTTCTTCAACTTGGTCTTCTTCGATTTCATCAGGACTTTCTTGGTTTTCACGTACACACGGTACTCTCATGTGAACAAAATCATTGACTGGTAGTTGTTGTAGCGCTTCATCACTAATGGTTATGTCAAAATAGAATGGGTTATTTGCCTTAAGCCAAATAAGTGCTTGATGTAGTTTTTCACGTCGAACTTTGAAATCGATATGGCCAAAGACGCCTTGACGTTGGACAATGATTACTTTAAAGTTTTCGGGCAGTGTATAGGTAAGACAGATGATATTTCATTAATATCTTGCTCAACATTAATGATGTTACCTTTGTAGTGAAACTGGCCATCCTGACCATTTGCTTGTACTTTGTAAATGCGCATAGCGGGATGTACTCGTGCAATCAACATTTCTCAAAACAAATACAGCAAAACTGTTACTTCCATTGATTAACATTCCAACTAACCTAGGATGAAAGTAAACATTGAAATGTTAACAAAACAGTTACAAACAATTAACATATGTTTATCTTATTTAAATGAAACGAGATAAACCCATATGTCATAAACCCAATATAAGTTTTCTTTCAACTTACATTAAAATAACAAGCAAAATTGCGTGACCTATAAAATAAAATCCAGAAGGAAATTTGCAAATATTTTTTTACCTAAACATTGTGCTCAGTATTCTTTAGCTGTTGGCCAAATTTCATATCAATTGGTCAATCCATTACATTCTGATGCTCTTACAAAGAAGTTACAAAGTGAGGGAAAGTGAGCTTCGCTAACAAAAAAATTATTTCTGTAAGCCATCAATATATAAATCCAAAAGTACCCATGAACTTTTGAGAAAAGAACAAGTCACACTCCCATAAACCTAAAACCATATACTTAAAATGTTTGTCATGACAAAATGCCTTTGCACAAAACTTCCATTATTTCATGAATTGCCCTTTAAGGTCGTAATTCCTTTCTAAAGGGAACTTTCCATTTACCTAATGTTAAAAATACCTCAGCTGTACCACTGCTGTAGGTACTTATTTGTATGTTATTCTTTCAATTTATAATCCTGTTAAAATCAGGTGTGATTATTTGTTTGTATTACAATGATATTGCTGTATTCTGTTTTGTTTATTTCAGCTTAACTTAACCAATCAATAGTTTTATTAATACTTATGAAGTGAAACGGGGTGAAGCCCGCGGGTAATGGCTAGTTTGTGTAATTGGTGATTCGGATAGTTGGAGCTTGAGTAATTGGGGTTCTACTGTACCGACAGCCCTAAGCAAAATTAGCCCGAGTGGCCTCCACCCTACAGGTGAAACTTCCCGAAAAAATAAAGCAAAAAATTTGTGAAATCGTTAAAATATCCCAGGATAATGGAACAATTGTGAACATCTCCTGTGATGACAGAGACATCGCCATCGTCACCTGTGATCACGGAGAAACCGTTAACATCTCCTGCTATTGCAAGGACATCATCATTGTAACCAAAAAGCATCATTGTTGTGATTGCAGCGAAATTGTGAATATCTCTTGCAATCATGTTGAAATTGTGAACCTCTTCCGCTATCATGGAGATTTCATCATGGTCAACTGTGATAGCAGCAAAGGCTTTGGGTTGACCAATGTTAAGTCTGATAAAGCAGTCTAAGGCGTTGGCTCAGTAGCCATAAACAGCAGTCTAGATAGTGGGATAGTCTTGGCTTAGTTTTTATCTCGGTCAGGTATGGTGTGCAACTTGGTGCGGATAGGTGTCTGTAGTTTACCTATCTGTGACAACGTTTGGTGTGTTAGGAATAAAAAAAGTGTAGTAGTAATAGTAATTCAGCATCTCTTTCTTAAGATTCATGATGACAAAATTAATCTTTTTAGCATCAAAATACATTTCTCTATAAGAGTTCTAATCTATTTTGTCCAAGGTTTGTGCTATGTGATGAGTTAAGCTGTATACAAAATTTTTACCAATGAGTATTATTTAACTAGTGTCTTTGTACTGCACTGTTATGTGATCAAACTATCTTGATAATTCGGTAGACTAACACATCATGAATAACATTAAAGGGGCTATCCTTTTTATTCAATGCAAATATATTTCAAATATTTTCTTCAGAAAACTGAAATCAAATTTTTTTTCCTTCAGTGAAATTAAAACTGCGCTTATATTTGCTATGACAAGAAGAAAATAGCAATGCTCCGTGAAAGGATTGTACATACAGGATTTTGTTCTCTTCTGGTCCATTGAGCCCAGTTTCAATTTGATGAATCGTAGCTTGTATGTCCCGCAGGTTTTCCTATTAAGGTGAATATTGCAAAGGAATAGGATCCAAGTGGAAAGATGATTGAAACCGACACAAACTAAGTTCCTTAAACAATGTATGTCTAATAAGAATCTTTCTATCAACCGGTTGTCTGTTGCAGTCATCAGAGCCAGAACCGGTTATCAGACCTGGTGGCGGAACACCTGGACCATCTGCATTACCTAAATGACATCCTGTGTCTCAACATAGAGGACATGAACCAAGTGCTGACAGACCACCTGCTCAATAAACTGTTCATCCCACTCTACATATCCTCCCTGGTCGCTCCTCAGTCTGAGGTAAGCTATCTGTGAGAGACCCACCTAAAATAACGGCTCGGGTAGAAGTTGGTCAGGTGTTTTGCTACATAAAAAAACTTCTTGATCAGCATTGTACGTGTTATTAAACTTACCGAAAGTACATAAAAATATGTCTAATCCTTATATTTTTGTCTAAAAATATGTCTAATCCTAATTTATATATTTACACTCATACTGTTGACTCACAAGACGGTAAATACATATAAAAGATGGACACTCCAATCATCATCAGACCCAGTAGGAGAATGACAAAAACCTCGATGGTGTCCCTACTTATATACTATTGGCTACCGGAAGTTCCAAACAAGAAGTTTCTATTGGAAGTTTGACTGGAGTCAAAATTTACTTGTTTATTGATTAGCTTATTTATTTATTTACATTTTCCCTATAAATATACACCTCTCTTCAAGCATTCATCACATTTGCTTTCTTACCGTTAAAATCTATAAATTATCCTCAATTTTTCCTATTAAGTGGCCATTTTGTAAAAGATGTTGAGCTTGTGGCATAATGGTGCCACATTTTGGTGACCTGGTCATGTGAATCAAATTCCAGACCAAATCGTTCTTGTTGGAAACGTAAACTGAACACATTATTTAATACAGAGGAGACAATTTACCGCAATTCACAGGCCCTAAGAGCCAGCTTTGATGATTGTTTGATTAATTAAAGCATTTATATCTCAGAAGTATCTTCATTGTTCAACATATGAAATAATTAGTATGCAAATCAACTGGACACAACGTGAATTAACATTTTAATAAATGACGAATAATTAATGATGGAATAAGTGACATATTGGATTTGCCTACATGATCTGAAATTACATATTAATAAATACTACCACTACGACACAATACCTCAAGGGGGCGCCCCCCCATTTCCCACTAATTAACAGATTCATGTTCTCCGAAGGCAGGCACACGACAGGCGGTTTGTCCACTCGCTTCTCTCGCCTGCTCGCTGCGCATGCGCGAGCAGCTCTGGGGTTGAGATTAGGCGGGACATTCAAATATTGGTTGTGTTGTGGAGAATGACTCCACAAGCGACATTTGATCTTTCAGGTTTGTTGTTTCTCCACGGTCCACACAGACATGTGGTTTTTGTAAGGTTTAATAAGAATCTCAGTTTGTCCATGTAAAAGTTATCATAATCGTTACAATTAAATTTGTAGATACCTAAAGCCTCGATCATCACTTACTATATTTCATACCTGTTTAGTTAAAAGTTTAGGAGTACAGAAATCTGGTGTTAATTAACAGAAATCTATATAGGAACCACAATATTACCCTGATTTATTTTTATTTGTAATATTGAAGAACTTAACTTGTTGCTAACCGGTTCCCTATAGTCTCCTTTATCGTGAGTTCAGTCGAGTGGCAGTAATGCGGGAGCCAATGGGGGGAGTAATGGGAGTCCCTTTGAACAGAAGCCGACTTGGGGCACAGGTCCAACTTTTATTCACAACTATATGTGATGATGTTCAGCTTGTCCACAACTATAGTTTCACTGAAGTTAATTGCAGTTCTTCGTTTCTTGTCTGAGAGGCATTATTTAATCGTTGTTGGTAGTGGTTGGTATTGGTAATGGAACAGAAATGTTGGCTCGTTGCAGGAGAGTAGACCGCGTGTCAGCAGTGTGGTGTCCTTGTTCCTGCTATCTCAAGTGTTTGACATCATGCAGCTGGAGCCACTGGTCCACGTACTGGCAGACATCATTCTGCACGGCCAGACAGACAGTCTGTTCCTGGACACTGCCCGGACATCACAGACCATGAGGGGGTTTGTGGCTCCCACGAGGTCGCTGGAGGAAAGTCTAGAGGCCGCGGACAGTGTAGCCAACTCTGGTGAGTGTGTGTTCAAACTATTGTATATTCTTGGCTACTGGCTTGTTTTTAGAAGTCATTGTGTACCTTCAGAAATCACATGAGAAGGTTCATATTGGTCTTATATAGGTCTGGTAACTCTAAAACACACGGGCCTGTGAAGAATTTGAAATTTTCTTTGCCAGAAAAAATTATGATTACTAATCAGTTGAGATTTACTCTGAGCTGATGGTTACAACTATGTTTTCTGTATGATATTTTAGATGGATTCTACAAGTTCTGTCACCATGTAGAGTAGCTGATAGGATACAGAAATCCAATTAAGTTAACATAGCTTATTTGAACACTTCTCTTATATTTGTTCAAGCAATCGCGATCAGCTGAAAGTTATCTTAAGTAAGGCCTAAGGCTAGTAAAAAAATACCGTAGCAAGTATAAAAGTATTTAAGTTTTGAGATGATACATGGTTAAGAAAAGGGAAAGGGTCATGATGCACATTTTACTACTTTTACACTCCTGGATTGTTTTTTATTATTCACAGTAGTTAGGCTGGTCTTTAACCCTTCTGATTTGCTTGCCTATAATTTTTACCAGCTTGCCCCTCGCTCTTGTTCCCATTATTTAGTTGGACACCCCACATATACATATATCTGATTGACATTAATGATTCATGACAAATTTGTGCAACAAATGACTATTCATTTCAAATTGTAATGTAAAGTCTTAAGTATAGTCAATTCAGGGTTCTTAAAGCCATGCACTCAGTCGGTTGTTAGCTATGCCTAATCTCAAGACACTTAAAATATTTTAAACACTAAACTTGTATAGATGTTGCGAAGATGTTGTTTCTTTCTAAAACTCAAAACACATAACATAAAATAAAAGGAATTATAATTATACGCATCCAAATGACTGTCTATGTGGAAAGTATTGTGTATGCAGGAAGAAAAAATGCACCTCGGTAAATTTTATATAATCTCATACGTGTTTTTGCTTTTATCCGTTGACGGTGGCTATCCAGAAGATCTTTCACCCTTCTGATGCTATCTGTCTCCTTACCTGGAGTCCTAGTCTAAGTTGTTTGTTAGCTAACCAATCTATTAATGGCACGAGTTTATTATGAACTCACAGCGGTTATTGTAAAAAATAAAATACAAATATTGCAATTTTTACTTTCTAAATCTGACAAAAATCAGACTGACGCATTTTGAGCCAGCGATATAAGGACACTTGGCTGTTAGAGATGTAACCTATTGTTTCCGTCCTGCTGTGTCGGCTTTGTCTAACATTGACGTTCCAATTCCCATCCTTACGCTGCTTCTGTCTCCCAGATCCTCACGTGGACGAGGCCGTCAGACTTACGACTAACCTCAATATAACAGACGAGGAAAAGGAGAAACGCAGACTCTCGTTGGTTCAAGGTAATGCTACAATGCACTTGTTCTAATAGAGAGGAAAAACTCAAGTAACAGAATTGTTTTTTCTTGTATGAAGCTTCATTACCGATATTGTTTGAATCCTTACTTAACAATTTACGTGACTAAACGTTTTTGTCGTTAAATGGCAGAGTACTCATTGGGTGAAGATTGCTGTTTGTATGCAATAGTTGTTCTTTTAAATTTAAACTTCAATGCTGTATATTCGTTATGCAAAATAAACCTAAGCTGCAATAAAACCAATTGTTGTAATTGACAGGTTATTAACATACTAAATTTTCTATTTCCTGTTTTTAGAACTTTTATTTCTTTCCTTGTCTAAAAACATAGTTTGTAAACAAAGTACCGGTACCCATTATTTTGTGGGGTAAAACAGTCATTGCAAGTTTTCTGTACCTTCTTTAAGTTGTTTCTTTTTTTAACATTGCAAATGTTTACTGATTATCTTAAATAAGCTTTATTTACCTTGCAGGAATAACGTATTTAAGAACTAAAAGCTGTTACAATTTATTGTGTTCATTTTAGTGGTACTTAAGAGTGAAAACGAATCACATTCTTCCATTTCACATGGTAGTTTTTTATTTGCTGTTTGAAACCCTGCCTCGTTTTCCACCTCCTAGGCTTGTGAGCTGATTCCCATGGCACAACTTACAACTTTACAAGCACAATCTACCTTGTAACCACTACATGGCTTGTTAATTAACATTTTGATGCAACAAAAAAGTTCAAAAATTGTTTTCTAAGTTGAGGAGGGTTAATTGCTGTCGTCTGCACAGAGTCACCCCCAGTGTTCCTGGAAGCCATAGGCAAGGCGTTGGACTGCTCAGAGAACGACTATGCTGCGTTGTTTGCTCTGTGTCTGCTGTATGCAATCTCTCGCAAGAAAGGCAAGTACAAATAGTTTAGTCTTGATCTATTTAATAGAAATTTCTTTATTGGTTAGGCATGCCATTCAGTTTTTTTCTGTCCTGCCACTAGGGGCGTTCAGTGATTTAAAAATAAATCGAAATTCCAATTCAATTTGATGTAAATCGCATTCGATTCTATGGCAATCAAAACGATGATTCGATTTATGCAGGAATGGGCTGATTATAAGATACTGTGGCATTGTGTAGCCATATAAAGTTATTTATTATCAAAGTACATAAAATAACTAGATTCTGAGTCATATTAGCATCCGGGGATACTTTGTTCTTTACCTCACTGAAACAAGCGACTACTTCGGAAATACCTCCTCTTATTCCTTTCCCAATTAGCATAAATTGCTCATAATCAAAAAGTAAATATAAATTGATACCTTCATCTTTAAACAAGCCAAAGTTTCACATGAATTCCTATACAAAACAGTTTAAAAACAACTTTTTAAGCTTGTCTAAAACTAGGGATGGACGAGATTGGATTTTTAGTTCGAGACGAGACGAGATTTTTTATTTCTCATAAAATTTCGAGACGGGATTTCCCTTCTCATACACAATGGGAAATGCACGTTCAAAATTTTTACCTGATTTTGTAACATTGTTAGATGACTGTTTAAATACAAAAATAATGATAATAGGCAAGAATATTTACAATCTTTTATTAAAAAACATCAGCATAACATTTTTTTATTAATCACGCCTAACTTATTAAAAATGCCTACGATTAGGAAACATTGTGATATCAGTTAGGATAGAGTTAAACTTATCCTAAAATAAAATAAATCATAAAATAAAAGCAATATTAATTTTTATAAAATAGTTACTTGTTTTGACTTTTTATAGTAATAAAACATTCCTCACACTGCTTACACTTAACAAAACTTCTCAAATGTTATTAAAGTAATATTATTCAAATAATTAAAGTAATATTTACATTTAAAGAATTAATTAAATAAGAATGCCTTCGCAAAGGAAACGCAACTACAACACGCTCCTGTATTGCGGGTATTGCATTGACTTTCTGCAGGCGTTTTGATTTTTTTTATTTTTTTTTTATTCTCGTCTTGATAAAAATCTCGGCCAAAAAGAAATCTCGTCTCGTGTAACGAGATTTAAAATTTCCCGAAATTTCAAGACTTGATCATCCTTATCTAAAACTTGACATGTGAACTTAGCTGAACTTTTTCAATAAAGGGTTAGTTTTATAGTTTTTAAGTCTGATTCTATCCTCTTATTCTATCGCTGTGAACCAGTTGAAAGTTTCAGTATAAATCTTATCAAGGTTTTTTATTAGTTTTTTGTACACACCGAAACATATCTGTAGCTGTAAAATGAATAATATAAAATAGGTACCATGCTTAACAATATGATGCTGCACATAACATTACGAAATAGGCAAGTAAAGCTATTCACTGGCATTTCCAGAAATACAAGGTATATATATGATTGAAAATAAATATTTACCTATAAGTCATATGGCATATGTATGTGTACATGATAAATATCACATGGACAAAAATTTGAAAAAAACAAATAAAAATCCAATGTGAGTTGACAGATGTGTACAGAGAATAGTGCCTCTTAATTTATGGACAATCTTTTAGATCAGCAAACATATTCTCTTATAGGCTTTCTTCTTTGTTTAGAGTATTGTGTATGTTTATTGTTTTTTAGTATAAGATATTACAACCGATCGTTTTTCCTAATTGAAATTATTTGGTGTGGCCCAACAATTGTAGGCCTATTACATAACTAATTAATTCTCATGCTTACTACTGAGTTAAGTCCATGAGAGAAATATCCAGTTGAAAAAATCATTGTTACACAGGTGTTGGTGTCAACCTGATAGACGGACTGCTGATGCCTTCCAGCAACAAAGAGGCAAAGCCAAGGTACAACCAGTGGCTGGTGGACAAGCTGATAAACATCATCACTCTCAGCTGTCAGCCTGGTGGGTAGCATGATGTCAGGAAAACTACTTGTAATATTGGTGGATACAGCTGATTGTAGTAATTGTCAAAAACATAAAATCTTGAAGAAAGTCTGTTACTTTAACTGTTTGACTACAATTCAACTCACCATTGAAAAACACATTTCAAAAAATTCCAATTATCTTCAGTTATCTATTAGGTTTTCTCCCTTTTTCCTTTTTGTAAAATTATGAAACCGAACTAAGATAAGTGATTCGCTAACTTGAACAGCTGCTTGCAATGCCAATAATTTCTGTGAAAGTTAGTGACAGTGCTATTGTGCAGGTTGTCGTGTGAGGCTGGTGACACTGGAGCTGGTGATCTTACTGCTGCGGAGGCTTGTGGTGGAGGATAACGTCAGCCTGTTGCTGGACGGACACCTTGCTGCGGTCGTAGGAGCGAAGGAGGAGAGTACTTCACTGCTGCGCAACTTTTACAAGGTATTATTTGAGTTAATAAAACACTTTAAGTTGAAAGTCACAAATAAAGTTCATTATGATATCTTTGTCTAACTCGCAGAAGTAGAATTTTATAATTATGTGTTAGCTCATACATTAACTCTAGTCATTACAGTTGGGGGAGCGAGCTGGTCTAGTGGTTAGAGCGCTGGACTTCGGTTCAAGAGGTCCCGGGTTCAAATCCTGCCAAATCACCAATGGATTTTATCTAAGTGATAATGTCACAACCCCTAGGTCTAGCCTGAAGTAATGTGTAAAACAATTCCAGGCTCGTGCCTAGCGTCCTAGGACAAAAAAAGTCATTGCAGTGGTTTCTTGTACTATTTCAAAGATTGGGAGGATTACATCTGTAGTCGGGATGGATTGGCCATTTGTCCTATCATAGATTAACATACAATTAATTAATACTCTGATGTATTGAAAAAGTATTACAGTAGTTAAACTGCTTGGTTTAGCCCCTGAGCTGTGGGTAAGAATATATACTAACCACCGACCGTTGATCAGATTAAATTTTAACATCTGGATTTGTACTGGTTCACGAATTAGCTCAATTCCAACAACCTTATTAATTCAGTTTATAAAATATGTAATGTAACCTCACTGATGCTCAATTGTTTAATTTATATTAACATGAACATCTTTGTACTAATATCTACTCACAATTTCATATGTGTTTTCAGAGTGAAGATATTTTTCTGATCATGTTCGAGAGTGAGTATCAGGAGATGAAGAAAAAGCCGCTAAATGTAGAGAGGTTAATGATGGACTCTGTGATATTGCTGCCACCCACGGGGACACCTATGACTGGTATAGAGTTTACCAAGAGACTGCCTTGTGGAGAGGTGTGTAAAAAAGACTTAGGTGCCAAGGCATGTCATTCACGGAGGGATTTTTCTTAACACATTCACTGCGGCCCATCAGTTGTAGCCCCGTTGCGGGCAGTGTTGAACAACCCGATTCCCGGGCAATTGGCTTTCAAATATTTCAGTCTGACGAGTAGTAAATAACGTCCGGTGATGTGCTGCGTTACGACGAGAGTCAACTTAGTTCGCTAAAACACCCACAGATAGCAGCACTGCTTGGAACTTAGCCGGTTCCATTGTATTGCCAATTGGAGGGCGAAAAACGGGACAAGTTGATTTTAAAGCTTGCCAGACGGGGATTTTACAAGGAAATTTACTCTATTTACACCACAATTATAGACTGGTATTAAGGACACAATACTAACACGTACCAACCGTCCTCGGCTAAGCATTGCGTGCTGTGTCCCCGGTGACACAGCCGCCTTGCACCACGGCACGCCATGCGTCACCGTGGATGCATCCGAAGGTAATGTGTTAAATCGAGATTTTTTCTTTTAAGTCAATAAGTTTTTAGTCAAGGAATCTGATGAAAACCCCGTAGTTTGTAAATAAGGCCATATTTTACAGTTGGCAAGAGTTGCTAGTTTTTAGTCTTGCTTCAGAAAATCCTTTGCAAGCAGTACACCGTTAGTAATCCTCCTAGACCTAATACCATTCTCCACCGATTAGTTCTCCACTTTATATACCTAGTCAATGCACATGCTTCTTTATCTATCTATTCCAGACCATCAGACGAGTCGTCTAATTATCCTCTTAACCAACTAAATTTGCCTTGAGCAATCCTTTTACATGGCGATTGAAAAGTGATATTCGTGGTGTAGCGCTTACTCTAGCTGAACTTTTAATTGAGCTGCACACGTACAGACAAGACGCTTCTGAAATGCTGTGACCATATTATTGTTTATGCATATGGAAATATCAGTAAGTGTGTTAGCAGCTTTGTTACTTTTCCCTGTACAGGAGGAGAGAGCCAGACGTGCTGTCCGGGTGTTTTTACTGGTCAGGGAGCTGAGTCTGTGTCTAAGTGGAGAAACAGAGAGTCAACTACCTCTAACTGACTACTCCAGCTGTGTGCAAGTGGACAATGTGCTTGATCTCAGTGAGTAAATGTAGACACAAGGCCTACCTATTCCTAAGGCCTATAGTAGGCCTACCTGAAATTCAACATTTTGTGTATGATTTATGAAGTAAAGACCATTTATTTCGCTCAGGAAAACAGGTAAGAAGGAATGGATACACACCTATCCTGACCAAGAAAAGAGTTCCAGGAAGTGAGGAAGTTGACAGTACAAATAGGTTTAACTTAAATCTACTGTCAATTGCCTGGAAATATGTATGTACTAGCTGTAACCCGCGGGCTTTGCCCCGTTTAACTGCTTAATTTTCAAGATTATCTCGTTCGCATGGCTCAATCACGTCCTGGTTGAAGTTTGTTCGCTACGCTCACTCACCTTTAGGTTGCAGCTCGTTCGCTACGCTCACTCACCTTTAGGTTGGAGCTCGTTCGCTGCGCTCTCTTGCCTTCAGGTTAGCTTGTTCGCTACGCTAACTCGCCTCCAGGTTGAAGTTCGTTCGCTACGCTCACTCACCTTTTGGTTGCAAATTAGCTGTTGTCATAAATGTAAAAGAAATGATAGTGCTGCACCCTGTTGGTAACCCTTGGAACTTTAATGCTATTGAACATCATAGAACAGAACCAACTTGTTTAATTGAAACAGCTGTTAAGATTCAATAATTCCATTTCTCATATGGTTAACATGGGAAACTCCAGAGCCACTGGGGCGGAGCCCGAAAGGATTTTTGAAATAAGAATATGCCTATATGTTAATCGGGAATGTGAGCTATCATCATGCTAAATTTCAGCCCAATCCGACCAGTATTTTTTGCGTTCACTTGTCACAAACATACATCCATACATCCAAACATTCTCATTTATAATATTAGTAGGATGTATGTATATGTGGTTTTTATGCCATGGTGGACTCATCCCGTTTGGACAAGTCGGCTAACAGAAATTAAATTTAAAGTATACATTTTTATAAACACCCAGGCCCTTGTGCCCCATGATACACCCTTACATTACATGACTTGCCAAAACCCAATGCTTAGCATAAAGTAGCTATGAGTTATTTGATCAAATTCTCTTAAATACTTTCCATTTATATCTAATACTGTCCACACCACTGGTCATCTAGTGTTGTTAACTGCTGATAAGTGTGGTTGTGTTGCTGATAAGTGTGGTTGTGTCGCTGATAAGTGTGGTTGTGTTGCTGATAAGTGTGGTTGTGTCGCTGATAAGTGTGGTTCAGTTGCTGATAAGAGTGGTTGTTGCAGACAACAGTGATCTGATCGCCTGTACAGTGGTGGCCCCTGACGGTTCAAAGGTACGCAGGTTCCTGGTCATGGACAACTCCCAGTTCATCTTGGTGGAGCCGGACTCTCGGAGGCTAGGCTGGGGTGTTGCCAAGATGGCTGGCTTTCTGCAGGATATTGAGGTAACGTATGGTGTAGATGGTAAAATTGGTGAAATAAAACAAAACCGAGAATTTATGAAAATCAAAATTTTGTTGCGTTTGCACAAGACCATATCTTCACAATCACTGGAGATGCTTTCTATTTTCCTTGATTCTCGGAAACAAATTTTGTTTCTTTTCAAGAAACCTTGAAAACATTCCAGTTAAAGTCACAAAAATAGTTTACCAAAGTCTAACAATGCTTTATGGGTAGCTGAGTGGTTATAGTGCTCGCCTAGTAATCAAAAGGTCGCCGGTTCGATCCTGAGAAAAGTCTGTAGCTTTTTGATGGTTCAAAACTGGACCCAGCTGTTCCTGATCATTGGGCTTTAAATAAATTATCCTAACTAATGAAACCGCTGATCTTAGTCAGTAACAAAGCTACACAGGTCATCACACACCATTCTACACTCATATTTGGGTTAAAATACACACCTAGGTGACGTCCCCAACTCGATGATTGATAATTGATTGATAATTGATTGATAATTGATATAATATAATTTTTGCATCTAAGATGTTTAGTTCATTGCTAGAAGTCCTTGCAATTGCTTCCTGATTTGTCATTGATTATTAAATGTTGGATGTGATTGTTACATAGCAAAGTGGTTTTATAAAAGATGTTCTGCAACCAAGAGTAACTTGTTATTTTGCAAGTCAAGGTTGGGTTGTGTTGTAGGTCCAAGGGGACAAGGATGACTCGAGATGTCTTCATATGACCATCAATCACTCAACCTCAGGACCTCTGGTGGCTGCGAGGTTCATCTTTGACGACCACATTCGATGTTTGGCGGCAAAACAGAGGTTAGTTAGTGTTAATAATTAATTGCTCATAGACAAAGACAACCGTCATAGATAATAATAATAATAATGGTAAAATTTTGAATAACTTAATCAATCTTTATTTGTTGTAAGAATTTAGTTCAATGATTGAATATAGTTTATAAAAAAAAAAACAGTTGTATCATTAACCGAGTAAAGTAAAAAATTTAAGACCCAGTACATTTGCCAGGTCATAAAATTGACTTCATTTCAAGAATATCTCAAATGTAACAAAAAATAAAAACATTACATGACAGAACATAGATACATCTACAAAATAAAACTAAAATCGTTTAAACCAGAAAGTCCTAACACATTAAGTTTGCACCTTTTAGTGTTGATTTTTTGATTTTGAAATGGAATGGCCTTATATAGCAATTCTGCATATACAAAAAATTGTCAGAATTTCAAGATGGTAGGGTTTTTAGCCCAGGTTTGCAGACCAAAGATTTAAATTGTGCGATTATGATTTAACTAATATTTTGTATTTTTTTGTCGCTAAAATGGTTTCTTTTTACTCTCTTTGTTCACAGACAAATCAAACCTGGGGTAACTGAGGTTACATTCACAATCGTACCAGCTCCAGGTCAAAATTGTAACCAAACTTGAAATCATACAAAACATGAAACGTCCCTTTGCTTGTAAAATGTTTTGATATTAAACATATAAACAGACCAACCTTGATTTTTTTGCTATAAAAGTTATTCGTAAACTATGATTTAGGGATGGACGGGATTGAATTTTTAGTTCGGGACGGGACGGGACGGGATTTTTATTTCCTTCCCGATTTTCGGGACGGGACGGGACGGGATTTTTTTCTGTGCATAAAAAGAAAGTACTGTATTGCAATTACCAAAAAAGACATACGAAATCAATTTTTACCATTTGTGGCACTGATCTATAAAAACCAAAAAATGGGTAAAAATGTACAGGTACCTATAGAAACTTGTGACTCGCGGGTCACGTCTGTATGACTCACGGTCATGGCGCGATCGTCGTCATGACTCGCGGTCACGGCGCGATCGTCGGTATGACTCGCGGTCACGGAGTTATCGTCGGAATGACTCCACGGTCACGGCGCGATCGTCGTCATGACTCGCGGTCACGGCGCAATCGTTGGTATGACTCGCGGGGACGGCGCGATCGTCGGCATGACTTGCGGTCACGGCGCGATCGTCGGTATGACTCCGCGGTCACGGGGTTATCGTCGGTATGACTCGCGGTCACGGCATGATCGTCGGTAAGACTCGCGATCACGGCTCGATCGTCGGTAGGACTCCGCGGTCACGGCGCGATCGTCGGTATGACTCCACGGTCACGGTGCGATCGTCGTCATGACTCGCGGTCACGGCACGATCGTCGGTATGACTCGCGGTCACGGCGCGATCGTCGTCATGACTCGCGGTCACAGCGCGATCGTCGTCATGACTTGCGGTCACGGCGCGATCGTCGGTAGGACTCGCGATCACGGCTCGATCGTCGGTAGGACTCCGCGGTCACGGCGCGATCGTCGGTATGACCCCACGGTCACGGCGCGATCGTCGTCATGACTCGCGGTCACGGCACGATCGTCGGTATGACTCGCGGTCACGGCGCGATCGTCGTCATGACTCGCGGTTACGGCGAGTTCGTCGTCATGACTTGCGGTCACGGCGCGATCGTCGGTATGACTCCGCGGTATCGGGGTTATCGTCGGTATGACTCGCGGTCACGGCATGATCGTCGGTATGACTCGCAATCACGGCTCGATCGTCGGTAGGACTCTGCGGTCACGGCGCGATCGTCGGTATGACTCCACGGTGTCGGCGCGATCGTCGTCATGACTCGCGGTCACGGCACGATCGTCGGTATGACTCGCGGTCACGGCGCGATCGTCGTCATGACTCGCGGCCACGGCGCGATTGTCGTCATGACTCGCGGTCACGGCGCGATCGTCATCATGACTCGCGGTCACGGGGTTATCGTCGGTATGACTCCACGGTCACGGCGCGATCGTCGGTAGGACTCGCGATCACGGCGCGATCGTCGGTATGACCCCACGGTCACGGCGTGATCGTCGTCATGACTCGCGGTTACGGCGCGATCGTCGTCATGACTTGCGGTCACGGCGCGATCGTCGGTATGACTCCGCGGTATCGGGGTTATCGTCGGTATGACTCGCGGTCACGGCATGATCGTCGGTATGACTCGCAATCACGGCTCGATCGTCGGTAGGACTCTGCGGTCACGGCGCGATCGTCGGTATGACTCCACGGTCACGGCGCGATCGTCGTCATGACTCGCGGTCACGACACGATCGTCGGTATGACTCGCGGTCACGGCGCGATCGTCGTCATGACTCGCGGTCACGGCGCGATCGTCGGTATGACTCGCGGTCACGGCGCGATCGTCGGTATGACTCGCGGTCACGGCGCGATCGTCATCATGACTCGCGGTCACGGGGTTATCGTCGGTATGACTCCACGGTCACGGCGCGATCGTCGTCATGACTCGCGGTCACGGCGCAATCGTCGGTATGACTCGCGGTCACGGCGCGATCGTCGTCATGACTCGCGGTCACGGCGCGATCGTCGTCATGACTTGCGGTCACGGCGCGATCGTCGTCGTGACTCGCGGTCACGGCGCGATCGTCGTCATGACTTGCGGTCACGGCGCGATCGTCGGTATGACTCCGCGGTCACGGGGTTATCGTCGGTATGACTCGCGGTCACGGCATGATCGTCGGTATGACTCGCGATCACGGCGCGATCGTCGGTATGACTCCACGGTCACGGCGCGATCGTCGGTATGACTCCACGGTCACAGCGCTCTCGTCGTCATGACTTGCGGTCACGGCGCGATCGTCGGTATGACTCCGCGGTCACGGGGTTATCGTCGGTATGACTCCGCGGTCACGGGGTTATCGTCGGTATGACTCGCGGTCACGGCGCGATCGTCGGTAGGACTCCGCGGTCACGGCGCGATCGTCGTCATCACTCGCGGTCACGGCGCGATCGTCGTCATGACTTGCGGTCACGGCGCGATCGTCGGTATGACTCCTCGGTCACGGGGTTATCGTCGGTATGACTCGCGGTCACGGCATGATCGTCGGTATGACTCGCGATCACGGCTCGATCGTCGGTAGGACTCCGCGGTCACGGCGCGATCGTCGTCATGACTCGCGGTCACGGCGCGATCGTCGTCATGACTTGCGGTCACGGCGCGATCGTCGGTATGACTCCGCGGTCACGGGGTTATCGTCGGTATGACTCGCGGTCACGGCATGATCGTCGGTATGACTCGCGATCACGGCTCGATCGTCGGTAGGACTCTGCGGTCACGGCGCGATCGTCGGTATGACTCCACGGTCACGGCGCGATCGTCGTCATGACTCGCGGTCACGGCACGATCGTCGGTATGACTCGCGGTCACGGCGCGATCGTCGTCATGACTCGCGGTCACGGCGCGATCGTCGTCATGACTCGCGGTCACGGCGCGATCGTCGTCATGACTTGCGGTCACGGCGCGATCGTCATCATGACTCGCGGTCACGGGGTTATCGTCGGTATGACTCCACGGTCACGGCGCGATCGTCGTCATGACTCGCGGTCACGGCGCAATCGTCGGTATGACTCGCGGTCACGGCGCGATCGTCGGCATGACTTGCGGTCACGGCGCGATCGTCGGTATGACTCCGCGGTCACGGGGTTATCGTCGGTATGACTCGCGGTCACGGCTCGATCGTCGGTAGGACTCCGCGGTCACGGCGCGATTGTCGGTAGGACTCCGCGGTCACGGCGCGATCGTCGGCATGACTCGCGGTCACGGCGCGATCGTCGGTATGACTCCGCGGTCACGACGTAATCGTCGAAATGACTTCGTCTCCTGCGTTCGCGGACCTATCGCTCGCAAACGATCGGACCAAATCCCGTCCCGAAAAATTCCCGAGTCAAATGTAATCCCGTCCCGATATTCGGGAACATTTTTTTCCCGAAAAATTCCCGAAATTTCGGGACCCGTCCATCCCTAATTTTAATTACAACTGATTGATTGTGAATGACACAATGTTTACCATCTCTTGAGCTACAATAATTAAACTTGAACAGATCATATTATTCTTTACTATTTCGAGCTTAGTTTTTGCAATAAATGCTTTTACATTTTAAATATAAGATATAAGGACCAGTGATGTTTAACCCTACCACTGGCAAACGCCGGATATACGGCGCGAACGGCCGCGGCCGAAATGGCAACGCCGGATATACGGCGCCAATGCAGGTGATACGGTAGGGCTAAATATAATTTTTTTTTTTTTTTTAGGTTTGTTCACTTTTTAGGGCTACTGTTGTAATAAATAAGTTAAATAATACAAACCAGAGTACCCTGGGATTATATATTATATAAGATGTACGGTTTTGTACATGACCTGGGTTGGATGATTATTTGGTACTAGCGCGGGGGTACGATCGACATAGTAATAGGGCTATCAAACAAAATACACAAAATAAGCTATATAAACTATATGTTTTTGGAATCAGCACAAAATTTACCACAACTTTACAATTTACCTTATGATGATAAGTCTTACATCTACTTAGCTATACGACGGAATATAAAAACATTTTATAAAAAAATTAATAATGCCTACAATTTGAAAAAAAAGTTTTTTTTTGGTAACCATGTAAACCATCTATATTATTGTTCTTTGTCTTATTCTGAACAAAATTATATATAACAATCCATAGTTATGTTGCTATTTCTAATTTTTATAATGGTTTAAAAATTATATTACATAGCCTAATCAATAATATCCCTATGCCAGTACAGCGTTACACTATTGCCAGCTCTAGGGTTAAAAAATAGAGAAAATCAATAAAATTGACCAGAGGCCTACCCATAAATATTTATAACTGGAGAAAACTAAAAGTAAAAGCAAAATATATAGATTCTAGTAGCTTTTATATGCATACTTCAATGTTGTTTATTTAGTATTTTATATCTCTAATGACTTTTACTTTTTAGAGCAAGTAAAATTAGAATTTATAAATCCATCTTGGTTTCATCAAAGGAACTCCTGTTGGTTGCGCTAAGTGTGAAATTTAAATGCAGTTGCTTTTGATATGCTTTATAACATGTTTTTTTTTTGTAAAAAAATAATATTAATTTGGCATTACAATTTCCAATAACAGTAGACGCTCGCTAATCTTGGACTTAGGCTTTACCAGATCTTTGAAAATGCTGGATTAATTGAAGGTCTTTTAAAAACCTCTAAAATAGGAATTCAACTGACGTCTGACAATCACGCTAAAATGACCTAAAACAGCATACAAAAAGAACTTTTTTTACCTTTAAAGAGTTAAAAGACCGAACCCAGATTATTAAAGTTCTGGACCATAGGATCCAAAATTATCAGGTATTAACTGTACATGCCAAAATGTTTCATCACATTTAAAGTCAAAAGAACAATAAAATTATAGCTCCACCAATAACTATTGTTATACTACAGTATTTATTCTGGTAGCAAAATAAAACTAATTCAATTAAAAGTGTTGTTTAATGTTAATAAAGTAGCTGTCCTTAATCTTCAGGTATAAAACAGTTAAGTTCAAACAATTCAATATTATTAACTAATAATACTGAATTTTTATAAACTCTTTTAATCTTGTAGCAAAATCACTTTAAAAAAGATAAAGGTTACATAGCAGTTTATCGTCATAAAATGTTGTTTTATGAGAACAAAGTATTTTTCTTAGTATGTTTGGGTGAGTTGTCTTAATCTTCCAAATTATTTGATTTTAAAATAACAAATCTAATTACTAATTTACTTTTCAGACTGACAAAAGGCAGGTTAAAAGCGAGACAGAAGAAAATGCAACAAATCGCAAGACTGTTGGACATCCCTAGTAATGCTCAGCCTTCCCCCTCCCCTCCAGCCTACAACCTGCTGGCTCTGAGGCATCAGACTGCCCATCTCTACAGTGAGTAAACGTTCTTCTCGCAGAGCTGCGCTGTAGTCAAAAATACTAATTTCTCCATTATTTGTGTTACTGAAATAGTTGTGACATAAAAAAATGGTATATCTTACAATAAGTCATCTTGGCTAAAAAGTTGGTGTTTCGAGAGAAATCAATCATTTTCACCATCACTCTCAAGTGGTTCAAAAATCGCAACAACTTTAACATGGAGAAAAAAATGTCTAGAAATACTATTTTGACTATTCAATACCCAAATACTGTAATTTTCCCAGTTTTTCAGAGATAAATTGTGTCCTTGTTTATGACCTTTTTTGGGGGAAAAATCATTCATCCCACTTTCACCATTTTCCAATTTGGGGCTCATTATAATATCTATTCATTCCCTCACTCCTACGGCCATTAACGCCCAACAACTTCTCTCCATCTCCATCTTCTGCCTCTTCCATTGCTGCCACCTCTATGTTGTCCTTGTTGAATAGAATATCTATAAAAATAGTTAGCATGATAATTTGTGTTTACAGGAAATGCCTGTGCTCGTCCGCTAGCCAATCACAGAGTAGTTGGAGAGAGGGTGAAAACATCCAGTCCTAAATCTGTCCGATCCAGTGAGTAGATGAGATGTAAATATGATGTGTGTTTGAAGCAATGCAAAACCATACAGAAGTGCTGATAAATGCATTGTACTGATATAAATAGCTTAGAGGTATATTGTCTGCTTTGTGTATTTGTTAGCTTTGGAAATATTTTGTTGCAGTTAAATTGCCTAGGTTATGGATTTTCTCTGCTTAGTTTAGGGGATTTAAAAATGTACGTTCTAAAAAAAAATATATTTATATTGTACACTTTAAACATTTTAATTTGATGCCCAAGCCTTTGTTATTACAAATAGTATATTACGTTACTAGTCCTGAAAATAGGTGTTTACCGGACGAATGTGGTCGTTGGGATTACCATACGAGTCCGGTAAACACATTTTGGACGAGTGACATACAATATTTTACGCCATACTACTCTAAGCTAACTTAAAAATAACAAATCGGTACAGATCCTTATATATTTCCGCCGACTAAAGGACTAACAATCACTACTTATAACCTCTAAGAGGAGGTTATGTTTTTGTTTATAACCACTCATTGCCAAATATAATCAGCTGGTTGGTGTCCGTTAAAAACTCATTACAGTACAGTAGTACGTAATGAAACCCTATTTGATTAAGCTGGCGGCAAACAGCTGTTTTCTGGACTAAATCCTTGCGCAGGAAGTTGTTAAAACAGTGTAATGTAGTGTAAAGGAATTTAGGCTACACTACTCTGTTTTAGCTAACTTCCCACACAAGGATTCAGTCCAGAAAACAGCTGTTTGCTGCCAGCTTAATCAAATGGTGTTTCAATACGCACTACTGTACTGTTGGTCCTAATGAGTTTTTACCAGACATCAACCAGCTGATTTTATTTGGCAATGAGTGATTATAAACAAAATCATAAACTCTCTTTGAGGTTATGAGTAGTGATAGTTAATCCTTTAGTCAGTGGGAATATATAAGGATTTGTACGGATTTGTTATTGTTAAGTTAGCTTAAGTAGTATGGCGTAAAATATCGTACGTCACTCGTCCAATATGTGTTTAACGGACTCGTATGGTAATCCCAAAGACCACACTCGTCCGGTAAACACCTATTTTCAGGACTAGTAACATAATATTTTAAAAGAAATTTCTTACTGATTGAGATAGTTTTTATTACTCTCCGACTGTTAAAATTCTATAAACTCCTATTTCAGTTGAGTAATATTCATATTATTACTTATTTCCTTTCCTGCCTAGTGTGGCCTAAGCTTTATGGTGACAATAGCCTTGAACAAACCTCGCTACAAGCTTGGGTAGGAGACTTTCTCTTCAGCAGTGTTATCTAGGAGCTGACAGGTCATCATTAGTCTCACACAAGTAGATGGGTTGCAAAAGATCTGTAGAGTAACACAAGTTGTAGACAGGCCCCGTGATGTGTTTTGCAGGGGATGGTGACAGGTCACGGAGAGGCAGTAGTGGCCCAGCGACGGGGGCACAGCCCCACAACAGCCCCACCACCTCCAGAGACGGCTCTCCCAAGCCACTCAGGCCCCGCTCAGAAGAGATTCCTCTGGAGAACATACCTAAGGTGTGAAGTGAAGTGGTTACTGCATGGTCCTAACCCAGTCTGCACTCTTGAGACACCTGTTAGTTTTTGTAATCTGTTTTATTAAAATAGTTTGCATTTTTTTTAATGGGTAATGAGTTATGTAGTCGTAATTATGGTTCACATGACTGCGGCATTAAGAATTAATTGCTGGTCACTAATATGTAGGGGTCATAGGGACACAACATTCCTTTTTGTTGAATCTTTATTGGACCCAGCTGACCTTGATTAATTTGTAATCCTAAATATTTCATATAAATTTAGGGTTTTAATTTTAAATATTTAATCCTCAATAACACAGTTAATCATATTCAGTAACAAAAATATACTTCTTATTTCCATTCTACCGTCATTCTACACTAATATTTAGTTAGCAATTGTTTACAAAATTTATACGGTTTGAGGGAAAGTTCCCCAACCACTTTTTTTGTTTAATGTATGTTGAAGCTGATTGACATTTTGGCAAACCTCAGCTGTCGAGCAATTTTTTTTAAAGGTAGGATCAAGTGGAGGGGATGGATTTCTTCTCCTGAAACCAACTTAATTTTGTGAATGGAATGGAGTATTATAATAATGGAAATAATAATGATACGTAGGAAAGAACTTGCTTGCCTTGAAATTTACACAAAAAACAAAGTCTATCAAAATAATACAAAAATAAAAGAGAATCTTTTGATCTTTCAGAATCATAAAGTCAAGATAGACAAAAACTATTAAAACTTTGAAGTCATTTAATCAACAACTGTAACCTCACACACTCATTGGTAATTAAATACATTGATGGATGTTGTAACTTAACTTAGTAGATTGCAAAGCAACTAGATAAAAGTACGTAACTGTGTATAGTTAAATAATTTACTCTATAATCATTGATGTTGTAATTTCTTTATAATAAGGTAGACTTTTTATTTTTTTAATAAGTATAAGTAATGAACTACAGATAGTTGATTTGAACGCTTGATAAAATTGTATGTATCGTTTGGTTATGTTTTGGTTTGGCTAGTGTGAATTTTGTGTGTGTGTTTTTCTTTTGTATGTGCTTTTTAGTAGCAGTGGTTTATGTTGGATTGTTATTTTTTACATAGCTTGTTACATAGCCAATAAAATCAGGCTGTGGGTTTTAATTCTTTTACTGAACTTACTACTTTTTTCACCACTTCCAACGTCGTCGACCTGTTTCCCTCCCTTCCCATAACATTTTAGTATTGCAGATAGATTAATGCAACTGCCACAAACTGTTCCCACACCCCGCACTGCTCGCCTTTACTACATCCTTCACCAATTCCTACATCTTGGACCTGTTTCCCTCCCTTCCCATAGCATTTTAGTATTTTAGATACAACTATCAAACTGCCATAAACTCTTCCCACACTCGGCATTGTTCGCCTATACTACTTCCTTCACCACTTCCTACGTTGTGGACCTGTTAAAGATTGCCATTTATGAGATGGATCCATGAATGTGATTCACCGATGAATTGTTTCGCAACGTAAAGCAAATCTGTAAAATACTGTACATCCTTCACTAGGGAGAGACGTAAAGGCAAGGTGGAGACTGTATGAGGGTACACCAGGAGACATGACCTACAGTAGTGTGTGACAGTTACAGAGGGAAGGTGCAGTGTCAGTGTTGACTGAGCCTCAGACCAGTGTTGTGTCAGAGGATGGTGACAATGTGGAGACATCCTTCACCAGGGAGAGACGTAGAGGCAAGGTGGAGACTGTATGAGGGTATACCAGGAGACATGACCTACAGTAGTGTGTGACTGTTACAGAGGGAAGGTGCAGTGTCAGTGTTGACTGAGCCTCAGACCAGTGTTGTGTCATAGGATGGTGACAATGTGGAGACATCCTTCACCAGGGAGAGACGTAAAGGCAAGGTGGAGACTGTATGAGGGTATACCAGGAGACATGACCTACAGTAGTGTGTGACTGTTACAGAGGGAAGGTGCAGTGTCAGTGTTGACTGAGCCTCAGACCAGTGTTGTGTCATAGGATGGTGACAACGTGGAGACATCCTTCACCAGGGAGAGACGTAAAGGCAAGGTGGAGACTGTATGAGGGTACAACAGGAGACATGACCTACAGTAGTGTGTGACTGTTACAGGGGGAAGGTGCAGTGTCAGTGTTGACTGAGCCTCAGACCAGTGTTGTGTCAGAGGATGGTGACAACTTGGAGACATCCTTCACCAGGGAGAGACGTAAAGGCAAGGTGGAGACTGTATGAGGGTATACCAGGAGACATGACCTACAGTAGTGTGTGACTGTTACAGAGGGAAGGTGCAGTGTCAGTGTTGACTGAGCCTCAGACCAGTGTTGTGTCAGAGGAAGGTGACAATGTGGAGACATCCTTCACCAGGGAGAGACGTAAAGGCAAGGTGGAGACTGTATGAGGGTACACCAGGAGACATGACCTACAGTAGTGTGTGACTGTTACAGAGGGAAGGTGCAGTGTCAGTGTTGACTGAGCCCCAGACCAGTGTTGTGTCAGAGGATGGTGACAATGTAGAGACATCCTTCACCAGGGAGAGACGTAAAGGCAAGGTGGAGACTGTATGAGGGTACACCAGGAGACATGACCTACAGTAGTGTGTGACTGTTACAGAGGGAAGGTGCAGTGTCAGTGTTGACTGAGCCCCAGACCAGTGCTGTGTCAGAGGATGGTGACAATGTGGAGACATCCTTCACCAGGGAGAGACGTAAAGGCAAGGTGGAGACTGTATGAGGGTACACCAGGAGACATGACCTACAGTAGTGTGTGACTGTTACAGAGGGAAGGTGCAGTGTCAGTGTTGACTGAGCCTCAGACCAGTGTTGTGTCAGAGGATGGTGACAATGTGGAGACATCCTTCACCAGGGAGAGACGTAAAGGCAAGGTGGAGACTGTATGAGGGTATACCAGGAGACATGACCTACAGTAGTGTGTGACTGTTACAGAGGGAAGGTGCAGTGTCAGTGTTGACTGAGCCCCAGACCAGTGTTGTGTCAGAGGATGGTGACAACGTGGAGACATCCTTCACCAGGGAGAGACGTAAAGGCAAGGTGGAGACTGTATGAGGGTATACCAGGAGACATGACCTACAGTAGTGTGTGACAGTTACAGAGGGAAGGTGCAGTGTCAGTGTTGACTGAGCCTCAGACCAGTGTTGTGTCAGAGGATGGTGACAACGTGGAGACATCCTTCACCAGGGAGAGACGTAAAGGCAAGGTGGAGACTGTATGAGGGTACACCAGGAGACATGACCTACAGTAGTGTGTGACTGTTACAGAGGGAAGGTGCAGTGTCAGTGTTGACTGAGCCTCAGACCAGTGTTGTGTCAGAGGATGGTGACAATGTGGAGACATCCTTCACCAGGGAGAGACGTAAAGGCAAGGTGGAGACTGTATGAGGGTACACCAGGAGACATGACCTACAGTAGTGTGTGACTGTTACAGAGGGAAGGTGCAGTGTCAGTGTTGACTGAGCCTCAGACCAGTGTTGTGTCAGAGGATGGTGACAATGTGGAGACATCCTTCACCAGGGAGAGACGTAAAGGCAAGGTGGAGACTGTATGAGGGTATACCAGGAGACATGACCTACAGTAGTGTGTGACTGTTACAGAGGGAAGGTGCAGTGTCAGTGTTGACTGAGCCCCAGACCAGTGTTGTGTCAGAGGATGGTGACAACTTGGAGACATCCTTCACCAGGGAGAGACGTAAAGGCAAGGTGGAGACTGTATGAGGGTATACCAGGAGACATGACCTACAGTAGTGTGTGACTGTTACAGAGGGAAGGTGCAGTGTCAGTGTTGACTGAGCCTCAGACCAGTGTTGTGTCAGAGGATGGTGACAATGTGGAGACATCCTTCACCAGGGAGAGACGTAAAGGCAAGGTGGAGACTGTATGAGGGTACACCAGGAGACGTGACCTACAGTAGTGTGTGATTGTTACAGAGGGAAGGTGCAGTGTCAGTGTTGACTGAGCCCCAGACCAGTGTCGTGTCAGAGGATGGTGACAATGTGGAGACATCCTTCACCAGGGAGAAACGTAAAGGCAAGGTGGAGACTGTATGAGGGTACACCAGGAGAGTTAGACATAGACATGACCTACAGTAGTGTGTGACTGTTACAGAGGGAAGGTGCAATGTCAGTGTTGACTGAGCCTCAGACCAGTGTTGTGTCAGAGGATGGTGACAATGTGGAGGCATCCTTCACCAGGGAGAGACGTAAAGGCAAGGTGGAGACTGTATGAGGGTACACCAGGAGACGTGACCTACAGTAGTGTGTGATTGTTACAGAGGGAAGGTGCAGTGTCAGTGTTGACTGAGCCTCAGACCAGTGTTGTGTCAGAGGATGGTGACAATGTGGAGGCATCCTTCACCAGGGAGAGACGTAAAGGCAAGGTGGAGACTGTATGAGGGTACACAAGGAGAGTTAGACATAGACATGACCTACAGTAGTGTGTGACTGTTACAGAGGGAAGGTGCAGTGTCAGTGTTGACTGAGCCTCAGACCAGTGTTGTGTCAGAGGATGGTGACAATGTGGAGACATCCTTCACCAGGGAGAGACGTAAAGGCAAGGTGGAGACTGTATGAGGGTACACCAGGAGAGTTAGACATAGACATGACCTACAGTAGTGTGTGACTGTTACAGAGGGAAGGTGCAGTATCAGTGTTGACTGAGCCTCAGACCAGTGTTTTGTCAGAGGATGGTGACAATGTGGAGGCATCCTTCACCAGGGAGAGACGTAAAGGCAAGGTGGAGACTGTATGAGGGTACACCAGGAGAGTTAGACATAGACATGACCTACAGTAGTGTGTGACTGTTACAGAGGGAAGGTGCAGTGTCAGTGTTGACTGAGCCTCAGACCAGTGTTGTGTCAGAGGATGGTGACAACGTGGAGACATCCTTCACCAGGGAGAGACGTAAAGGCAAGGTGGAGACTGTATGAGGGTATACCAGGAGACATGACCTACAGTAGCGTGTGACTGTTACAGAGGGAAGGTGCAGTGTCAGTGTTGACTGAGCCTCAGACCAGCGCTGTGTTAGAGGATGGTGACAACGTGGAGACATCCTTCACCAGGGAGAGACGTAAAGGCAAGGTGGAGACTGTATGAGGGTATACCAGGAGACATGACCTACAGTAGTGTGTGACAGTTACAGAGGGAAGGTGCAGTGTCAGTGTTGACTGAGCCCCAGACCAGTGTTGTGTCAGAGGATGGTGACAACGTAGAGACATCCTTCACCTAGGAGAGACGTAAAGGCAAGGTGGAGACTGTATGAGGGTATACCAGGAGACATGACCTACAGTAGCGTGTGACTGTTACAGAGGGAAGGTGCAGTGTCAGTGTTGACTGAGCCTCAGACCAGTGTTGTGTCAGAGAATGGTGACAACGTAGAGACATCCTTCACCTAGGAGAGACGTAAAGGCAAGGTGGAGACTGTATGAGGGTATACCAGGAGACATGACCTACAGTAGCGTGTGACTGTTACAGAGGGAAGGTGCAGTGTCAGTGTTGACTGAGCCTCAGACCAGTGTTGTGTCAGAGGATGGTGACAATGTGGAGACATCCTTCACCAGGGAGAGACGTAAAGGCAAGGTGGAGACTGTATGAGGGTACACCAGGAGACGTGACCTACAGTAGTGTGTGATTGTTACAGAGGGAAGGTGCAGTGTCAGTGTTGACTGAGCCCCAGACCAGTGTCGTGTCAGAGGATGGTGACAATGTGGAGACATCCTTCACCAGGGAGAAACGTAAAGGCAAGGTGGAGACTGTATGAGGGTACACCAGGAGAGTTAGACATAGACATGACCTACAGTAGTGTGTGACTGTTACAGAGGGAAGGTGCAATGTCAGTGTTGACTGAGCCTCAGACCAGTGTTGTGTCAGAGGATGGTGACAATGTGGAGGCATCCTTCACCAGGGAGAGACGTAAAGGCAAGGTGGAGACTGTATGAGGGTACACCAGGAGACGTGACCTACAGTAGTGTGTGATTGTTACAGAGGGAAGGTGCAGTGTCAGTGTTGACTGAGCCTCAGACCAGTGTTGTGTCAGAGGATGGTGACAATGTGGAGGCATCCTTCACCAGGGAGAGACGTAAAGGCAAGGTGGAGACTGTATGAGGGTACACCAGGAGAGTTAGACATAGACATGACCTACAGTAGTGTGTGACTGTTACAGAGGGAAGGTGCAGTGTCAGTGTTGACTGAGCCTCAGACCAGTGTTGTGTCAGAGGATGGTGACAATGTGGAGACATCCTTCACCAGGGAGAGACGTAAAGGCAAGGTGGAGACTGTATGAGGGTACACCAGGAGAGTTAGACATAGACATGACCTACAGTAGTGTGTGACTGTTACAGAGGGAAGGTGCAGTATCAGTGTTGACTGAGCCTCAGACCAGTGTTTTGTCAGAGGATGGTGACAATGTGGAGGCATCCTTCACCAGGGAGAGACGTAAAGGCAAGGTGGAGACTGTATGAGGGTACACCAGGAGAGTTAGACATAGACATGACCTACAGTAGTGTGTGACTGTTACAGAGGGAAGGTGCAGTGTCAGTGTTGACTGAGCCTCAGACCAGTGTTGTGTCAGAGGATGGTGACAACGTGGAGACATCCTTCACCAGGGAGAGACGTAAAGGCAAGGTGGAGACTGTATGAGGGTATACCAGGAGACATGACCTACAGTAGCGTGTGACTGTTACAGAGGGAAGGTGCAGTGTCAGTGTTGACTGAGCCTCAGACCAGCGCTGTGTTAGAGGATGGTGACAACGTGGAGACATCCTTCACCAGGGAGAGACGTAAAGGCAAGGTGGAGACTGTATGAGGGTATACCAGGAGACATGACCTACAGTAGTGTGTGACAGTTACAGAGGGAAGGTGCAGTGTCAGTGTTGACTGAGCCCCAGACCAGTGTTGTGTCAGAGGATGGTGACAACGTAGAGACATCCTTCACCTAGGAGAGACGTAAAGGCAAGGTGGAGACTGTATGAGGGTATACCAGGAGACATGACCTACAGTAGCGTGTGACTGTTACAGAGGGAAGGTGC